ATTAGGAGAAATGTGAAACAGATGCTCAAACATGCAAATTCAAGAACACATCCGACACACCAGTACCAATGCAACATCAGAAACCCACTGCAAATAAAAAAATTATGCAAAAAAAGCCAAAACATATGTATTGACAGCAAACACAAAATAAACAATGTGAAATCAAATCATACAAAAGCAGAAAATATGTGCAGGATAGTAATCATAATCAGAATACTTTATTATTTCTTATATATAAAAGATGCAAATCAAGACTTTTGGTCCAAGGTGCTCCAGGCCTGTAGGGGCACTAAGTGAATCAGCATGTTGACCACACAGAGCAGAAGAAGGCCCGGCTTTAAATTATTGTTAAGACAGGAAAGTGGAACAGTCTGATACCAGTGGTTTAAATTATATGTCCTAGACTAGCAAAGCTTTTTCTTCACCTTTGGAGACCAGAGCTGGCCAGCTGTTGGCTTTTCTGTGATGCCCCAAGTTACTGCTAATGACTAACAGAGCCATCTAGCCAACATGACCTTGTTCCACATAGACTGCATAGTAAATGGATGTAGTCTCAGTGACGTAACTCATTTATTTCTGACGAGACATATCCCAACAAGAAACCAACCAAGAGGCACAGATCTGGTGTTGATGCTGGCCTTTAGCCTCATCATACAACAGATACAGAGTTTCCACATTTCAGTGAAGTCGACTGTGACTCCAATTCTGTGCTGCGTGAAGTCTCATTCATGAAACGTGAGAAGAACAGATTTGTGTGTAAATTGTTTGCAGAAGTGCATTTATGTGTAATCTGGCTTTCATCCACATTGAAGAAACTCAGATTAGTTTGCAGGTACTGATAAAATCTCCATCTACTTTTGACTGCCAGTTTATGTTTGTGTAAATTAAGAATACAGGCACCACCTTGCCAACCACCAGGCTGTTGGTTGGCACCTGTATAAGTTACACCACAGCAGCTTTGACCTGGTAGCTGGATATTACTTTGAACAGTGGGACATCTAAATGTACCCAAAGGGGCCAAGTCACATTTGGTTTAGGTACCAATGAGGTAGACTAAGGTGACAAGTGTGGTTGTGTGCTAACCAACAATGCAGTTGGCTCTCTCTCTCTTTTTTCTACTCTGTGCCATGCTCGGTCTTGGGGAAAAACATATTCACACCTATTTTATGGTTGTCTTGGCCATTTATGGGCAGACAGTTGTGCTGATTGCTGTCAGGAGTGTCATGGTTTATTGACTTTCATGAACACACACGAGCCTACGTTATAATCTCACTTCTCATTCATGGATCCTGAGTAGGTTTTCGGTACCAAAGACTTATACAGATACATTAATATTTAATAAATGAGACTCAATCTCTGCTAATGGAGAAAATATTCCAAAACTGTTTTGTACCAGGTTGTAGACATGTTAATTTTTGTCCCGGAGAAGGGCTTTTTTGAATAAGTATGTATGTGGTATCAAGTGCTTTTTCAGCTGGCCTTAGCTTTATTTCTCAAGACTGGAGGTTACTGCTGGTGATCCCAGAGCCTGATCTAGAATAGAAACAGCTGATAATAGAGGATCGTACCAGGAACTGCACAGAGGAGTTCTTGTCAGGTTAGGTTTTAAGCATCTAAAATTTACATGATTTGAGCATTTGCAGTATGATTCCACTTGTGAAGATTATTTGGACCGTTGTAGGAAAACCCAAGCTCTTTAAAGTGAACTGTGACTTTGATTTTGTAACGATAACCTTGTTTATCAGATCAGTATTTCTCTCTCCCTGCAAAGGGATCAAAAAAGAAGCCCAAATTACTACTTTGTCAAAAGATCCACCTCCACTAGTCTCACATGTTTTTTTAAAAACAACTTTGGTTTATCATAAAGCATTTTAACCATTTAAACACCTCATATAACTTCAAGAAGTATTACTTCCTGTTACAGATGGAGAGATGGAGCTTTACTCTTTTTTTTTTTTTTTTTTTGGCCAAGCCTGCAAGCACTCAGATGTCCTGAAAATTATTTACATGTTGGGGTTTTCTTGAAGATGGGGAAACAGCTTCATAACACTAACAGAAAACACATTCTCAGTATGCTCTGTCCCTCCCTAAATTCCACAAAGTTATGTTATGTTGATTGCGAGTGAAAAATATCCTACGCAGATTTAGTGTTCAAGGACAGAACCCGGAGGAAAGGATAGACAAGTTCAGACCGGAAAGTCAGCAGAAGTTAACAGATACAGCCACACGGTTTAATTGAGGGTGAAAGAGGGTGATTTTTACGAAGGGCCCACATGTATGCTGAAAGTGGCTTTGATTAGGTGCCTGGTGGGCACCAAAGACCTGAACATACCATCAGGTAGACAGGAATGGCTTGGGGGAGTTGGGGACTGGAGGTGGGAGAAAGAGGTGACTGGTCTGTTTCTCACAGGTTTTTATAACGGTGAGGTTTAAATGGGGGCCAGGGGGACAGCTAGCTAGTCTCTGGGGGCAGTTAACAAGCTAAAGAGTGTGAAGTAACTGTCACCTTCTTTGAGCCCTTACTTCTCAAACACACTTCAGAACGGGACAAGCTTTGCCTCAGGGTGGTCACTGAAACAGTGACTCTTAAAAAGGAAGGTCAACGCCATTACAAACTAGACAGCCCTATATTAGTGCCTCTTCATCCTTCCTCTCTATTTCTCCAACTTTCTTCTGTTTCTGTGTTATTAAAAATGAAAAATTCATGAGTAATTAGACATTTTGACCTCTTTGACAGAATTGATCTAACTTTTATGTTTGATGCATGCAGTAAGACTTGCTCATAAGGTAACAAGTATCGCCCCTCAATAGCTGTTTTTGTAGCATAACAAACATAGCTTGTCATAAATATACATCTAGATAATCCCATTTTGCCGGGGGTTACATGCTCAATTGGTCCAGGACATGATTGGGCTTTTCTGTTAATTGCCTAGTAAGTCAGTTTATTAACTGTCAGAGTCCTGTCTTGCAATGCAGCTTAAGTTGAAAGACAAGATTTATTTTGTTGGGAGAGACTTAACTGTTTTGGACTTCTGTTAAAGCAAAGGACAAATGTCAGGACCAAGATTTTGTCCTGGTCATTGCTGACTCAAGATTAATTAAAATATATTATCAATAACCAGATTTTTATTAGCACTCATCTGCATAAATCTATGATTAACGACCAGTTAAAGGCACATTTGTTGGCTGTAGATGGATGGCAGGTTTTAGGATAAAATTTTAGCCAATGCCTTGAGCCAATTTTCCTCTTTAGCAGACATAAAGGTGACCAGAGTGTTGTAGTAGAGGCACAATCCCATAAATTAAGCCTTGAGTCTGAGTGTGAGTCGAGTCTGAGATTCCAGAGAGGAATGCAAGTTGACTTCCCTTTACCCTATAGTCCTAGACTCGTTCAAGTTCTCATTATCAATATTGTTATTTATAAAAATCGAACAACAAGAACTGTGTCTTCCCTTTTACACTGCATACATATGCAGTTATTTGTTTCAGATTAGAGAGAGTGAAACAAGCTGGTTTACCTTGTTTATGTCTGGATAGGAAAACAGGTAAGCATTTACAGATATGAAAGTGTTAGACTTCTTTCTATTTGCCATTAAATCTGGAATATCAGTCACACCAATATTAGATATTAACTGATTTGGGGGGCCTCCCAGGGGGACAGAGGTTTAAATTGCTCTCAGTTTAATCCACAAGGTGCAGTTTCTGTGCAGCCATGTACATCTCTCGAATACCATCTTTTTTGAGGGAATTGCGATCCTGCTGTACAATGAAGTTGGTAAAGTGCATATATCTGCCCAACTAATTCATTGAGTCTTACAAGTTGTCTTCATTTGAGATTTGTTTCCCTTTTTTTTTTTCAAATCAAACCATCAGTCCACAAGGTTTATTTACCAATTAATAATGCATTCAAAGAAAACAGGGATATACTATGACACCATGAGGGAGAAATGCAGGTAAAGGTGAAGCCACCAGAGCCGCTTCACAGCTCCCTCCATTTGAGTTTATTATACCGTCAAATTGTGTGCAATGAGTGATGTTGGCAGCTTTACCATTGGTAGTGACCATGGCGGGCTTAAACTAGTCACATGCCATCACCTAGGTAAAACATCACTTTCTGTGTTCTATAATGGTATATTGCTTGTACTGGTGTATATGAAGCGGCCTACTTTTAGGTCAAAATCAAAGGGAAGGTAAATCACAGCAAAAAGACAATATTACTGGGGATTTTTTTTTTTCTTTTTAGGAAATATCAAAGCTTAAAAGTTGTCCCTGTTGACCGGGAAAGGTTGGCAAAGTTTTAAGGCTTTGCTCTAATCAGGTTCAGTTCACAGCTTGTAAAAAACAGACAGGAGTGTGGGAAGTCACAAAGAAGGTGTTCTTTATTTCCGCCCTGCCCCCCAAAATGAAATAGGGAAGATCAGAGAGGGTTGAAATATTAACAAAGGTGATCAGACTCCATCTGGACTAACTCTGCCAACACTTCTTCAACCTGCTCTGTGTTTGCCGCCGCTTGATGATTCAAACCAGTAGCCATAAAAAAGAAAGGGTCTCTTAATTTGCCCCATGTGAGTGGAGAGAAGAAAAGAGAGGAGAAGGTGTCAAAAAAACGTCTTGAAGCTGGCTCAGCAGACAGTAATGGATCTGATTTGACTTAAAATGATTCACTGTTCATGTCAAATAGTGACAGTCAGGTCATGAGATAGGAAGGGGGTGTAAATTCTTTCCAGGTGTCTGTGCCCAAAGAAAGAAAAAGGGCAACGGGAGAATAATAAAAACCTCAGGTGAAACCATAGACCGGTTTGTTGGAGAATAAACTTTTTCAGGGAGAGTAAAAAAGAGGACGGTGCTTTGTGGAGGCTTCCTCATTTGTTTGAAATGTTTATGAATGAATGCAGTCGCCCCACCCCCCCCTCCACCCTTCTCCTTTCAAGCCCCTAGATGCCGGTCCTGCCCAGGATAAAATGCAGGACTGCCCAGCCGGTGTCTCTGCAGAGGAGAGGAGTGACTGACTGACTGACTGACTGACTGACTGCACACAGCAGAGCGTGAGGCCGTTCACTGACTGCTTCAGTGCCCTGTGCTGGCTGACACACACACCCGCCGACTGCCGCTCACTCTGACACATCAGACACACTCTCACTGCTCTCACTCCCTCCCTCTCTCTCTCTCTCTCTCTCTCTCTCTGTCTGTCTGCTGCAAACACATAGCGGCTCTCTCCCTCCCATACTCACGCACTTGCTCACTCCCTCTCTCTTTCTCTCCCTCTCTCTTTCTTTCAGTATCACACACTCACACGTACACACACACAGAGTCACTCATTCAACTCCCTCTCAGCCACGGGTCAGCAGCTCAGACAGGCACCTTGTTTCTATTCAGCTAGGAAGAGTAGAGCATCGCAAGGTCCTCACACACTTTACTCGTACAGACGCACACACACAAAAACACACATATTCATACACACTTAGAGACACACAGACACACATGCGCATCCTCAACCCCGGACTTTATTGCTGGCACTGGAAAGAAGATCTTAGTCCAAGGAGGAGAGCAAACAGTGAACAAGGAGGACCCCAAAGAAGAACTTGTAAAGATGGAGTCATGAACTTACAGCATCCTTTGAGGAAGGACAATTAAGGTTGAAACCTGAAGATGATAACCGGAGAAACTTAAAGAAAGCTTGTTTCTGTAGGACAACCTGCTGTCCACCGAAAGGGAAGATCTGTGACATCCAGAGGATTTGCTTGAAGAAAAAATCTTCACCCCTTTGAACTTCAGGACTCACATCCTCCTGTCATCCCTCCACTGGGAACATCTCCTCATCATCAGCATGCCTGCAGCTTGCACAAGGAGCACCTTGGGAGTCTGACCCACCATGTGCAGATGGACGCCGTCCGTAGCTCATCTCTATCCTGAGCCTGCCCTCGGCACCTCCACCACTGGGCGACCTGTCCCCCTGCCCAGTGCAGCCTCCCTGTGCCTGGCATGTCTCACCCTGCTCCTGGTCACCTCTGGCACTGCCACAGGGGCCTGTCCCCCCGGGGTAGGGCATGAACCCTTACAGGTACTGGCTGGTGGCATCAACTGTTCATGGACATTAGAAAGGCACACTCGCAGTTACAATCACCTGGAGGGCGACGTCAGACTACGGCGACTCTACTCTGCCAATAAGTTCTTCCTCTGCATTGACAAAACCGGCAAGGTGGACGGCACACGGCGGAAGAACTACGCAGACAGTAAGTAGTCAGCACAGCTTGGTTCTTTATCTCAAATGGGTGTCACTGGGCTAGCAGGATACCCTGTGACGTTTGCACTTGAGTTTTATAGCTGGACTTTCTTATCTCTTAACTTTTATAACAGTTCATAGGGATATCCCATGTTCCATCACTGCTGAGCTATTTGTGTTGTGTTTAGAGCAGGAGAGATGCGTTGCTAGGGAAAGAGGGAATACCCAGGAGTGGATTCAAGCTCCTCATGGGACAGGCAGTATGGGAAAGCTGACTTGAGGAAAGACACTGAGCATCAGTTGTTGATGCAAATTAGTTTGGAAAAAAGCTTCAATATCAGCAGGGATTAACTTGTCAAAACTGTTGTGAATAGCAGCTGTGCATGCTTCTGCCACAAACGCTGACAAAGGTTCAGATGAATTGTGCAAAGTTTGATTGGTTATAAAGAATGAGACTGCAGGTTTTAAGTGCTGCAAAGTAAAAGAAGGTCATAATTTTAGGGGCTCTTTCAGGGGGGGCTTGCTTTGTTATATAACCATGCACTCATAGTGAATCACTTTTCAACAGTCTCTTTTCTTGTTCCTCCTTTGCACCTCACATCCTACAGCTGCTATACAGTATCTATCATCTTTGCACCAGGGTATACTTCCCAAAAGTCACTCCTTTGTAAAGTCTGCAACAAAGTATCTCCAATTCAACGTCAAGCATTTTTAACCTGACGAGGAACTTATTCAGAGTAGCTGTGGTCAGGTCAGATGTGAAGACTGTGGTCATAATATGACCTCCCGCTCCATTAGTCACCATTTGACTGATGGACTGACTGGGTAGCCCTCAGAGACATCTTTGCCTTTGACTGTAATAGTAGTGTACTCAGGCGTTAATGCCTTTTTATTAAAGTGTGTGAGTCAGAGTTTTCCATGCAGCTACTGGGGGCTGGAGCAGCTGCTGCATCCTCAGCCACTGTTTCAACAAGCTGAAAGCTCCAGACTGGATGACATTTGTTAACCTGTTGGGATTAATCACCTGGCACAATCTTAAAAAGCCACACAGGCTGGTAGAAATTCAAGTTGAGGTGAATTATTATGCTATAAAATTCAGAGCTGTGAGCTTATCCCGTTTGGGACCATCATATTAGCAGTAATATACTGTATGTCAGCTACCGTAATAAAGTATTACGCCCAAACTTTGCCTGAATTTTACACTTCAGAGATCATGCAGGAAAAGTTGAAACAAACCATCTCCAGTTTGGGGAAGTTTGAAAAGAAAGCGTGAATGCCTAATAGATTTTGAGATTCGTGCTCATTTTTGACATAGCTCTGTCAGATGTGTTTTCTGTCGTTCTCTAAAGAGAGGGTACAGGCCCCTTTAATGTAATGTCCTCATACTATTCCGCCATCATCCTCTCATTTCCTTTGGTGGAAAGAACGATTCAGGGTGTGTACCTGCACCCTGAGCTGAGAGCAGTGCCAAACCTGTGGTCATGTAGACCTTGTGGTCAGTCTGTGGTTGCGCCTTACAATGAGGCAGATCTGGTTTAAGGTTGTTTTGAGGTCTGATTCTGTTTCTGTGTGAGGCTACCAATCAGATTTAAAGCCTCCTGACCCAGACCAGGTCTTGATACTGATAGGGTTGCCATGCTATGGATTAGAGTGGAAGGACAAGCAGAAAGTTGTGCATTTTTAATGACAGGTGCAGTGACAAAGACACTGGAGTGCAATGCCAGTGTCTCGTTTAAAAGAACAGTTTCACTAAAAAGGTTTTTTAAAATCTTCTTGATTCTTTTTTATTCTTTGTAAAGATCCCCATTTGCTCCCTTGAAGTTGTCACAAACAAAAAATGACAAGGCAACTATCTAAAATCACACTGTATTCATAAGATAAAAATGCAACTGGAGCCAAATCTGAACATCAGACATGAAATAAATGATTGAGCGCCTTTGTAAATAAACAGTAATTTACAGTATTGACTTATAAAACAATGGAAACAAAAGCAAAATTGTCCCAAATACATTTTAAAACACAGCCTCAAAAAGGGGGTTAAACTCATTGGTACTTTCAAAAAACAATTTGTTTTGAAGCTGTCACAATTTATTGAAAAATACAAGATAAAGCCTAATTAGAAAAATGTCTTTTTTTTATCTATGTGTTTATTTCATTTCATTTGTAAAGGGATGAAATTATTATCCATGCAGATTGAAAAGCAAACAAGACCATAACTAAAAAATCTATTATTTCTGTGCAATAACGTATGATGTTTTAAGATAAGATATTCCTTTATTAGTCTCAGGGGATATTCCAAATTTACAGCAGCTATAAATACAAAAGAGAAATTAAAGCATGAAGAAACTTAGTAGTTAAAAGATGTAAAAAAAGATATATATACATGACTGTTATTGACAGCTGTCATGTACATGTTGATGTGTTACAGTTGAAAAATTGAGATAATTATATGTATGACTATATCCACAGAAAAAGAATACATGTATAGAGAATATACATGTGTACAAAATAAACATATAAATATGATTTTTGGGATGGTTAATAGGAGGGAAGGCATTAAATTATGTCAGTAACAACATGCAGAAAGATTAAATATCTTTACGGTTTTAATGTTCGTAGTGAGTGATTTGTTTGACTGTTAAAAGACAGCTGGAGGAAATTTCGTGATAAAGCCACTGTAGGAGTTCTTGACTGATCTATAAGAAAGTCTTTGCTTGATGTCTACATAGTGGGTTGGGAATATCAGCCACCGAAATCAAGATTCTCTAAGGTTATAGAAAATTTGATTTATATAAAAGTCATCCAAAAGTCGCTTAACCCTTCCTGTTAAGTTTGGCAGTGAGAAGAAGACTTTTTATATATATAGTTCTTCTTACACTGTGTTTTGCACTGAAGACTGACAATGGAGCAGGGTTTGTAAAAAAAAAAAAAAAAAAAGACTAAGCTTTCTGTTAAAGTGTTGTTTTAGATGAAGAAAATCTACATCCAAGACTTTGCTAGGAAAAAAAAAAATTCACTCACAAAATGGCTACAACCAGGGTTAAATTTCAATTTTCACTGCCCTTTGAGGTTAACAGAGTTCAACCATGTGCATATTCAGGTTATTTGGACATTCATTGGGACACCAGGGCTGTGAAGGGTGACATTAAACCAGAACATTTGGTCACCTTTTTAAAACTAACTACAAGTCATAAATTAGAGTTTAAAAAGATTAGTTGTTGTTGTGTTACAGTTAATCATTTTACCTACACATTATCTTATCATCCGCACACTGCAAACAACTGTCTTGGAAAATACTCAAAGATTATCAAAAAATCTGTACTCCATGTATTTGCTCCCACATTAAATGCTTTATAACAGTGGATGATTCCACTCATGCTCTTCGCTCCTCCAAATCACGGCAACATTAAAATTACTCACAGTGAATTTTAGATACATGCCCAAACAGCGCTAGATAAACTACACAATGACAAAGGACACACAATATAGAGTGACACTGAGCACTACATGTTAATGCACATGTGGACAGACACATAACACAAACCAGCAACAAGAATAGCTTACCAAAGTAGACAGCAGACATAAGTTTTAATGACACACAAAGACAGATATACATCTTTTTGCACTTTTCCTCTATATTCAATGATAAACATTGCAACCTATCTCAGTAAAACATACAGCATCTGAGCTCTCAGTATCGTCTTGAGCCTCCATGCAGATACCACAAACACTGCCACACAGCAGTTTGGCCGACCCCTCCTCTGTCCTCTGTGTTGACCTTACTCTCTTGTCCACATTACCCCAACAGCTTTTTTGCCTGCTACACCCAGGCCCCGGCTCTCACCTCCAGCCCACTCAGTTTTTCCAGCCCTGACTCCCAACCCCTCTCAGGTGCAAAAACAGTTGGAATTAGTCAACAGGCTCACTGCTAATTGAGGTTTGGAAAATATTGTATCAATCCCAGTGGAGCAGGGGCATGGAACAGCTGAGAGAAGAGGCGGGAGGGTGAGAGAAGCTGACTTTGAGGGATGGAGGGTTGAAAGGATAAGAGAGCGGGACAGTGTAGCACATGTAAACAAATACATGATGTTTTTCTGGATCTTAGATTTGGGTAAAAAGAGCATTTATTAATATTGCATGATGATAGTCAAAATACTCCAACTCGTGTTATTCCAGGTCAGAGATTTTAAACAGCAACAGAGATTTAAAACAGTTGTCCTGAACATGCAAGACCATCTGAATGCTTTTAAGTTCCATCATCAGCGCTCTGAGAGAGGAAAAAAAGTCCTGTCTTGTCTTGCGAGCACACAAGCAGAACTGTACACAAACACACACTCAAACACACACAAACACAACAGTTTCAAGTGTCCATTCCTGAAGTCTGTGATCAGGTTTGAGCAAGTTTTCAGCTTACAGAGCCGATACTACATTTGTTAATCAAATCACAGACACACACACATCAGATAAGATAACTCTTGTCTCTGGTTTGTGTAACTGCATGCTCTAAAAATAGATTCACCACTGATCATAAAACACTTGATAAACCAAGTTTCTAAAAATAACTTCACTTAAGTAACCACAACAAGAGACACAGTACAGAACTTTGAGGCGCCTCACAGGAGGGCCTCAACGTGTTTTTCTTTTGACCTATAGCTAAGCAGAAAAGGGTCCAGGGAAAAAACACACTCTTGTGTTTACAAAAGCTCCAGAGGCAGGTAAGCATCATATCCTGTCCTGGGTCATCGGTCATAGCCTGCTAATTAGGCAGAGCAACAGCTCTACAGCTGTGTGGGCACACCCAAAAACCATCTGATGATCAATTTGAGCTGCAAATCATGAAGTTCAGTCGAGGAAAGCAGGAAAAAAAAAATGTTTCTGCAGTCATTACTGTAAATGTGATCAATACAAGAGAGCTTTAACTTCACCTTTCTTTTTTTCAAGTGCTCTGTTCATTTTTGGCAAACATTTTTCATTGCATTTTAAAGGACGGGGTGCCAAATTTGGGGCGTGGCTAAATGCATTGAGCATTTGCGCAGCTTCCAGGTAGTGACAACCCACTCACCCCTCAGAAATAAGGTCACTTCATCAAGCAGCTATACAGCAGAAGTCACTGCGGTCATGTTAGCATCATTCTGCTTCTACAACCAAACTGGTCCAGCTGCCAGGGAGTGTTGTGTTTACAAAGTTTTCCTTGGTGTGCAACATTTTGCTGTTTGATGTGAGAGTTTTCCTGGTTCATGTGTGTGTTTGACTTGGATGGGACCCATGGGAAGAAAATCTTCCACCCTGCTGAAAAATGTTGTGGAAATTATTCAAACTTGTTTCAGACAGGGGAAACTGTCACTCACCAAGGCGAGACTGACTTGAATTTGAAATAGGAAAAGACAAGCAGAGTGTTACAGACCAATGACTAAATGTACTTGAAAGTTTTGACTAGTTTGACAGAGTTTGCAGAAATCAAAACGTTATCCGCATATTGAATTGATAATTGATGATGAAGTAATAAAGTAATGAGAACATTTTGGAGTAAAACATCCATCATATTTTAACTTTTCCTGAAAATGGACGGTTGAATTACTTCAGTCAAGTTTGTTATCAGTAATTTGTATCAAATGAAAACAATTAAACAATATAAAAGTGGTTTCTCGTAGTCTCTGAGTTACAGCGAACCATCCAAGTCTGCAGGTCCTCCCAGCTTCATAGTTCTAATCTTCAACTACGCTATTTTGTTGACTCCCAGCAGAGCAGTTTCAGTTGTAGATACAAAAAACTGCAAATTAGTGAAGACTGAATTTTTGCTTATTGGGTGACCAGAAACATTTGAACCTTGGTAATAGCAGCTGAATATGTTGACAAAGTTGTTTCCTGAATTCGACAATAAAGTTTATGCCATGTCAATAATAGCTTAACCAAGTATTTTGTTAGCTTTATTTCAGCCCCAGATAAACTATCTGTGACTAGTTTCTGCTGTCCCTACCAGAGGAAAGTCCAGGCTTATATATATATATATATATATATATATATATATATATATATATATATATATATATATATTTTTTTTTTTTTCATTTTACATTGGTGGCCCACTTGAGGCACAGCCTGATGCAGGAGTGGCATGAAGTACTCAGGTATCTCTCTTCACTAATTGTATCTTTTGTAATCATCAACATAAAGCTGCCGTAATTCTGTGAATAGGTTTTCAATGTTAACAAAATAACACGATTCAGAGGCAACAAACAAGATGTTAGTAGTTAATGCTCTGAAGACTAAAGAGGATAAAGCACAGATTGAAAAAAGTTGTATTTACAAAGTCATATTTTGAAGTACCAACAAACTGTCCGATGGAAATGACACACTATCAGCAACCTGCTCAAAAAGTCGATTTAAACAAAGGTCCTATTAGGGTGGCCAATGAGATTTCAGGGCCCATGCCACCCCTTACTTGCATCAGGATGTGGCCCTGAAATGGCCACAGTATCAGTCATACTTACAGTGTTTATATTGAAAATTAAAGTAACAACCAGAATGGGGCACAGCAGCAGAGGAGGGCTTGTTTGGACTAAAGACTTGCAAAGTATTTTGTTAGTCTCTCCTCAGCCCTATCATGGAACAACCAAGCTAAATACTGATCAAGATAAGCCAACTCTTTTTATATTTATTCATGGTTTAAAACTATTACTGACCAGCCAGTAGCGCCTCCTCATGCCCAAAGTATGATGCAGTAAAGTGTATGTGACGTTTTACGCTGATTTGAGAGTTCAAAAACAGATTTTTCAGTTAGTATTGGTGTTCAGTGTCTATCACTATCCATAGATTAGCAGCTCCCTCTCACATCATTAGATCAGTCACTTTCAATTTGATCGGTTAGCTATCAGCTTCCAGCAACTTCAACCTGTGTGACTTAAATGAACCATCAAAAAATTATCTCTTCAGTCAGGGCCGCTTTGTCTAAATACGATCATTATTATTCATGCAATAACTCATATTTGATGGCATGGCTAACTCTGAGAGCTCCCTGCCCATCCACCTACAGTATGTGTGTGAAATGCCAAAGCTTTTGACGGGGAGAGCACACCTCCCCTCATGTGCATACATTGATAGCTAAAGCAGGGAGAGCAGCAGCAAAGACCATACCACTCTTACACAGTCAGGGTGATATAATAGTGGAATATCAACTCCCTATATTGATATTATACTACATGTACATAAAGATTCAGTCAGCCTCCCCTCAGAAATGTTGTTTGTAAGTGAAGACTACACTATCGGTCAAGTTAGCGTAAAATCGTGAATCCAATCTTCTCTACCGTCTGCCATTTTGAAGGTGTCAGAAAGTTTATTTTGCCTTGGCAGCCCTTCACCCTTGCCATGACTCACCATTAATTCAGTTAGAGCTCAGACAGGGACGTGTGACTGGATCAACAGCACCGGGGGCTGGAGGGGCTACAGAGGGAAGCACCTGGCCGAAGGAAGTGCTTTGGTGTTTTGAATCCTGAGAATACACATGTTAATGAGGCTAAGAGAAGGGCCGGGGCGTGCTCTGCTCAGTATTGAGGTGGAAATTAAAGGCTAGAGGAGTGCTGGAGCGTTTCCCATTGCTCATTAGGCATTATGCAAGGTCTCCTCTGGGTCGTCTCATCTGAGAAGGGATTCGTGGACATTTTGGATGCCAACAGGAGGGTAAAATCCCACGAATCATGCATTTATTAGCCCCACCTATGAGGACAGTGCATGGCCTCAGCCTGTGGGAGACAAATGAAAATCCACCCTTTGCCAGCTGTTCTTGGAGTTAAGAGGCTGAAAGCTAAACAGAACTTCACTGGCACACGCATGCATCTTGACCATGCATGTTTAATCTCTCTGTCAAACACACACACTCAAGCGCACACAGACACACACACAAACTATTGCCGTCCTGGGAACGTTGCAGGACAAGAGTGTCAGTGTCACCCTAATTAGCCGAGCTCCCTGGTTTCTGCCATCCGGGTTTGATATCATGAATGGGCTTAGAAATGTAGCAATTAGTAGCTAACAACCTTTAGCAGTCTGGCTGCGGCTCCTCTCTGGGATTTACTGGGTTCATCAGCAGGTTTATAGAGTCTGACTTTGGCTCCAGCAGCCAATTCTTTAATAGTATCCCACAGCTCAGGACATCCTGTGGGTGTGAAGGGAACACAAAAGAGAAGATTTCACACTGCCAGTAACCAGAAGCTCAGATCTTAAGACCATTGATAAAAGATGTTTGCACTCATGTTCGACAAACCGACTTAAAAGAAGAGTCTGACACTTGAATACAAGGTTCAAGTACATCAACTGTGAAACGCACGAAGAAACAAATATGGTGCTCGGAACATCATAGAAGTATTAAATGAGGCAAGATTCAGGTGTGACTCTTCTAAATTAGTTTAGGCTGGAAAAAATACTTTATCCAGAAGCCATTCCCAGTTATTTAGGTGCTTTTTCCATATTCAATAAAAAGTCAAATAAGAAATAACAGTGCTGCAGTGCTATTCATCAAAGCCATGCCGTAAGTTTTGAAATTGTACTGGACAGTTTGGTCTTGTCCTTGGCTAAAATCATGTGTACTTTTGTCGTGAAAGGTGTGAAATAAGTATTAATTAGATCAGCTGGGAAAAGTAGGCTGGCTAATCCTACTCATGGGGCACCACATGTTTGAAATCATTCACCAAAGGAAATTCTCACCCAAAAGTGTCCACCTCTCACATCTCAAACCCTTCAAACGCATGCACACACATACACACATCGGCATAATCGGTGTATTGAATTAGGGGAGACAGGTCTTGCCTCAGTCTTAGATAGACCAAGACAGATTAATGGTTTTGTTTTGACCCTTCCAATAAAGCCCTTCACCTCCCTCCTCAAACCAAGCCAGACATCATGTCTTGGAAGGCGTTTAAGTACTGGCCCAGGAATAAAGAAGCTGGAAGAGAACCCCTACTGTCAAAAGGAAAAAGAAACAACTTGGCATCCCTAAATACAGCTACGGCTGACTGGGTAAAGCTACAGGAATTTGAAGGTGTTTCAACTTAAATTCGAATCACAAGGAGCCTGGGATTGGAGGCAATAATAGCAGGAATGTAGTGCACCTGTTGCCCTTGAGACAGGTATCTCTTCTTGCATGATTTTGTCCAAATCTTAAAGGGAGAAATATGCAGCAGTAAAATCAGAGGCCTCAGTCTTAATATCAAGATAAATCAGGGATTCCCTGCTCATTTTTTTGACATGAAAATGTAAGTCACAGGGAATCTTGGATGTGCCTTACTTCCAATAGACTTTAAACCCTCTCTTAGCTACAAATAACTCACACACAAACAAAAACTACAACAGTCTTGTCAGTCTGTGTGGCTAAATATTGACTTGCTGTCAAGCAATTAAGTCGTAAAAATCCAGCTCAGAGCTCCTTGCCATGTGTAATAAACAGGAAGTCTATTCACTCATGATAACTCTGTGGAGAAATGTGTAATCACTGGACTCAGAATCACACCTGAAAATGACATTTTAATGAACTGATCACAGAGCACGTTATAGAGACGTCGAGCAGAAGGCTAAGGACCATGTCGCAAATCTTACCATGCTGGCTTCATTTATTGGGAAAATTTATTTATTTATTGGGAGGAAATATGTCATCAAGAACATTGGATGAAGACATGTACTCTCCTCTGTGGGGTGAAATATGCTACAAAAATAGTCTTTTGCTTCCTAAAAACCACAAGTTTTTAAGGCATTTTTGCCCAGACCAAAGTTTTGGATCAGACAACCATCACTGCCTTCTTTGAAACATGTTTCAGTACTTGACATAGGAATTTACCAGACAGAAAATGACCATAAAATTTTTGTGATGATTTATATACAGTTTAAAACAGAATTTATGAGACTGAATCATAACTGTTGCAATCTTATAACACAAGGAAGTTAATTCATTATGTATTCAGATGTAGTTGATGAGTACAGTGCATATTGTGCAGAAAATTTTTAGCACAAGGATAAAAAAATAAAGATAGATGCCACATTAACAGGGCACTGAGTTTGTCCAAATCTTGATTGAATTTATCTTTCGATTGTCCTGGATATGGATGAAACTTTTTGGAGTACAAGAAGAAAGATTGATAGGATGTCAGAATTTATTCATCTGGTTTATGACGGCTGACTTGTTCTTTGAAGATGAAAGGGCAGACGCCCTGGTCCAAACTATTACCTTGTTGTGAGTGTGTCTCTTGAAAGTAAAAATAAACTAATGCAAATATGAAAGGTGAAAAACAGCAGATGCAATCCAAGTCTGTGCATACCAACAAGTTTAGACCATACCATCTCCACATCACACATATTTAGCGGTACCTGCTTTGTATCTCTCAAGCCATTTTGAAAAGTGAACATGAACCGGATGTGAGTATCGTGTCAGGGCTCTTTGAATACGTGTACACTTAAAATGCATGTGCCTGTGTTTATACTTGTGCCATTGCGGGAGCATGAAGTGGACCCTAAACTGAAAAAGATGTGCGTTTGCTTTCCCTAATGGCTAATGTGAACCAGACCTTACCTTGCACTCAATTCCGTCTGTGTATATGTGTGTGTTTGTGCATAGGGTTTGTGTGCGCATGGATGTTTTTCCCGTCTGGGAGGCTTTGCGTCTCTCTCTCTCACACACACGCACACACAGACACACACACAGACACAGAGGGTAGCAGTGAGGTTTGCAGGACAACATTGTCTGCACCATGCATCAGCCCACTCCTGTTCAGACTCTGACACTTTTCGTCTTAAACTTACTGAACTACAAATTGCTTCCTTCTTCCTTCAAATGAGGCTGTTCAACTGCAACTCAACACCGAGTTTGTGACACAAATTTGGACAGGAATAAGTTGCAGTTCCACTTTCTCTTTTAAAGGAAAAAGTTTAGTAAGTTGAAGACAAAAAAAGGGTTGTATCCAATTTTTCATTATATACTATAAGGACAAATCCTTCACCATCTTTCCATCCTTCTTTCTCTCTCACTGTTTTCACCTATTACCATCCCTCTGCGTCTCTTGCGGTCTCCATTTCCCCCTGTCCTCCCCTGCAGTGGATAGGATTGGGGTCAGGGCCCTTTGGCCAGTGGAGCAAGTGACAGCTCTGACAGGGCCCTGATTTCACTCTTGTGCCTTCTGTCACCTCCCTGTATGCCCGTCTCATTTTAATAATGTAAATATGGGGCAGGCAAAGGCCAGAGAGAATATTTTGTGTCCTGCTGCTCACCGACTGGAACCTGGCTGCACACCTGAGCTACACATGCACACACTTTGAGTGAGCAGTTTTCTGTTTTGAGGGTTTTCAAACTGCTGTCTCATATGGAAATAAAAGTAAACAGCAGAGTTGTAAAGAACTTGATATGATTTCCAAAGACTTGGGAGCAAAATCTCTGCAGTTTCAATGTGATCAACAGAAACCCTGTAATTAAGAGCAAATCACCCAAAGAGTGGAGGCAGATGCTGCATTGATGGCTTATGGATGGGTGGTAGACATGGGGAAGATCTCCATGTCTAAGGGTTCTTTAATGTGACATGAAAGCTCATCGTTTTTAATATTGCAGAGTTGAAGAGGGATAAAGTACTCCCTCAATTCAGCATTGCACTTTTGTATTGCTGAAGAACCCACAGGAGTCAGATCAAAAAATGAAAATTTGTCAATTCATAGCTTAAGTTGTGTCCCATCATAAGTTGAACCATTGAAACAGGAACCCTATTTTCCAAGAATGAAACCACATCAGGTTTTTTAACAAAGTCTTACTATCTTCTAAATGCCAGGCTTTGTCAAACATCACAAAAATATCGGACATGATCTGCAACCCTGTTTTAACTTTTAGGAGCTGTATATCTTATACAAGTACCTGCACAGGCTAAGCAAAACTGCAATAGGGACATAATTCAGTCTTCTGTGCTCAACAGTGCAGTAGCCTTTTAAAAGGGATGTGCATTTATATTATTTACATAGTCGTTTTTTAAAATCTAACTATAGTAGGGTGACCATATTCTGACTTCCCATAAAGAGGACACAACCACTTGGGGGCGGGGTCACAGAGTTGCACGACGCTAAATTTGATAGTTTTTCGGCTTGGATCGAGTGTCTTTTATGTGCTTCTAGCTCAGTAAGTCCACGTGACACAAAAGCTAAACGTACATACAAAACCGCAGACATTTGAAGGATCTTATAAACTTCCCCGGAAAGGCCAGACAAACCCGGACAGCCCCCCAAAAAGAGGACGTATGGTCACCCTAAACTATAGGTGATATGAGACATCTTTTGTCATGCGAATGTAACCACTTAATCCATTGTATGTTTGTTGAGCTGGCTGGTTTAGTGAAACCTCTGACTCTGTGTTGTGTGTAGAGCAAAGCACAGGGGAATCGTTTGCCCGTTAATGTCGACATTTATTATCTGAATAGGATTAGATAATCGTGGCTCACACAGCACACTACGAAAGAACAGCAAGTTCGCATAGCAGCCAGCTAGCTTGCTTGCTAATACATGTACAATGCTGTTCCATGGACACTATAGCATATGTAAGTTAGAGTAACCCATCGAGAGTTTTTCAGGTCAGATCGAGTGTCTTTTACGTGCTTCAGTAAATCCATGTGACACAAAATCGAAACTTGCGTACAAAACCACAGAAATTTGAGGATTTTATAAACTTCCCTGGACAGCCCCCCAAAAAGAGGACATGTCCGGGTAAAAGAGGACGTATGGTCAACCTAATGTATGTATGCATACTGGGGAAGGCACCCTTGAGCCATAGATAAAAATAACTGAATGAATCTTACATACTGGCAAGTAAAAAAAAACAAAAAACACACTCTGTTACACCATCACACCATACATGGTCATACTTGAAGTGTATTCCAGTTTAAACACTCACATCATTGCCATCTACCATATACCAGTGTAAGGCAATATTTCAATAAAAGCAGATATGGATGATCCACATTGAAAATAGTGTTGTGGACACCCAGGGTGGATAAAAGTGGGAAGCTGTTAAGGCTTTTGTTTTCTCCGGAGTTTGTTTGTACTCAAGAGTGGCTGAGTCTGGTCCAGACCGTCGACCAAACCAGCCACAGATGCATCACACCAGCTTACTGCAATTTAGCTACACAGGGGAATAACCTCAGTCTGATGTGGATCCCACCATCCCAGCTGCCCTTCCCAGCACAGGGCACTACAGCGCAGGAAACTGCAGAAGCTGTGAGTCACAAAGCTCCTGGCAGTCAGATCTGTTCGTAACTATCTGTGAAGCCCCAGATAGCTTTCTGTCTGCTTGTTACGGATGTGATGCATGATTTAGAGGCAGTTTGCCGTCCTTGATTAAAGAAAAGGCCTCTTGGTTGGTCAGACTGCGGCCCCTCGGTACCACACAGGCACAGACGAGCACACCGTGGGCCTTCGTTAACCTTTTTCACCTCTGCCATCCTTCACCCTCACTTCACCAGACCACCATCCCAGAACTTGCCGCTTCTCTCAGGTTCTCCTCTTGAGTTACCTCTTGCTTATAAATTGGATGTTTGATCAGTGGAGGGTCTTTGCCCTCTGATTTAGCATCCTGGAGGTCCATAATGAGCTGACCGATGTTCCATTACGTCCAATCACAGCTTAGCATGTCAGAGGAAGTTTGTGTTCAGCCGTCTAACTACCATAGAGAGCATGCTGACAGGACGTGTAGCTTCACTAATCACTGATTGATTGGGAGTGTGTGTGTGGTAGATGTATGAAACCTTGACCTTTTAAACTTAAATTTTCATCAAGGTTTCTTATAGTTTTAACTTGGCTTACTTACCCTTTAGTGTCTGATTCCAGTTGGTCAATTTTGCAGTTTCATTAGCAGTATAAGCACTGATTTTTGAGTGTGGATCATCTCCACACACATTCACAGACGTATCCAGCTGTGGGCAGTGATTCTGGAGTACTGGGTCATTCTGTCTGGGGATAAATCAAACAGAATAATCTGTCCTGCGAGGGGATGGAAGGTAATTGGTTACATTTGACCCGCGGCCTCACGGACTGTGGGAACGCGTCCTTTATCTAACAACGGTAATTGGCTAATGAAACACTTCCGCAACTCCTCCACTAGATTATCATCCACTGGCTGGGATTGGGTGAGACATGAGTGTGTGCATTTGTGTGAGTGTGGCGAACACAAGTGACCCAAAAGGCGTGTGAGTGTGTGGACGTGTGTGTGTCTGAGTCGTCTGGAGAAAATGGCAGGATGCGGAACTCCCTGTGGCCATCTCCACTACGTTATCGTCATCATCTGTCTCATGGTGCCTGCAGCGTACTGTTATGTCGGCAGACCACACATTAAAGGTTGTATGGTTGCCATTTCAACTTAAATCTAGGTTTAAAAAAGGTTAATGTAATTCAAATGAAATCTGCTCCCTGAGGCAGGGATGTTTTGTGTGGCTCCTAATGATGGTACAGTCAGAACCAGACTGAGAGTTTGAAGCGTTCAGCTAAACTCTGAACATCGTAGTCACATATCACAGCTTTGTGTCGAATTTTATTGAATTTTTCTCATGTTTTATTGATGTTATCGTGTAATCATTCATCTTGGCAAGTCATGCCCACGTCAACTGAAAGACAAGAAAACCAGGGTGGGGAGGGTTGAGTTTGTGGGGTGGGTGGGGGTGCCAAAAAAAGCAGCTTAAGTTACACTGGTGAGACAATGTCTCTGAGGTCCCATCAAGTGAGCCATTCATAGATGCAGGCCGAACAGTTTGTGGAGCCAGGGAGACACTCCGATCAAGTGGGGCCCAGGGTGGCCTTGTCTTTTTGTCCCAAGCTGACCCCTGCTCTCCCGCCTGGCCTCTGCGCCCCTCACCTGGTCTGTCCCAGTGCACTGGTAACAGGATACCTGTAATTTGCTCTAATGGCCTTTGAAAGACCTGGCTGGGCTAATCCCTGGAGTGCTTCTCCCAGCAGCACCGTATGAAAGAGACAGGGGGTAACAGGGCCGAGTGCGAGTCCTGAAAGAGGACTAGCCTCTGGATTGTGTGTGGGAGAATGTCACCCCTTGCAGTCGAGGGAGTGCGGGAGTCAGCTTTCAGCGGATCACCACTGTGTGGCTTGTTCACAGGCTTAAAAAAAAAAAAAAAAAACTCGGCCCGCGCTTGTAGAGAGGGTGATTCTCCTGGTTTACACCTCCCTCAGTGGTTCAGTCTAGCAGGCATGGGAAACACGCCGGAGAAAAGCCTGCACACAACTTTAAGAGAGCACTTTTTAAATTGTTTCCAGATTCCTTTGTAAATTGTGCAAAGTAGTTCTTCATGGATGACATTTGCTCACTCAAGAATAGAGAAGATTGGTATCTGCAATATAACAGAGCAGCAAGAGCAGCGGAAATTAAGTTGGAAAGGTTTGATAGAAGCAAAATGCTTAAAGAATGTCTTCAAGTGAGGAGCATTAGAAACAGAAATATGGGAATATTTTACAACAGGATCTGGATAAAACATGGAAGAGTCCTGTTGAACAAAGAATAGAGCTGTTTGCATGAGAGGTTCTTGAACGTGGCCCAAAATGGCTGTACCTGATGCTAAAAATGATAATAATAAAAATAGTAACAGCTTCACTAAACAAAAGCGGCAGATGCCATTGAATATAGACTGAGATAACAAATATGTCAGTAGCAGTATAATCCTATCAGTCTCATCTCCCCTCCAGAGATTCTGATGGAATGTGGGAACAGCAAGTGATATGTGGGCAGGGAGGACCAGCCCTCTGCCAACCTTTTCTCTCCTTTCTTCCCGTCCTTTCTATCCATCCACCCTAATCTTTTGATGTATTTCGCCGCATGCAAGTGGATGGAGTCCCACACATGCAGACCAGCCTGCCTTTATCCTGCTTCCCCACAGTGTAAGGGACATTGTATGCAGTCATATTAAAGTGACAACACACATGCTCACAGTGTGTACATAGTGATTAAGAGAGTGACAGAATGTTTAGATCTGTGTAAGTTCAAGTGTGTTAGGAAGAAAGGAGGCGGCACAGGAATAGTCCTGTTTCTTGTTTCCTTTGTTCCTCCTTCAATTAAGCTCTTTTTTTAAACTTTGTTTGATCAAATCAAACATGACTTGTGTCAAAGGATCCTGTCTGTCCAGGAATCCAGGGTTGAATAACAAAGGTGAAACACTGTTCTGACTCTGGGTAGGCTGGACTCATTCGAGGCTCAAATTAGATCTTAAAGGTCCAGGCTACTGTCGTGGACTGCAGAAATCATAGATTCAGTCACCCCTTGGTTTTCAAGCAGTTGTTATGAAGCCAACCAGTTGCAGTCGCCATATTGAAAATTTTGACTCAGGCTTACTTTAGGCTAAACAAGAAACCAGTCATAAAATTATAAACACCATAACACTGTAATGCAACCGCTGTCCTATAAGTTGTACCTTTAAAAATCTTCTACATTTTCAGTTTTTGTTGACACAGTCAGACAGGTGATAACTGTCTTTTAACTAACAGTTTTAAATACTGAAGTGCAATTTAGTAAAAGATGTTTCCAATATTTTGTAACCCTATTGTTTGCTTATTAAGTAAACAAACAAGGGGTACCTTTCTATATAACACCAGCGCCATTCTCACCTGCTACATCTTCAAAAATAAATTTTAATTGCATACTCACCTGTTTGATCATGTCAACAAAAAATGCAAATTAAAAGCTTCCTTAGAGAAGAATTTATTGTAAAGCCCAAGGCAGATTTTGGCCTCAAGTTTGTTGTGGCCATAATATATCACAGAAACAATAGTATCACAATATTTATAGAAAGCTTGACAATAAAACAACACCATTGGTCAAATTGAGAAAAGGCAAAACAAATGTGGTGTAACATAGGCCTATTACATCATTTAACTTCACAAATAAAAGGAATAACCTCACGTCACAATCCATTTCAAATAATATTCAAATCTAAGATTTCATCGATCCTGTGACCAAAACAGTTCCCCATGAAACAATTGTTTGTTGCGCTTTTATGTTGATATTTTTTCAGTCTTGGGTTTCAGTTGCTTCATTTCCTTACAGATCTGGATGGAAACAGTTGAAACAACATTTAAAAAGTATTACTATTCAGTAGGTTAGTAATGTGAAAGAGGCACTAATTCTAATATCGTATTTGGATTCACAATAAATCTTGAACACCAGTTTTAAAATTGTCTGATCATCTCTCAAAGGGTTGCTTCAGCTAACTCATAAGCAGTCATCTTCATCTATCCTCAGTTTTATGATGTGTGGCAACCAGTAAGTGTTAGCGTACGCTTATTCTTACAAAATGTCAATATTTGCCTCATAACCCCTCCCTCCCTACGACATTTTGTCCAAATAAACAAATATATGAGCTACATACACAAAACCTTTCTTAAGCTGTTAACAGTTTCAGCTCTGCTTTAAAAATGGGTATTTTAACTTATGACCTAATGGGGATTTCTGAGTTTCTGGAGGATTTGGACACTCAACTGCAGTTTTTTTGGGCACTTTAAACTTAATATTTCAACAGTGGAGCTTGCCATTATTATCATTCAATTGCTCGTGGTGGTGTGTGTGTTTGAAATTCAGCCTGGTCCAGATTTGAGCAGACACGTCTCATCATAACTGTCGGATGTCGGATGTATAAATCCCTGTCCTGTAAGAGTTAATAGGTATGATACATGTCCAGACACCCAGTGTAGACGAGCCTGTGGAGGTGGTGGTGTCCTGAGCAGGCTGAGTCAGATGGACCAAAAAGGAAGTGAGGGACAGACAGGCAGTGGGGAGCAAGCCAGCTGATGGGAGACAGGAAGGCGAGAGGAAAGACAGGTATACAGACCTACAGTTGCTCTGCTCTAGGACATAGGTCCAGTCACAAACACATAGATGAAACCCAGAAGGCACACAGATACACAAACATAGCAGAAGTCCTGCAGGGACAGTGGAGCTCCCAGAGTTGTGGTTACAGCTCTTGTAAAAGAGATTGTAAATGTTATACTGCTGACCAGAACTGGCTGGTCCTTTAACCCAATAAAGGAGGTTGCATCATGTGTATTTTGAGTAAGATCCTTCATATTCAAACAGAAATAAAGGCCATCATTTTATCACTACATGAATTAAAATATTATAGACACTGATTTAACCAGGGAAAACCAGAGCAGACCCGACACTTTAACGAGGGTCATTTTGTTTGTGAAAAATCGAAGCATCTCTTTAGTGATTCTTTCGAGGGAAACGAAATTCAGCAATACAGACCTTTTTCCTGATTATGTGATGGTAGAGCAGTATGAACTCTGACTTTCAAAGATCTTTGATTCTGTTAGAAACATGTTTTTGAAAAGACAGCCAGAGCATGAACCTGCAGTTTAAGAACAGATAACGTGCAACTTGAAGCTTTTTTTAACATCATTTGGCATGCAGTGGGACAAAAGAAGACTCTTTTATGATACTATTTCAAATATCTGGCAGATTAGCCTCATCTCCGCTCTACATTTTTCCGTAATACAGTGTTAATGCTGTCACTCACCACTTAAACTGATCCGCTGTTACTGGTTAGATGTTGTCATCCAGATAAAGGCAGACCTGGTTGAGCTAAGTGAAAAAAGATGTTAAAGGACCCTTGAACGACCCACTTAATGACACTCAAAAAAAACAACTTTATCAAACTGATAGCATTTGCTTTGCAACAAAGACAATACGAGTGGTTTAGCTGCTTTTATAGAGGTGTTTTTTTTTCTACTTGGGAGGTTGTGGGACACAATAAAATTCAAGCTGCAAAACAGTCGGTTCACTTTGTTCCCTGTATATTGTCTTTCCATCTCTGCAGCACCGTCATATTTCACAGAAGACTAAAGATCAGCTTTCATATCAGCCTCTTATTGCAATGAGATCATCACTAACCAAAAATCATGTGCCAACCAGCAGTGATATCTGTATAAATGTCAGGCTCCTGGTATACAAGCTTCTTGATTCCTTCAACAACCCACAATGAGTGCAGATTTTTCGTTCAAGCAAAGACACATTAATTCAAAACAGCTATTTTGATTAATGTCCAAAAAGCTCTTTTTAACTCACTGGGACGTTTTAAAGTACATCTTGCAGTCTAAAAAAGTAAGACAGAACTCTGAGCATACTCTCCACGTGCCCTTAGAGCCACACATCCTGACGTTCATTCCCATGCTGACACACATCGTAACTCTGATTTGATCGTCACCACAACCTAAGGGTCATAAGTTTGTGACACAGTTTTCGTGACACAACATTATGTTGTCAGGAAATAAACAATGACCTCTGAACCAAATCAATTTCATGATTGTGCTTTATATGCTATCAAATAAACGTGCAAGGTGCAGTTTACTGCTCATTGGCCTTTGACTGCAGGGTAAACTGGTGACAACCCATTTTTTGTTTGTGAATTTTATTAACATTGATAATTTCGAGTATGTGAAAAACAAACAAAATCACAAATTAATAACTATATAGACACAAAATAATTTATTACTATATTGACAATCTTGTAACTTACAGAAAATCAGCTTACATAACTAAAAAAAAGAGGAAACAAAGTCATACCCTGATTTTGGTAAATCATCCAGTCATCTTTCCATAATAGTGATGCATACATTTAAATTCATCACTACAAATATATAATTTCTTTTATGAAATATCTCAATCAAAAATTTTATTGTTTTATACTAACTGTGTGTCATACACAAATTGAGTGTATTGTAAATCAATCATGTGACTGGGATGCAGCTTTAGGTACACAAAAAAAAGTTAAAAGGAAATATTTTTATTTATTTATTTATTTTACAATGCTTCAGTGCTTTGTAACAGTGCAGGATGACTGTGATAAAAAAAAAAATCCAGAAAGGACATCACATCCCTGAATTCAAAGATACTTCGATGGGTACATACGTGCTCATGTTTGTTTTGAATAGCTGTTGATTTCATTACTTCAGGGTGTAGCAGACCCAGACCTGGCTGGATTAATGTAAAGTATCCAAGATCTGATGTGTTTACTGTTTACTGTGTACCGGTTCTTTTCTTTTTTTGTTCAAGCCAACTTTATGTAGGATGCAGAGTGATGAGCTAATGCATTGATTTCCAGCAGAATTCAAATATTAATTGCACCATAACAAGGATAAAAGTTTGGAAACTCTGATTCATTACAAAGAGTTAACACGCAAAATTCACCAGACGTACCAGTCTAACATAACCCCTTGTGATCTGTGCTCTTGCACCTGAATAAATGTTTGAACAGTGTAAATATGCACACCGTTCAACTTTTTTCCTCAAAGAGCAATGAAGCATTCACACGCCAACATCGTCAGTAACAGATTCAGCGTTGATAAACAATAGTTCAACAGCAGGCATACCTCTTTTTGTTAATCGTGTCCCAGTATCAATGATTAAAACAATGCATGATGTAAAAAGACATTTGCCTAAAGAAAGCAAAATCCTCCTGCTTGCTAATTTACTTCCTGCTACCAAACTTTGCTTATCTTCTCGGCCCTTTTTTCACAAACAGCTGATGATGGTGGAGGAAGAAAACTGCCATTTGAGCTGTTGATGATCAAGAATGTCCTCCATGTAGTCCATAAACTGCCTGTAAAAGTGGTCTTGTTTGGGATTATACTGTAATGTAGCTCAATGACAACAACTGTGCTGGAATTTTGAGCTTTATTGACTTAACTATTACACGAAAGAAACTCAGAGGAAGCTTGATAATTTTCTCGACTTTGCTGCAACAGAACCTCTGATCTTTCCTGGACCTTTTTTTTTCAACAACATTAAGCGAATGCAACATGAATTCAAAACACACCTCAACTTAAAAGTGAATAAACTAGGAATTATTGTTGCCTCGCCTATTCCAGGATTTCAGAAATAACAGTTTGATTTTAACATCAGAAAAGGATCAATTAAAGCTTTGTATGAAACAAACTGATGTCTGATCAGGTAGGTGCAGAGGAGAAAAGGTGAAGTGCATCACTGATGGAAGTTCGTATAAAAAATGTTCATCAGCACCAGCAATACTCAAAGGGACATGTTTGGTAACTCTTTTAAACATGCATTAGTCTAAATAGTGGATAGAAAAGCAACCAAGTACGATCCTTTTGGCTAATTGAGTGCAGGTTACACTCCTTCAAAAGTCCTTGCTAATCACTAGTTGCTGTTTTACTGTACATTCAAGGGTTAACGGCCAATTTTCCATGTCACGCCACCTGTGATGGCCTCCACCAGAGCTCCCGTTCTCATGGTGATCTCTCAAGGTGTTTAAAGCAGTAGTGAGTGATGCAGCCTTTGTGAGCGCAGGCGGCTGCTTCACCCAGTACCAGACCCTTGGAGGGGGTCATGGCAGATCAAAGGTGCTGGTCACAGCCATTAGGGCCCGGCAGCCCAGACCCGACATGAAAAGCTTGTGTTTTGAAAAGGAGGGCAGAAGGAAAAAAACAACAGGGCCCTCTTCGTTTAAAAAGCAAGCAAACTGTGAAATAATTGAAAAGGTATGTCAATCAAGGGCTGGAGCACAGCGGGAACTCTGAGATTCCCAGGCTTTCCTCTGGTTGAGCACTGAGCCATGGAGAGCTGCTCAAGGGTGCAACCCAAGAAATTAAAGACCTGGGAAAAGGAACAAAAAGAAGACAGGAGGAAAGGGGCAGAAAAATCTCTTTTTCTCACTCTCTCTTTGCTCAGTCTTTTTCTCTTAGCGGCTTGAAATTTGGGATAAAAGGAACCATTTTGCCACACTTTGTAGAGACCCATTCAAAGTGCCTGGTCATTAATAAGATCTTGTCTAGCTCTTCACCTCTCAGGTGAGTAACAAAGATTTATTGGAAGGGGGGGGGCCTGCCCCTGCAAGCAAAACCCCATCTTATAACCAGCAACTTCACCCTGTACTTGCTCCCTCCACCTCCTCCTCCTCCCCCATACCATGAGTCTGACAAAAGAGAACCCCGTGAGAGTGTCTCCCTCTTTCCTTTCTGCCCTTTTTTCAAAGTCAGAAAAGGCTTGAATGATCTGACGATGGGCTAACATCCAAAAAATAGGGGATGGAAAGAAAGAGTTTTAAAAAGACAGGATAAAAGACTTTTTCTATGCTTTTAAAAATCCCATAGAGGAGAAATAAATGGCAAGCCCACAGTTGACTACACACGTATAGTGCAGGATTTGCTTGTAATGGTAGCTTGGGCTTATTGACAGTCCCAGCCAAAACATGTCAAAGGTTAAGAGATCTTGCCAATTGCAAGTGGGAAGCCAAAAGTACCTTTTTCATGAGCTCAATGGGGCAGTCGGTTGATACTTGCTCGGCAGAATGTAGAGCAGGAGTGACCTCCAGTTTGCAGTGCAACCAAGGAACAAAAAGTTAATTTGTCTCCATTATTTCTCTTTCTCTTTTCTCTCTTAAAGCTCCTGTGAGGAGTTCTTAGCTGGATATGGATATACAGACAGATATCAATACTGTTGCCTCTCTGTTACCTGAAAAACAAACAAGACCATCTGCATAGAGATTTATCTGTTTTGTGAGTATTTTCTTACTTTTAGACTAGCCAATTATTCACAGTTTGTATCTCTATTTAAACAACCAAAGTAAGACATTATACCATTTAAAGAAAGTACATGAGATCATTTGTTAAAATATAGTACAGTCACATGCAAATTACAAAATCAGAAATAAGAGGCATTGTTTTGTCCACAGGGGGCACCAAAGTCAACGAAAACCAAAAGCCCCTAAGTGGAGCTTTAAACCGACAATTTTCAGATAAGCAATTATTCACAAGTTTAGGCATTCTAATTTATCTTAACATAATGGCTACACAATAAGACCTTAACAAGGATCATTCTGATGGAAAACTGCATTTCTTACGCCTTTTGTAGATGTTTTTCATACTTTAAATTAAGACAAAGACATTATTTAAACTTATATTCACTCTTTGTTTCACAATGAAGAACAAAAAGAACAATTTAGCGTCATGGTTTATTTGACCAAATTGATTTTAAGATGATTTGTAAGATGCTAATAATTATAGCTGTCAATTTTTTTTTCACAATAATTCAATTTCCCAATGGTTGCTTCCACTCCAATCTCTAAATATGAATCAATTGAGAGATTAAAAAAATAAAAAATAAATAATATCTGTGACATTTTTAGTGAAAAAGGTAATTTAGCATCCCAATTGTCAAGATTTGCAGACTAACCAGGCTATGAATCTCTCCAACACATCCAGTAATGTGACCTTTGGTTATCCAGCAGTTAGGAAGCCCCTCTAAAGACCTGGAATAGCTCGCTCTTATTTCTCAGGCTTTGAACACAATGGAGTGACTTTTCAAAGGGGCGACTGGGAGTTATATGGATCTAACTGGTCTTTATGAGTGTGTGGTCAAGCGTCCAGAGCCCAAGTGATTCCTCGAGACAACGTGAAATACCCGTTTCATGTCCTCAGATCTTTTGTGTCGTCTGGCTGCTAAACTGGTGTGTATGAATGGAGTGACATGTTGGGTACTACACAGGAGAAAGGATGATATTTCATTTTTTTGTGGGTACAAGCAAACAGATAATAACCAGCAGACTATCACATTAACTTTTTTTTTTTTCAGAACAAAGTGCATTATCAATTTTATCTTCATTTTATTTATCAAGTATTTAAAACCTTTTTGTGCCATTTATTGTTCACAAGGTTTCGGGTCAAATAAATAAATAAAAATTAAGTCAATTTCAAGAATTGTAAATCTTTGGAAATTGTGCTATAGGTTGTGAATTATAAGAATAAATCAAAAACAATTTCTTCATTATATGTGGGCAGACAGCTACTCCCCTCATTTCCCCCTTTAAAATGATATACAGCTCATGGGTTAAAAGACTTTATTTTCTTATCGACTTTATTCTCTTCTGACTTTATTCTCACAACCTGGAATAATCAGATCCATCTGCCAGCTCATATTTATTCTCTTTGGCAGGTTATGTGGAACCACAATAGACTGGATTTATCAGATCCTTTAGTTTCATATTAGGAAGGGTTTAAATGGATTTGCCCTAATTCATTGGCTACGTCTTAGTTGGTTTATTTATCTCCTTCAGTCTTTAACTTGCATTGTTTGCTCTCATATTAGCTCCTCTTGTTGAAGAATCAAAAGAGACCCAAGGACGGAGGAGGTGTAGTAGCTAAATAAGGAATCCTTTCCCCAATTCTTTTAGAGTCTTCTCATGTAAAATCACATTGGTAATATCTGGTATGACTGATTTAAAGCAAGTAGTGGTATTTTACAAAGTAAATAAATTGTTAAGTCTTGATTTTACCAAAGACTACTTGATTTAAGAAAAGAAGTGAACCGTTTGGATCAAGCAATCCTCATGAGATGTCATGGCTACTTCTGAATCTGGTGTTGCAGCTTTTAAAATGAATGATGATGATATGTTTTCATTAAAACAAGATCAAACAACTGCACATACAGCCTTCATTGGTAAGAAAGATGTGTCCGCTGTACTGCTGCTCTCCGCAGCGTCACACGCTGTGTTGTTCTTATTGTTTGTAGGCATAGACTGTATATAGAATGGACAGCATCTGCCTCCTTGATGGGTGAAGCCACTCCGAGAACAGCACCCTCTGTTGACGGGCTGCAGTATAGATCATAAATCCCGCCTCCACCAGCAAAGCTTATGGAGCTATGGACAAACTTTAGAAATTTATTACACAGAACATAATTTTTCTCCCCCCTGCTTGTGATGTTGACGTGTACTTACAGTAGGACTGGTTTGAGCTCAAGTCCTCTTTTTTCTGTGAAGCTCCGTTTTTAAAGTTATTAGAGGGTTCGTGTTTTCTATGACTGACACCTGATACAGCCTATTGGCGTTCAGGGATTGCATAGCTCAACCGGGGGATATGCTGTTTGAGCCGAGTGTAATCACATCGACTCATGGCGACTCTCCCGCCGAATGTATACAACACTACTGTGCAATGCTGGTTTCAGGAAATGAAGAAAAATCCCAGAAATACTGAGAGCTTTTTGGTTTCAAATCCATATACAGGCGGGAGGCGGAACCAACTTGACCACAGTATATACAGTCTATGGTTGTAGGTCTGTGTCTGTGTCTGTGCCTGCGTGCGGCCATTGCTCATGTCTCCTGGAAAAGGTAAATCAATTGAACAGATCTAGACCAGTTTACCTGGTCTGGCAACACCAGGCTTCAATTATTCTGAATTTGATCAAGATTTCATTTTTTTTCCCCCTTAGTGTCCCCCATTATTTGGAGTACTTTTTAAACCAAATGTTTCTGCAGGTTGATTCAAGCATTTCTAATGTTAACATGACAACTAGCCAATTAGTCCTTAGAGCCCAAACCAAACTTTAACCAGCGTGATTTTTTTTTTTACCCCAAAACGGACCTATTTTTACTAACCTGTATACTAAACACTTTCACGTTACTTTTTAAAAAATAAAGAATATTATCAAGTCATCCTTTATTTATCTAGGTCTAGTGCGAGCCTGTGGTGCAGTAAACTTTTTTTTTTCATGTTCAACTCCTGATGTGACAAACATCCTTCAAACACACCCACTGAGCCTGGAACCCAAATTATGGCAATTACCACTGGCACCACTTTCAGGCACCAACGGTTTTCATTGGCCTGGACTAATCCCCCATAAATCCTTGCAGCGCTCCAATCACCAGCCGAGCCTCAGCTAATTGCTTATGAGTTCCTTGCACGCTCCAGGTGCCACCGTAGCACACCCTGTGTTTGTAAACATAACTCATAAAGAAGAGGCTGCCATCAAAGTGTTAATGTTTCCCTTGGAGGATCAGAGGCGATGCGGGAACGATGGGGGTGCAGCTGTGGGTTTGTACCTGGATGTCCTCGACTGAGGCATTCCCTCCTTCCCCACAGCTGTGGCGAGCCCATGAGAGGGCTTCTTTTACACGCTCCTGTCAGAGAAGAAAGACACTCAACAGGAGTTTGTGTTTGTTTACCTTCCTGTTCCTTTCTGTCCTCCTTTTTTACTCTTTGTACTTCTTGGTGTCTGTGCCTGAAGTAGATGACCTCACTGGGTAAGCACGGCTGCTGTTGTTCAGAGCTGAAAACAAAGTTTAAGATAGTTGCGTGCTTGGGGAGATGGGGGCGGCAGATGTGAGCTTTTTTAAGTTTTAGAGCCCCCCTGGATGTGTTCTTTGAAACCAGAAACAGTAGCCTAATGATATTAACAGCTGCCCTGGGGAAAACAGGTAGTTTGTGAGTCACAGTTTTGTGTCAAAAAGCAGGGATTTGCTGTCATAGAAAGAAATTCTTTAAAGAAAAGAATCACATTGCAAGTCCTTTTAGAGCACTTGCATGTCCAAACAGGTTTAACAGTTTTTCTTGTTATCATCCATTTCAATACGACACAAATTCCTGAACATGACCTCAGCAAAGTGAGACAAAATCCAAAGCTTTCATTTGTACAAAATCACATTTTAAATTTGAGCTGTAACCAACAAGGCTTCAGCCGTAAGAAACTGAAAAATCACAAGAACATGATCCAGAGTGAAAGTCTTTCACTGACAGAGCAAGGCCTGTGCTTTTGCCTCTCATTGAATGAAAAATTTAACAAGGGGTCACCTGGCAACAAGTACGCATTGGAAGTCAAGATGGTCAAAGAAAACCAAAAACTCTCAGGTGAACTCGTGGATTTTTGAGTTCTGTATTCTACTTCAAAGTGGTAGTATCAGCTATTTCACCAAATGTTATTGATAACTTCAAAGGTCAGAGCCAAAAGCTGACGAGGTTTGAATCGGCGAGCTTTCAGCGCACTTTCCACACTGCCAGCGGACACAAAAATGTCACTGCGCCAGCTGATTCTTTGAAACCTCCCCCTACTGCGCCAACACGCCCAGTTTGGCACATCTTGGTGTGCCTCAGTCTACCAAAACATCAAAGTGGCTGTGCGCCGGGTTGTGCTGGACTAAAATACCACTGTGCCACCCTACGCCGCTGGTGGGAAGATAGAGCCCATAAGGTCTCCATCACCCTGTTCAGAGAATGGTCAATCAAAAATCTGTATTGTAGGGTGAATTGATGATCACTCTCTGTTTCTGAAGACCTGCACTAGGTGCACCAGCTATGCTTGAGTTCTTATTTGAATGTAATTTGATTTGGATTAAGTTTACACTCTATGTCTATCTTACAAAATCTTAAAATTTCATGGAGGCTCATTTTAAAGATTGGGATGAATTGGAGGATGAGGTAAAGCACAAGATTTTTCTAGTTATTTTGTAATGGCAGCTTGTTTTCTTTGCATCCATACAACAATTAACATGGATGGTTATTTTGATCTGTTGTCCTGTTTTTGTTTTCTGTAAGCAGAAATCAATTCATCTGCATGACAACAGAGTATGACAAATTTACATATGTTGAAGTACTCAATTTAACCTCTCAGTGTCACTATCAATATTTTACTCTGTAGTTAATTTTCATCTTAGTGTGAGGAGAAATGTTGCAATAAAACAGTATCAGCAGTAACTGTCTTTCCAATAAATTAAGATATTGATATTGCGTTGAAAATAAGTAAAGGGTGTAACCATGACTTAAAAACAGTGGAGAGACAAGAAGTTGTAGATTGCTGCCAAGGTACCTGTAGTATCCCTCTAAGAGCTGATTGGGTGCTTTTCAAAAACTGACATTTATATTTATTATGAATCCAAAAATAACATTAAAGCTTGTACTTCTTTGCCGTGATTTTGACTGTTTTATTTCAGTTTTTAAGTTATGGTCCACTAGAAGTAGTATATCAAAGTAAAAGCATAGTTCCATCAGGCAGGAAAAAGTAACAGAAAAAATGTCAAAATAAAAGTGTTACAATCAATTAAAGGCAATGTTGTTTCCAAAGAAATTTCTATCACTGGGCTGGTGATGTGGATAAATCACAAATTTAAAATGTTTTATTTTTCAGTGACGTGCAAGATAATTGTGTGTTTATTAAGCATTGTGTAGTCCCACTGTATCCTCAGTTCGACTGATGGTGTTGTTATAGTTTCAAGTTTTCCAAAAACATTGATGTGATATCATTATTGCAATATGTATGGCCATGATAATTATAAGATGAAAATCTGGTATTGTGATGCTCTCTAACTGTGATGCTTTATCATATTTTACTGAAGTTATTTCCAGCCTTTGGCCCCGAGAGTGTAAATCAGAGTCAACGCTTTTACTACATAAAAAAAGAACTTGTCACTGATTGGCCAAATAGAGTGAAAACATAATTTCTGTGACAATATTTATATTTCAACATATGGGTTTGTGTTGACCTTACACCCTGATTTCAGGCTTAACTTTTACACAGCTGGGGCAGTGAGCCCTTGAATCAATCCCAGATCTTTCACCTGTTGTTACTCTAATCGTGCTGACAGAGATAAATGATGTTAGCCTTGTTTATTATAGACTTTTTTGGATATATTTTTGACCCAAACTATCATCTGTAACCCAAATGGTCATTTTTGTAACCCAACTTCTATCAAACCTTTGCTTTAGCCCTATCAGATTATTTCCACTGACTCACTTTCCAGCTGTTTTGCTCAGTCGGTTATTTCTTGGTAGCACATGGCCGCTATGAATATACTCATCTTTACAGAGCCTGTTTGAATTAAGTAAAATGATGTCAGTCTGCCAAAACACAAAAAGGGTGGTCCAAGGTTGACTTTGATGGTTCATGATGTGGAAAAAAGACAACAAAAACATCGGTGAAAAGGTACGAAAGTTTAAAGACACAGACACTGTGGAAAGATTCACAAAATTAAAGCTGAAGCTTTAGGTAAACATGTAACAGAACATGTATGGGTTGCAGCAGTGTGTAAGGACTTATAAAGGAAGAAGAAAATGTCATAGACTGACAGTGATGGGGCAGAAAAACCCAGTCAGAGGCTGTACTGGTTCCTGTTATCTTTTATTTACCCTATTTTACTTCACATTAAGTAAAATAGTTCAGTTTACTGTGAATTAATGTGGGTACCATTCCTATGGATGCATCTCAAACTGAGTGTGGTAGACTGTTTTCATCTGAAAAAATAGTAATCTAAATCATTCAAAATCAGTGTGTGATGTAAAATTGTTTATTTCTTGTGCAATTAGCTGAGATAATGTGTTGCTTAAAGGTTGTTATAGTGGAGATGTATTTGTATCATTGTGAAAAGAAAAGAGTGAACTAAGTCTTTAAGTCAAGTCAAAAAGAAATGTGTCTTTATTTCATAAATAAACATATTAACTCGAGTCCTTGTGCCAAGTTCAGCTTCACTGTTCTCTCCAAAACAAATTTGGATTTGCACAAATAAATAGGTAGAAAAACTGGAACACCTGTGAAACCCCGAGGGTTTATTTGACAGTTTTAAGACTGCTCAGAAACTCAGTCGGTGCCTTGTACCAGACCTGCGGTTGTGCAGAAGCAGCTGAGGACGGTCAGTTTGGTGGTCAGGTGCTCGCTGCTGCTTTTATGACTACATTTCCTACCGGCTCTGGGTCACCCTGTCCTTCAGCACCTTGATCTCGTGTTATGTTTACAGCAAGTGTCCAAAGCCAACAGTAATTTTTCACAAACATTCAGCAGGTCCTTGCCTCTAAGCAACAACACTGCATGTTTTCCCTGCATAGACTTCGTTTCCAGGGGTGTAAAGAGAGTATTTCGTGCTCTGATCTGATAACAGGCCTCATCAGGGTGCTTTTGAAGGTGTAAGTGGGAAAATAAAGCCAGGAAAAATGCCATCTAAAAGAGTGCTGCTTCTTCAGTAATTAGCAGCTATTCAGCACCCTGTGGTAAGCCCTGGGGTCATCTCCAAACCATCTCCCTATCGTAGCCATGACAATGGGTGCAGACCTTTTATTTTTGTATGCAGACAAAAACCAGATCAAGAGTGAACCACATGGGACTTGTTTGCAATCACTGCCCAGAGGAAACAATTAGCCCACAAGCTTGCCAGCTTTTTCATGGAGTGAAGTGTGTTGGAGAGGCTGCTAAAGAGGCCAGCGCAGACAGGTTTTTATGTCCCTTAGTAAACAACACAAGGCATCATCAGGATGGAGCATCACATCTGGAGTCTGGAATTTTAAATGCAAGCAGTACGGGATAGTAACGTTGTGTAGGATTGGTCACTGTGTATGTTTGAGTTAAATTCTTATGCTAGATGTTCTTACACAGGAGTGTCAACTAATGAAGCATCTGTGAGAAAGTTGTGATTATTCCCTATCTTGTTGGGTGTCATCTAACCTTTACCTGCTGATCTAAATGCACTTAGCTTTCTTATCTCCTTCCAAAGAAAGCTCTTGCAGGTCACTGTACATGTTCTACCTGTCTGTGAGTATTTCCCCAGAGCATGTGTCTGTCTGGTATCCTAATCACTAATGATGGACCCTTTTGATGGGGAAACTCCCTACACTAGATGTTTCTAACCCAGACTCCTGTTCTCTCTTTTATTTTCCAGGCCTGATGGAAATCCGATCTGTCAGTGTGGGAGTTGTTGCCATCAAATCTGTCAGCACCGGGCTGTACTTAGCTATGTCCAAGAAAGGCACGCTCTTTGGATCGGTGCGTATACAAGCTGGCATGATTGTTTCTGAAGGTCTAGACGGCAGGGAGGAAGCTGAGAGGACGGGGAGGTATATGTGCATAGGGGTCCTAAATGAGCACCTTTCCAAACATGTTTGATTCTGCAAATATGAGGAATCTCCTGGAAAGTCCAGAAAGGGTCAGAAGAGTTACAATCAATCATGCCTGTACACCTGGCTAGGCCATAGTTGATGATACTTCTAGCTTGAGTTGGCTTGTTCCACTGTCATAATAGATAGCGAGGCAAAGAAACCCAACCAGAGACGACAAAGAGCCACCTGGATTCCCAAAAGTGTCTGCGTGCCATCTGCCAATTGTTGTTTCTGACAGAGGGCTTTTAAAAGCAATCATCTCACTTTGTTAGAATCAGCTGAACATCTGACCGGAGGTGTGTGGTGTCTAGCTCATGTATTTATATCTTGGAAAATAAGGACTCAGAAGAAGGCAATCAGTCAGCAGCAGAGATAATGCAAGTGTCTTCAGAGAGCTATCACGGTAAACAAACCCGAAGGCTAAGGTATTTACTTGATTCCCATGGTGAGAAAAAAACAGTAAAACATGCCAGACCCATACTTTTGGATGTTATCAGGACCTCAAAACCAAAAGATAATAATCTGGAAAAGGGAGATAAGATTCAATCCTTGAATCAAAATGAGATCATTAAGTCTGAAAACATTTGTCAAACTATTCTCAAAGGATAAGTGAAATCAACCAACCTGTTGGATAAAAGTCATTCCATATGTGCAGATAGAAACTGCAATGTCATGGCGATGTTTCAATGTATGTATAACCAAATACATCTGAGTCTCGATTTATCAGGCCTTAATTCACACATACTATCAAAGCAACCATTAATGTACACTTATCTGACTTGCTTCATAAACACACATTAATGAACATAATACAAAGCAGCTGGTCTGCAACAGCATGTTGACATACACCAGATGTCAAGGGTGCAAGAAAAGGTTGTTGTTGTTTTCTTTAAACAAAAGTTCAGTTTCAGTCAAGTTATGTTAGCGTTACTATATTACAGATTTCATAAAAAGAAAGCAATAGTGTAACATTCTTTGAATTAAATGCCATCCTTCTCCTGTTTCACTAGTGTTCTGGGACCCTTTAATTTCGATCATGGCTCTTTCACAGCAGTCTTTGTGGAGGATTGTATTTTGTTCTCTAAACCAGAGGCTCAGAGGTTGGCATGACCAATTTAGCAGAGTCTATGTTTGTATCAGAGCTGTCACTATCATAGCCTACTCCATGCATAAATGTTTGTATTGCATGTAGGGAAATGTTTAAAATACCTAAGGCATCATGTTGCTTCAACCCTGTGTTTTCTGGAGGAGGCTGTGATGTCACCTGTACTAGCTCTTAATGAAACACTGAACACTCAGGACATTTGTGTGTTGTTTAGACAAATTGATGTATTGCCTTTCTCGTCTTTGTATTACTTTATTGCATAATGGTTAAGGATAACCGTAGCATTGACCAATCTTAAACCGTTGCACCACTATTTCTATGGCAACAAATTCTTATTAGCTTTCTTGCTGTATGAATCAAAAGCAATCTGAACATTTCAAATTACAGTCAACTCACATCAAAACATTAGCCCATTAGCCCATTAGCCTGCTTATTTGTGTTTGATGAAACCTGACACCCCCCCCAAACACACACACACACATTCTTTGAGCTTTGCAACTGACACACCTTAAAACATAAACAAGCAAACTGCTGCAATTTATTTAAAAAATTAAAGATTACATTTTGAGGCTATAATTATGGTTAGGACAGTGGATAAAGTAGGAAACTGGGAGAAGTGAATGACTCCAATCAACATGGCACAAACTGGGTTTGAACCCTGGTTGCCCATGACATGGACTATAGCCTCTCAACATTAGATGGAAGATTTCATCACTGAGCTGAATGGGCATCTCAGATATGACTGCTTTTTAGACTACTTTCACTGCTGCTTATTGTTGACGTTATTTGCAGGGATCTGCGTCTCAAAGTTATACAGACCTACTGCTGTTTACTGGATCACAGCACAGGATTTTGATCCACTTTTCCCTCAGATTTACAATTTACAATGTTATTTACAAGATGCTTTTATCCAAAGCAACATACATTCGAAAACAACTGGGCACAGCCAGCCGGGGCAGGCAGGGTCAAGTATCTTGCCCAACGACACTTCAGCACATGCACAGCTTTGGAATCAAACCCCTGACCCTCTGATTGGGAGACAACAGACTCTACCAACTGAGCCACGGCTGTCCTTCATGGTTGAAATGGTTGGGACCCTGTCGCTCTTTAGGCTGCACTCACACCTGTGCCCAGTTTCTCTCCATCTCAAGACCAGTCTGAAATAGAAACTAACATTTTGTCTCAGTGTTTACCAATTCAGGCTGTTCATGAAATCTAAAATTTCACCAACAAGCAAAGATGAATTACAGGGAACTTATTTGATATGACGTGTTTGATCAGGTTGCCTGCTGTGTTGCCCTTGTAATTAAGAATTAATCACCATTGCTATGAGATTCAAGTACCAAACACAGCTGGGTAATATGTAAGAAAGCTGGGTAATATCACTTAATAATTGTGGTTTTATTTGTGGAATAATGAGGTATTTTATGGTTTTAAGCTCTGTTTTTGATGACTTTGGCAGCATAAGTCTTTCCAGAACAAAGTCTTGGTTTCTCAAGATATTCCACAGACCTCATGGTGATCAGTTTCAGACACTGATCAGTTTTCAGAGCTTGGGCCCAATAAAAACTAACTCTGAGGCCTGTGGATTGTTTTGAGTAACCACAATGTTGTTACTGGATAGACAGGCTAGTTTCCGGTTTTTAATTGGAAATATTCAGTGCCTCACAGAAAATACCAAATTCCACCAAAAGAAATAAGTTTCAGGAGTGAAAACCTCAAAACCTCCACACTTTCTTCTTGGAAAGACAAACTGTGTGAGAGGAGATGTTTGTTTTTATATAATTCTGTTAAACCAACTCTTTACGTCTGGACTAAAAAGTCTATTGTGGCTTTCTGAGGGTAATAAGATGAATACTTTGTGATGGTAAAATGCTAAAACAATGCTATAATCATGATCCCACACCTGGAAAATCCTTTAGCAACAACAGACATTAACCTTTGTCCTCTTCTTGGAAGACTGCCTAGCAAAGCACAGAAGGAATATAAGTCAGACATAAGTTAAACACTCATCCATTATAGCCTCCTTAACCTCTCTGTCTTCTTCCCTTGGATCCTCCAGGTGAAGTACAACCCAAGCTGCAAGTTCAAGGAGCGCATCGAGGAGAACGGCTACAACACTTACGCCTCCCTCCGCTGGAAGCACGGTGGCAGGCAGATGTTTGTTTCACTGAATGGACGGGGGAAACCACGGCGAGGTCACAAGGCTCGACGAAGGCACCCGTCGACTCATTTCCTGCCCATGCTGCCCTCCTAGCTACCCAAGTCTGAACACTCGCTGACAACTGGCTGGCTCATTTGACTCCTCACTCTAGAAACAGTGACCTTTACTTTTACGGTTTCATTCTCCTGTCAAAAATGTACATTTGTTAAGGTTTGTAACATTTGTAGAAATAGTATAATATGTTCTTTTAAGTTATTTTCTCTGTTTTCTACTGACAGTGGAATTATATAATCAGACATCTGTCTGGCTACAGTACCTGTCTGTGTGTCTCAAGTGCATTTATAGCAGATGTTGGGTTACTTTGGGTGGCTGTACAAAGACTGAAAAAGGCCAGCACGGAACAAAATGAGGCTCATTGGTTCATAAATTTAGCTCTTCTACTGCAGATGCAAAGAGAAAAGGAAAAGGGAAGCTTCTGGTACGGTATATATATATGAAATCTGTCAAAAGACAAATATCACAATTGACTGAAACATTAGGGGAATCATAAAACATGACAACTCTTACATCCCAAGTGTTTCTTGGGATAAACTGTACACTACTCATTTAGAGACACTGATCTTGACCTGGACTACACTGATGAGATAAAAATCTCTACTATATGTTCCTCAACATGAAAACAACACAAAAGACGTTAAGCTAACTACTGGGATAACAAGCTACATTTTCTGAATGACCTTTTGTATGTTTGTGCATGCTTCTGACTGCTTCTTTTATCCAACAACCCACAGCTCAGAAACGAGGAATCGGTTTTAGAGGAAAAAAAAAAAAAGACTTTCATCAAGTGTGTGAGTCCTGGTCAGTTCAGTTTGTGAAAAAATTATATACATTTTGAGTTAATGCATTATAGCAGCTGTAGGTACACCATGTCTTTACTAGCAACTTAATTAATTTTTACACACTTATACAACAGTTACTGTCTCTCTGTTAAGTCTTGCTAACATTTTCTCAACAATAAGGCTGTTGCTAATAGAACAATTAATATATTTAAAACATTTTGTACTCTTTAACTGTTTGGAGTTGATGAATATTGTAATTGTTGACTTTTTGTGTTAAACTGTAGTTATATTGTTAAAAAAAAAAAAAAAAAAAAAAAAGAAGAAGAAGGGAACAAGAATCATACTCCAGTCCATATTCGGCTCATTTAGTATGTTATTACTACTGGTACTATATTGGTACGTATGTGATCCACTTATCATAAGCAACTTGTAGCTGTAGGCCTGTAACAGTAGGTTATGTGTAAGGCCAAAGTCTCAGAACAAACAATCTTTAGATTCATTTCAGCAAAGTAAAGTTATTTGAGTGCCTTGGTACATGCTGAGTTTGGCAAACTTCAATAAAAAATGTGCATAAATCATGAGTCATAGCTCATTCGCTTATGCCTGCAAGTCCTTTGTAAATCCTCAAGTGCTAAATGTGAAGAGAGGATTGGAGAAAAAAAAATCTTGTCCTGTTCGTGACACTGATTGTTAAGTGCTGGTAACATCTCCATCCAAGCTCCCCCCCCCTAACATAATCCCCATCCTCATCATAATCATGACAAAACTCACAGCAGGAGAGGCGTTGATGTGAAGGACCTCCCTGAGTCTGATGAAAGCTCTGTGGTTATGAACTATGCGACTGAGCATTGAGGTCATTTACACACAGACGAGCCCTCCAGTGGCACAGGAGGCCTACTCAGTCTTTTCAGTGAGCAGAATGGAAAGTAGAGGATGAATAGTGGCTGTTTGGGGTGAATAAAGGCCAACCTTTCAGACTGTCATAATGTGAGATTACTGTGACGGGGTACATGTCTGGTCAGAATGGCGTGAAGTCACACTGTAGTTCAGCTCCAAAGATCAGTATGGGGGAGTCTGGTGAGGCTGTTGCCATTTCATTGTGCTCGTCTATGCACCCCTGTGGGATTGTTACATATTTAGAAGTGAAGACAACCTTTAATTTTTCCACATTTATGCTGCATTTAACTGTAAAATATTTTCTAGTAATATTAGAAAGTCTGGAGTTATGGTAAATACACTCATTTGCTCAAGGTTAGAGAAATAATGGGTACCACTTCATATCTGTTGCTTAATGATATCAACAGCTTGCAAACTAAACTGCAAGCTTAAACTGGAAACCGGAAACAACCTCAAAGTTATCCCTGCTCTGTTCAAGGTTGGCAAAATCACACTGTTAGTGGGGTTAATGTCAAATGTTTTACCTGTTCGAATATGGCACAAAGCATAAAAACTACAAACTACCAAGATGCAACAGCATACAGAGAAACATTAAACCCTCATGCTATACTTGTTTTTACATTTTACCTTTAAGCAAATAAGAGTGACAAGCTAGTATTTATAGTTTTTTTCCGTATGGGTGCTAAGCTAAGAGGTGTTACCCCTGTTTAAAAGTTTGGTGATTCCTCTGTGCTGTGTGAAAAAAAGCCACAATAAATGTTAGACTGTTAAAGGGATATTCTAACTCACCCACTCTCTTCCAGCAGCCGCTTGTTTGTACGGGGACCTCGGGCGAGTCCATCACCAACTGCAGCGGGGTGACGCAGCTCAAGGAACAACATTTATGATCATTACTTCATGGAAATGCAATCAGACCGAGACGCTACGTCAGAAGAACTATCACATCTGCAGTGCAAAATGATTAATATGGTGATTATTACTTCAAGGAAATGATAAAGAAATTATCATAAATGTTCTTCCTTGAGCTGCGTCACCCCGCTGCAGTCAATGGACTGGCCTGAGGTCTCCATACAAACAAGCGGCTGCTGGAGGAGTGGGTGAGTTGTGTTTAGTCTCTTTGCTAAAGAAATCAGGCAAAGCTGAAAAGATGTTTGATGGCTACTGCTGTGGCTATATGGACCCTATATATACTGTTGATGAAGTGAGGTGCTGTTCTGAGCATTATTTGTGGCTATAGAGTGGCTTTTTGGTTGAGCGCATGGCTTCTGTGACCGCTGTGTGTTGCTGTCCCGCGGTTGTTACTAAAGTTGGTTTAACTAGAGAAGCAAGAGGTTGGCAACATTTATCTCTCAACGGGGTGTCTAACTCAGTGTTACGGTGTGTTTGACCTCAACTTAATTCTAGCCGGGATATCCCTTTAATTTGCTCCTGACATATAGCCAGGTAAAGTCAGCGAGTGAAAACAGACTTGGAGAATTCATGAATCAGATGGAGCTATGATGGTTCAGTACTATGCAAGCGAAGCCAGTGGCCCTCTAGTGACATCAGTGGCTCTGGCAGCTGTAATCCTTTTTGCATATATGTACATTTTTTGAGCCAATTTATCGGTCTTTCTTGAGAGTCAAATGGTGGATTTTTCTTTTTAGTCAAATAATCCCCTTGATTTGCATTGTCAGGCTGCATCCACCCAAAGATGTAGTGATGGCAGTTCAACTGATAGCCAGTGATGTAGATGGCTTTAGGTCCAAAAAGTCATTAAATGAAACATGCACTGAGCTAATTGTGACAATGGCAACGTTAGACTGAGCCTACGTAAGTAGTAAGTAGCCTAGAAATCAGCAAATGAGAACATTAAAATATTTTTAAGGTTTTGGGACTGGAAAATGAACCTCCCACAGCGATCAGCCAGCTACATATCCATGGTCCAAACGATCCAGAAGCTGTGGATTGAGTCTATCATTACAACTTCTTGATTATAAACATGGTCATAAAGTTTCTTATAATGATGATGATCAGCTGTATCCATCATTTACAGACGTGTCCCAGGGATTCAATGAAATGATTGAAATTGGCGCTGATGCTGTCTTGCAAGAGTTTGAGCGGGTTCAAACAGGCAGGATATTGTTTGTGTAGTGATAGAGTTTGGAGATTTTTAGATTTTTGTTTTATTTTTTTTATAAACCACAACTACTACTTAAAACTAAGCCTGAAATTTAAGATTGAAAAAAGGGAAACCACAATTATCATGAGGATGAATGCAGAAGCCAACTGGAAGTGCTAAACTTCAGTGTCAAGCCCTTATAATATGATTAAGTTTGCTGTGAGTGAATTTATTATTCATTGTCAGTTTGGTACCGTACACTTGCTTACATTTTTTTATAAATAGATTAACAAGAAGTGGAGAGAGAGAGAGAAAGAGAGAGAGAGAGAGAGCATGTCCAGGTGTCTGTTATTTATCTGCCACATGCAAGGTCTGCCTCTGTGTTACAACTGTGTGTAAAACAAGCATAAACAGCATATCTGGTTGCATTATATTGCCTGTTAAAGCAGCACAACAATTTGATTAGGACATCCATTAAATATATACATAAATTGGAGGTCTATCATTTTCATTTCTAAGAACTTTTTGATGCCATATGACAACAGCTTAGTTAATCAGGTGTGAGTTTAATTGAGCAAGTATACCTGTGAGAAACATCAATTCCCTTACCTTATTCTCAGCAGGAAGCCAAATAGTGTGAAACGTATGAACTTTAATGAGACTTTAACAATGAATTTGTATCAATACTTTCTTAAGACAGTATAGAATAAATAGATTTCATATTACAGATTTGTTTGCATTTTGTCATGAGTGAACCTCAAACTGTATAACTGAACAAACTACAGTGTCTTACAGTTTCACAGGTGTCTTTGAACATATGATCGCTCAGCTGGCACAGACACTCTAAAACATGCAAAGCACTGAGAAATCCCATTTTCTGCCTGTTCTCTCGATTGACTCGCCTCTTTGTCAGCATGTCCTCCATCTTTTCTCCTCTACCTTTCCACTTTCCTCCTTTAAAAAGTCCATCCACACACACACAAAAAAAAAAAATCTCTCCTTTCTTCTTGGCCTAAGGGTGCAACTGGCTGCTGGTGCCAGTCCAAGGGACACCAAATGGGAGCTGTAATTATCATTGCTCCACCACTGTCCTGTCAGTGTGCTCGCCAGCAAAACAAGAGGGATCCTTTGGAAGTCCTGATCAAAAGCTCTGGCCTTTGATCATGAAGCAAAAGGAAAAAGCTAAACACTGTGCAAAATCAAGGAGGAATGTCCCAAAGACAGCGCTGGAGAATGGAAACGACAGCCATCCAGAAGACATGCTCTGCTTCTGCTTCTGCTCTGCGTGATGTGTGGCTGTCAGGGGCACAGGTGTTTGGGATGTGTTTGATCTGATCACTGTAAGCAGAAGACTGAGTGAGTCATGCAATGTTGTTGTTGCTAAAGTAGATCTAAGATAGCACCTGCTGGATTGCGAAGAAGATAATGTTATGTTTTTTGTTTTCTGCAAAGGCCTACTTGAAGCAAAGTGCATCTTCTCATCGGTGCATCCATGAAAAGATTACTCAGCTGAAGGCTTTCCGCATAACCCGATGAAAAGAGTGTCTAAAGAGATGGTTACTTTGACTTGGATCAAAATTAATTTGCAGCTGAGTGACAGAAAAAAGTAATAATGGAAGCCCATTTTGAGGGCCTTAGCCAAAATCTACAGGGGCACAAGTCATGCTGCTTCAGCGACAACAAACCGCAGCCTCTGGAACCTTTGAAACCCTGTGTGGTCATTTTCTCTCACAGTGACTGAAAAGAACTGTGGTGGGTGGGAAAGAAAAAAAAGAGCCCCTCGCCACTCATAATACCAATCTTATGTATGTAGTCGAAAATGGGAGGGATGGGAGGGGTTGCGGGGTGGCAGACGGACTAAGGCACAATTTTAAAGCGCTTATTGAATTGCCATTACAGCTCCTGAGACTAATTGTGGCTGTTGTGTGTCTCTCGGTGGCCTAGGGGGCTCTGGAGTGGCCCTGTATGCTCTTACTCAGTGGGGTTTTCAAACCGAGTGGCCCTGAAAGAGAACAGGACCACCGTAGATCAATGGCAAACCTTTCACTCTTTCACAGGCCCTGGCTAATCCTTCTCATTTGTCTGCCATTTGTTGAGGCACATTCACAGCTCCCTGAATTTAGGATTAAGCCTTGTTTTGTTACAAAAACAGCCCAAGTTATAATGCTGAATAGATGGACTAAAGGGTGGATGACAGATGAGTGTGCATGTGAGTTTGCAAGCATGTGTATGTATGGGTATCAGGTATACCGAGGCTCATAGTGAAAAATGCACCAAAGCACAGAACCTGTAGGATTGATCTTCAGTCTCATTTCAGCCGTAACTGGTGTAAAAAAATTTGTAGTTTTTCTTGAGGTTCAGCAGTAAGATAAGGAAATTCCTTTAAATTGCTTCAGAACACAGGTGGGTCTGTAACTAATTCTGCGATGAAACAAACGTCACATGGTAACCTTAAAAAAGGCCTTAGAAACAGTGTTAAAAAAGTTGAAACATTCTTACATTTATACACAGATATGTTTATCTCAGCTCCATGAATCTAATGTGTTGCTTATAAAAATGAGAAACCAATACGAAGGGGAAAAAAAAAACAATAGAAAAATTTTTGTCTAATTGGCCTAATTACATTTCTGTTGTCAGCTGTTTTGGATGCATATGAGTGCTCAGACTGTCTATTGGTCAAATGTGCATAAATGAGTTCGGTGTAGCTTCCCTAAAACAAGTAGAGGGAATTCAAGAAATGTTCTTGTTCCTGTCAGATAGATGATATCAGACTTGTGCAGAAACATTAGTCAGACCTCCTGCTAGGAACTCAAGGTTTGTGTCAACTTGGGCACTCCCTATGGACATCGGAGGAACTTTTTTCTGTTTCTGTTTTTATCATGAACACGTGTGGCAGTATTTTAAAAGATAACTGAAAAAATCAGCTTGCTCTGTTTTGGTAATTAGACTCATTCTTGATGCTCTTGTTTGCTTTATTGAGACATTCAAACACATCAGTATTCCGTTTGATTTGTATTCTTACCAGATAACCTCCCCAAAAAGAGCTGTAAGTAATCCTGAGGATAGTTTTTGTTGTATTGAAGCCACTTCAGTGGGGAATGAAATGGGATGTCAGAGTTATAGAAGTTAACTCAATGGGATGACTTTCAACACTCTTACTGGCATCACACACACACACACACAGTTAACCTTGGTCTGTTAGAAAAACACACAGCTCTAATAGTTGCAAAATTATCCCTTTTTCACATTTTTGCTTTTGGTTACATGAGAATGAGTCGATTTACTGTCATCATATCCTCTTTTGAAATTAAATATTTCATATAACAGAAGAAAAGCAAGACCAAATTGATTCAATAAAATAGCTGTAGAGGAAATCAAATGTCTTTACAGTTGCAGTGTCTTTCCATCAAGCCTGGAGCTTGTCCTCATTGTGCTCCATCTGAGTGTGCTAAGACAGTCTTGGCAGGCTGCAGCACAGCCATCAGCAGACTGAGGCCTTCTTATCACTGAGTGGATTAGCGTTCATGGAGCCACTTACTGGACATTAGACGGGGCTGCTGAGTGGCACATGCGCCACAGTTCCCTAAAGCCCTGCCATGCCACGCCGCAGGTATGTGGTGCCGACCAGCCAAACCCCATGTCAGGCATTCTCTGGATGCTTGCAGTCGGGCCAGACACAGGGGGCAGAGCAGATGGGTGGAGGGGTGACACTTTGAATTGGAATTGATGAGAGGAAAGTACAGAAAGTAAATGAGTCTTATCTAAACAATGGTGTTGTATTGGCAGGGTTTGTTGTCAAAGAACATAGAAATTATAGGGGTAAAGCCTGGACAAAGGGTTAGACTGTGTCAAAGTGTCAAAGTCTACTGTTGCTAAATTGCCATACCACTGACATTTTTATGACTTTAGAGTAATTTCCACCGCCAAAAGAGGACATTTAAAATACAAAGACAGACCTGTGGTTATTCACTTTGTAAAAAGTTAAAAGGATGTTTGAATTTACTTTGACTAAGGCTCAAATAAATCCCCAAAATACAGCAGTAACCTATGGCAGTTGAAACACTGACCAGGATGGCTGCATTTACTCACTGATTTCTACCAGTTGATACAACGCTTAACATCGCTGTTGAATAAGCAGACCTCCAGAGGGGTCATGTTGCATGTAAACAGGAAGATGGACCATAATGTATTTGGCCAAGTGGCCCTTACATTGTTCAGTGCTGGCACCTTGTGATCAATGTAGTCCTCTTCATGTAATAAAAACTTAAAAAACAAAATAATAAAAAACATGTACAAATAACTTAACATACATTTCAGGCGATGAACTAATTAAATGGAAAAGACATTATGACCATTTAGCTACATGAGCTGAGTGTAAAGACCGTCAGCTTGGCTTTATGTGAACGTAAAAACCCACCCATAAGCTCAAACTTAAGCTGGACTCAAGCACTGATGATGGGACTCGAACTCAAATTTGGACATGAACTAGACGTTGAAGATGGAAAGGAAGATTCAGATGCGTTTATTGTCAGAGACAGTTTTTCTTTTACTATTCCCTTCAGAATATGACCTTTTTCATTTATTCAGTTTTGAGTGAAGGCTGATACGTGTTTACCTACACACACGTTCATGTGCTGTCTTCTTCAGCTGCAGTTCTTGCTACACTATGTGCCATAAATTGTGCAATATCCTTTAGAGATTCAAAGACACACTATTATTTTTTTACCATTTAAAGCAGGGGTGGGCAATCATGTGCCATGGAGGGCCGAGAGGCCGCAGGTTTTCTTTCCAACACAAAACTCCACCAGGTGATTTCACTGATTAGTCCCTGCTCTCTGCTTGGAGGTAAGGTAATCAGTGAAATCACCTGGTGGAGTTCTGGGTTAGAAAGAAAACCTGCAGCCACTCGGCTCTCCATGGCACATGGTTGGCCACCCCTGATTTAAAGTGTTGTAAGTGGAAATTGTGATTATGTAGTTTTTAGCCAAAACCACTTTACCAGTGTTATTTTAAAGAGCTTTTTCTTCTTTGGAGCTCCATGCTAGCTTATAGCCCAACTTTGCTGGTGTAGTAGCAGTGGCAGGTAACATAGGAGCTATTCAGCTCTCAGACACCAGAGGCTTTGGGGGCCTGATGAAAGCTAATATCATAATTAGCTTGATTATGAGCATTGCAGTTTGCTACCACACATTGGTTCCGCCTTTGTCCTCTATACTTCTTATGGTCTGGTCTGGCTCTGGAGGCTGAGCATAAAATATTGATGTAGAAAATCCTGCTGTCTATGAACCTGTTGTCTGGATCTTCCATAGGTTTACAGCGATTTGAGTGCAGAGATACTCAGAAATGCACTTTTGCACTTCGTTTTCTCATGATATGTTCTCTTAATTCAGAAAAATGCCATATAATATGTAGACAACAAGAAAAACATGATTTTCATCAGAGTGGGTCTTTAAAGTGTGAGCAAGAGCAGAAAAAAAGGATGCCTGACATGTAAAAGATTTTTAAGAAGTACAACCAGCTCAAATTTTTATCAGAAGATCATGATACACTGAAAAAAAAAGTAAGTTAAATGTTTATTTAATGAAGGTATAGTTACCAACTGTGATAGCATGTTTCATCAAGACATTACAAGAAGCATGTTACACCTTTAGGAGACACAAATCGAATGTCAAACAACTAGCTGGTCACACAGCTGTAAGGGGCTGACATTAAGTTTTCCATAACGATTGTAAATGTTGCACTTAATTTGTATTTCAGCTGTTAAAATACAAAAATAAATAAAAAATGTACAGAGTGTACACAAATAAAAAATCAAAACAGTAAAAAGGTGGTGTCAGCCAAGAGGAGCACAGACCATCTCTTGCTAGCTCAGGCAGGGCAGTCACATGTTGGCCTGGGTCCCAGTCAACATCATGAAGTTGTCTTTGGCTGTCAGTGACTGGAAAAGACCAAAGTCAGTGCTGCTTCATACAAAGTTTTAGCTGTGCCAACGACTATCCGCCCTGATCCCCGAGCCTGGCTGTGTGAAGTAATTCCTCATGTCAGTGAAACCAGACAGACTCTGTGTTTTGTCACTACTTTAGACGCTGTATTTTTTTTTTCAATAGTGCAGTTTTTTAACTCACAGATTAACAGGTGCATATTCTTCCCGAGAAGCACATTTTTTTTTATGTGTAATGTCAAGATCGACTTCTTTTTCCTTTGAGGAGGTTGAAATAAAGCAGATAGAAGGTTTTTATTGGATTAAAACTCAGAGGCTGTGCCTTACAATTAGTAAAACATGCACAGGTCAGTTTCCTCTGTCAAAGTTTTGTCAGCTGAAAGAACTTGATTAAAGCTAAAAAAATTTAAGGAAAATTGCATCCACTCCAAATGAGTCTGTAAAAGAAACACGCCTTACTCAAATCCTGACCAAAACGTGGCCTTCACAAACAAGCCGTGTGATGTTTTATTTTGCTTTTTTCTGACCCTTGTGATATAATTCTAACCAGTGTCAAGCGATGCTGTGAGGCTTCCCTGCAGCTCCCTCCAGGCTTGACACTTTGTGTTCCATTATATGAAAGCTTAGAGGCACAATCACACTGCTGCTTCTTTTAACTCCAAGGCTACATAATCCACAATTAAGATCACGCTTCTGACAGCGCACAACGTTCTCTAATCCAACACAAAGACTTTTGACAAGATTGGCTCCAAACGTCACAAGTCAGGACAAAGTTTTTAAGAAGAGAGAGCTACTTGTATTTTAAACCCAATCACATGTACATTGTAAATTATTAGTCAAAGTAAAACAGATGTCCAGAGCCAGTGAGGTGTTTTCTCCTGTCCTGCCCTGTTCTTCTGCAGCCTCAGCTCAAAAGCGACTGCAGCAGCGAGTGCTTACACTGATCTTGCACAGAGGTTTAAGGTCTTACATTTTATCCAAGAGCATAAAGGATTCTGTTGTATAATGAGACTGTTTGTCAAAGATTTTTTTTTTAATAAAAAAAAATAATTTTGGTTGTATTTTTTGTCTCTTTAGATCTCACAAACTTTAACAGTTAATTCATGCCAGCAGGTGGAGGAGCATGTGTGCACTGCCATCGCAAATATTGACCAATATATACCAAAAGAAGACCCAGATGCAAAAATCAATCCAAATCCAAATCAGAAGGTAAGAGGCGAGGTCAAAAACCCTGAAAAGTGGTCAAAAAAACACAGATGCGAACACCACGAATAAATGCTGGAACTCTGACACTAAGGACAAGACGAACAAGCACAGAGTGAGGGAATGCTGGGTTTACATACACCAGGGTAGAGGAGTTAACAAGACACAGGTGAGACTCATCAGGGTAATCAGGGGAGCAGGTTACAAGAAGGAGGAGGAAGTCAATGAACCTGAAGCAAGAGACAAGAGTGAGTTTCAAAATAAAACAGGAAACACAAGACAAAAAATGTGAGATGAAATAAAAACAACTTAACTAACTGGTAGATGTGACAATACACCCTAACACTGACCTTTTCTCCTAAAATACACTAAATTATGTGAAAGTTATCCTAGTCCTTAACAACTGAGAGTTTAGCTTCTCTGCTGGTTCTGCAGCCATTTTCTGGCGTCCTGTGGGTAATACCACCACTGTTGACAAGTAATTTATACAGCCCTACATAGTCTCCAATGTAGTCTTGCATTTTAAACCTTACAGTATTTTATGTTCATATTGCAGTATTTTTATATTTTCTTATCAACAGTACAGTAGCACAGAAAAGGATCATTCCAATATCACTGCATGAATCAGAATCAGAAATACTTAAATAATCCCCAGGGGGAAATTGGTTTTTGGTGTAGAAACTCTAGTGTAAATTAAGTGGAAAGAGGAGATAAATAATAGAAAAAATAAGTAAAAACAAAGAGATAAATAGATAAAATAAGAAAAATAAGCAAAATATAAGAGATGATATACAAGGATGAACACTATATACATCACAAAATGGTAAAAAAGTGTGCATAAAAAATAAATAGTAGGTAGAGTCCAGGTAAAGACTACTGACTGAGGGTGTCAGAGTCTCTGAGGGAGGAGTTGAAAAGTCTGATGACCACCGGCAAGAAAGATTTCCTGTGGCGCTCAGTGGTGCATCATGGAGTGAGGAGCCTTCTGCTGAAGGTGCTTCTTTGCAGGACCAGTTCACTGTGGAGAGGGTGGAAGACATTGTCCAGTATGGAGTGGAGCTTGGACAGCATCCTCTTCTCTGACACGGCCAACAGGGAGTCCAGCTCCATCCCCACAACATCACCGCCCTCAGCCCGCTGCCTAACCCCCAAACCCACAAAAACAACTACTGAGAGATACTTCACCATACATTTGTACTAGGCTGAAAAACTTACTGCTGAACTTACAGAAACTGTGATGGAGAGTGATAAGATGGCTCAATTTGTGACCTAACATGCCAGTGAACTGATGGAGGAGCAGCACCCTCTGCTGGTGAAAAAGCAGAGAAGGTTTAATGTTTTGCTGGTGACTCTGGCACACTCTGCTGGATTTTATGTAGTACTGAGCAGAGTACTCGTCATGTAAAAATATGTGAACATTAAATATTGATATATAGAGACTTTGACGGTGCTGCAGACTCTAGATAGACTTGACATTTTGGTTGAATCCGTAATAAAGTCAAATTCTCCTCAAAAACAAGCGTCAAAGTTCCTGGGAGGAGGTTTTAACTAGTTATGATGGATTGAAATGAGAAGTGATGTCCCGATATGACCTTTCAAAGCAAGCATCATCAGCAGAAACAATAGTTTCTGTATTGTTCAGTTTTCACACCTGTAGCTGCTGCAAAAGAATAGGTGTCACAAAAGGCAGGTCAAAGCAGGTTAAAGAAAACCCACTTTTTTCCACAGGAAATATCACAGTGGGTGGTCGATGTAAGTAATAAAGAAGGCGAGGTAAGATTTTTTTTGATTAAAAAAAAAGAAAAACGCTATTAATCCTCATGGTGAGATAAACTGAGTTATTAGAGGTGTTACTTGCCCAGATAGGGCGACAAAATTCGACACAAACAGGAAGTTCTTCACAAGGCTGTGACGACTTTTATGTTGATTTTGGTGATCCCTGTTACCAGTCATGTGTGCTTTAATCTCCTTATAAAGGTCCAAATAGCAAAACATGTGCAGATTGTTTTCCCTCAAAGAGCATTAACACCTCTTCATCAACATTAAAGCCTGTTCACAGCCATTTGCTGTTTTACCTAGCAATGCTCTGGTAGAAGAGTCAGTCTAAAACAGTACCTGAACAGAAGACACGTCTTTTTTTGTCCATCCTGCTCAATTATCAGCCATGAGTTATCAAAAGGATGTGATCTAAAAGACTGTATCATACCATCACGCTTTCATACACTGTTCACTGCACCTTAATTAGAGATTCAGGGTTCATTTTTATGCTCCCAAACAGTTTGGAGTGTGGACTGGTAGTGGATCATTTAACTGTAAGATGTCAGATTCTACCTCAGAGCCACAGCCGCCTCAAATACAAGGTTTACTTGTTTCTTCAGGGGACAGAACCGGTGTACTACCAGGGGGCCTAATGATCTTTAGAAAAACGTACTGCTCAAATGCAGAATGATGAGGAATGAGGAATTCAACTGAGGCCTTTGATGATGGTAAATATTCAGCATATCAGATGAGGGGTCAACAAAATTATGTTTTTCCTTTAATTGGGCTTCAATGATGTTAACTCAGACTCAAGCTTCAGTCTATTTACTGTATAAATGTGTAGCGTGACCCTGTTTTAACACTTTGGCTTTCTGTTACTCACAGTTGTCGAACTGAAGCTGCACAACGCTGTGAATCAGATCCACAAACCAGTTTTGGTTTTGATCTTTTCTTAACCTCCTCATCAAACTCACTGAACTGTATCAAAACTGTGAGTGGAGGGAGTCTAAATTTACAATCAAAAGAGGGAAAACTGCATTGAAATATCAGAGTTTAAAACATAAGGAGTACATTTATTGTTACGATGGTGATACCTTGTGTCGTCAGTTAAAGTTGCATGAGCAAAGACAGGATGCAACTGAAGTCAAGCTAACACAGGTGATAACCACAGGGTCTCATCCTGAATAAAACTGCCATATCAAGGGGTCTGAACCAACTTTGAGGTGACAGTTGAAGTGCTGTTGCCACCATGCATGCTCTCTGCACGCTCTTCGTTTTTTGCGTTCTGACAAGTTTGGGGCAGAAAGGTAAGATCACTAAACCTGCTCATTATTATGATGCTCAGTAAAGTTGTTTTATTTTCTCTTTGTATTTCTTTTTCCTTTTTTAGCCCTGGGGAGTGAAATCATAAACGGCAAAAAGACCCAGAAGAGGTCGATGAAGTACATGGCCTCTGTGCAGAACAACCTGCAACATATCTGTGGAGGTTTCCTGATCAGTGAAGAGTTTGTGCTCACTGCGGCACACTGTGCTGAGAGGTGAGTTGCCATTACCCGAAGCCATATTTGATTGACCTAGATTTGTGATGTTCTGCCTCTGACTCAATATTTCATTTTAACGTAGGAATCCTTCAAGAGTTGTTCTGGGCACTCACAATCTCAAGAAAATGAATGACACAATGAAGTATGAAGTGAAGAAAATGTGCAAACACCCATCTTATGTGAATGTTTCATCTGGGAAAGACATCATGCTCCTCAAGGTAAGCAGATATTTGTTCAAGTTCATCTTCTGTTTTGTCTCTTAATGTCAAATTAAAGCATTTAGAGAAAGTTTAAACCTAATAAAGTCCTTGGTCCTTGAATCCATACTCTGTACAGACTCATTCTCATCCTGTCTATGGGTGTGTTCAAGTATCTGTATAGCACACTCAAAAATGGCTGCCACTTTGCTGAGAATAAAAACAGCTTTTTTATTGTGTCCTGTTATTCCTATTGTTTAGGACACACTGTGTGTTGAACACTGGTATTGCACGTATTGTCCACATATCTTTGTGTAGATAATCTCCATCTGCCGCTGCCCGACAACAAGGCATCTCAGTCTTTTGTCTTCTCATAGGACCAAGTTTGAGTGCAAATAAATATGTTTTTATACTTTTTGTGGGGCAGTGTGTGCCAACCTTAGGAAAAAACATACCTTTTATTGATTAGTAGCTAAACACTTGATATTTTGGTGACATGCTGGGCCTGGAGACGTTACCTCCACTCAGAACCAACACACTCCACCAGCATCAAATACTGCACAACTAGACACAACACTCTGTTCACAGTTTCACAACAGTTTGTTTAACCTAAAGTTATTTGGAAAAAAAAGGCAACCTTACAAAAAATGTTTGGTCAGTCTATAACCTTTCTTTTCATATTTTATTTCCACAGCTGTCAAAGAAAGCTCGCGTGGGTAAAAGAAAAATTAGTCTAATAAAACTCCCAAACAAAAAGATGAACCTCAAAGACAACAAAAAATGCCTTGTAGCTGGATGGGGTCTCACAGAGACCAATGGTCAGATGGTGGATGATCTGCGAGTGGTGGAAGTTCCTATCATTAACTTGGAGAAGTGTCAGAAACTGTGGCGAAAACTTCCTGGCCACGTTATCTGTGCAGGTGGATATGGCACCAAGAATGGAATCTGTCAGGTGGTTTTTCCGTCTATTAAATAATGTGAAATGTGAAAACAGTGTTTTAAAAGCCTTTTTCTGTAACAAAAATAAATCTCTTTCTTCCTCTCAGGGTGACTCTGGTGGGCCTTTGGTGTGTGACAAGAAAGCAGTTGGTGTTGCTTCCTACAACAGAGGCTATCACTGTGACTACCCAGATATCCCCAACATCTATACCGACATATTCACATACCTCCCCTGGGTGAAAAAGATTCTCAAGGAAAACGACTGCTGAATGAAACAACGATTTAACCATGGTGGATACACTATGGGCCTTTGCAGTGTTCGTCTGTATTGTGGAAAAAACATTTGAAAACTTTAATTCATCTCAACCTTTTTTTTTTTCACCATAAACCAATAAAAAAGTGTCATGAAAAAATAAAATCTTGTATATAAAATCTGTCATTGTGAGAGGCCGAGAGTGTGTGAACCCAAAAGCAGAGGACGTGAGGCAATAGTTCAGTTTCCAAAGGGCAAACTCTTTTATTCCAATCACAGGAAACCCGGCAGGGTCAAAATCAGAGCAGCAAATAATCAGGCGACAAAAACCAGTGGGACAGGCCAGAATCAAAAATCCAAGACGATCAAAACAGGTCATACACGGGGAGCAGAGATATATCAAAGAACGCGAGAGAGCTTGTGCTAAAGAGACAAAGACAATCTGGCAGGGAAGAGCTAGTGAGGAGGGGTTAAATAGGGAAGGGAACAAAACACAGGTGAAGCCAATGGGGTAATTAACTAAGGCGGGAAAAGGAACAAAGACCGGAAGATCTTCAAAATAAAACAGGAAGTGGATTTCACAGCACAGATCATGACAGTCATGGCTTCAACCAAAATGTCTGATCTCTTTTTTCTTCATCATTTTGCCAAAGGTATAACCATAGACTGTATATAGAATGGACAGCGTCTTCCTCCTCGCTGGGTGAAGCCACTCTGAGAACAGCACCCACTGGTGACGGGTTTCAGTATAGGTCATAAATCTCATTCCTGCCACCCCTCCTTATAGGGCTGTGGACAAACTTTAGATATTCATTACACACACTCTAAAAACCCAACGTGGGTTGCTTTTAACCCAACACCAGGGTTGAAAAGGGACTGACTACTTATTGGGTTATTTTGACCCAGAATGTTGGGTTATTAAAAATAACCCAAATTTTGGGTTGACTCAATAACCCTTTTTAAGGGTCAAGTTCACCAATCTTCAAGTTAATTTGACTCACGGGTTAAATTGATACATGCATTTGGGGTGCCTTTTTTGGGAGCTATGCTTTTACAGCCTGTATCCTATTTTCAAATGTACTTCTATCTAACTGATTGTTGGGAATCAGTTAGATAAAAGTACATGGGTAAATAGGTTACATGTTGTACCGTAGCCTTTTCACTGTACTGACTGTGGGTGTCGAAGGAACCATACATCTGTTCATGTGAACCAGCTGGTAAGGGTTATTGGAGTAGTAACATCCCAACAATCTGTTGGAGTCAGGGACCCTCAGCCCGCTGCCAAACCCCCAAACCCCCAAAAACAACTACTGAGAGATACTTCACCATACATTTGTACTAGGCTGAAAAACTTACTGCTGAACTTACAGAAACTGTGATGGAGAGTGATAAGATGGCTCAATTTGTGACCTAACATGCCAGTGAACTGATGGAGGAGCAGCACCCTCTGCTGGTGAAAAAGCAGAGAAGGTTTAATGTTTTGCTGTTGACTCTGGCACACTCTGCTGGATTTTATGTAGTACTGAGCAGAGTACTAGTAATGTATGATGTAAAAATGTGAACATTAAATACTGATATATAGAGACTTTGACGGTGCTGCAGACTCTGGATAGACTTGACCTTTCAGTTGAATATGTAATAAAGTCAAATTCTCCTCAAAAACAAGCGTCAAAGTTCCTGGGAGGAGGTTTTAACTAGTTATGATGGATTGAAATGAGAAGTGATGTCCCGATATGACCTTTCAAAGCAAGCATCATCATCAGAAACAATAGTTTCTGTATTGTTCAGTTTTCACACCTGTAGCTGCTGCAAAAGAATAGGTGTCACAAAAGGCAGGTCAAAGCAGGTTGAAGAAAACCCACTTTTTTCCACAGGAAATATCACAGTGGGTGGTCGATGCAAGTAATAAAGAAGGCGAGGTAAGATTTTTTTTTATTAAAAAAAAATAAACACTATTAATCCTCATGGTGAGATAAACTGAGTTATTAGAGGTGTTACTTGCCCAAATAGGGCGACAAAAATCGACACAAACAGGAAGTTCTTCACAAGGGCTGTGACGACTTTTATGTTGATTTTGGTGATCCCTGTTACAAGTCATGTGTGCTTTAATCTCCTTATAAAGGTCCAAATAGCAAAACATGTGCAGATTGTTTTCCTTCAAAGAGCATTAACACCTCTTCATCAACATTAAAGCCTGTTCACAGCCACTTTGCTGTTTTACCTAGCAATGCTCTGGTAGAAGAGTCAGTCGAAAACAGTACCTGAACAGAAGACACGTCTTTTTTTGTCCATCCTGCTCAATTATCAGCCATGAGTTATCAAAAGGATGTGATCTAAAAGACTAACCTCCTCTGCCTGATAACTCTGCAAACTTTACTTTTTACATGCTGAGTTTCAATCATCATCACTTCTGGGCAAGTGGTGATGACTAGCACAGTCTTACTCATCGAAAATGTGACTTCAGACGTGTCCTGCTGCACATGAGGAATGTATCATACCATCACACTTTCATACACTGTTCACTGCACCTTGATTAGAGATTCAGGGTTCATTTTTATGCTCCCAAACAGTTTGGAGTGTGGACTGGTAGTGGGTCATTTAACTTTAAGATGGCAGATTCTACCTCAGAGCCACAGCTGCCTCAAATACAAGTTTTACTTGTTCCTTCAGGGGACAGAACCGGTGTACTACCAGGGGGCCTAATGATCTTTAGAAAAGCATACTGCTCAAATACAGACTTGTAACAAATGATGGGAGGTAACCTTTTGAGGAATTCATCTGAGGCCTTTGATTATGGTAAATATTCAGCATATCAGATGAGGGGTCAACAAAATTATGCTTTTCCTTTAATTGCACTCCAACGGTGTTAACTCAGACTCAAGCTTCAGTCTATTGATTGTATAAATGTGTAGCGTGACCCTGTTTTAACACTTTGGCTTTCTGTTACTCACAGTTGTCGAACTGAAGCTGCACAACGCTGTGAATCAGATCCACAAACCAGTTTTGGTTTTGATCTTTTCTTAACCTCCTCATCAAACTCACTGAACTGTATCAAAACTGTGAGTGGAGGGAGTCTAAATTTACAATCAAAAGAGGGAAAACTGCATTGAAATATCAGAGTTTAAAACATAAGGAGTACATTTATTGTTACGATGGTGATACCTTGTGTCGTCAGTTAAAGTTGCATGAGCAAAGACAGGATGCAACTGAAGTCAAGCTAACACAGGTGATAACCACAGGGTCTCATCCTGAATAAAACTGCCATATCAAGGGGTCTGAACCAACTTTGAGGTGACAGTTGAAGTGCTGTTGCCACCATGCATGCTCTCTGCACGCTCTTCGTTTTTTGCGTTCTGACAAGTTTCGGGGGGAAAGGTAAGATCACTAAACCTGCTCATTATTATGATGCTCAGTAAAGTTGTTTTATTTTCTCTTTGTATTTCTTTTTCCTTTTTTAGCCCTGGGGAGTGAAATCATAAACGGCAAAAAGACCCAGAAGAGGTCGATGAAGTACATGGCCTCTGTGCAGAACAACCTGCAACATATCTGTGGAGGTTTCCTGATCAGCGAAGAGTTTGTGCTCACTGCGGCACACTGTGCTGAGAGGTGAGTTGCCATTACCCGAAGCCATATTTGATTGACCTAGATTTGTGATGTTCTGCCTCTGACTCAATATTTCATTTTAACGTAGGAATCCTTCAAGAGTTGTTCTGGGCACTCACAATCTCAAGAAAATGAATGACACAATGAAGTATGAAGTGAAGAAAATGTGCAAACACCCATCTTATGTGAATGTTTCATCTGGGAAAGACATCATGCTCCTCAAGGTAAGCAGATATTTGTTCAAGTTCATCTTCTGTTTTGTCTCTTAATGTCAAATTAAAGCATTTAGAGAAAGTTTAAACCTAATAAAGTCCTTGGTCCTTGAATCCATACTCTGTACAGACTCATTCTCATCCTGTCTATGGGTGTGTTCAAGTATCTGTATAGCACACTCAAAAATGGCTGCCACTTTGCTGAGAATAAAAACAGCTTTATTTTATTGTGTCCTGTTATTCCTATTGTTTAGGACACACTGTGTGTTGAACACTGGTATTGCACGTATTGTCCACATATCTTTGTGTAGATAATCTCCATCTGCCGCTGCCCGACAACAAGGCATCTCAGTCTTTTGTCTTCTCATAGGACCAAGTTTGAGTGCAAATAAATATGTTTTTATACTTTTTGTGGGGCAGTGTATGCCAACCTTAGGAAAAAACATACCTTTTATTGATTAGTAGCTAAACACTTGATATTTTGGTGACATGCTGGGCCTGGAGACGTTACCTCCACTCAGAACCAACACACTCCACCAGCATCAAATACTGCACAACTAGACACAACACTCTGTTCACAGTTTCACAACAGTTTGTTTAACCTAAAGTTATTTGGAAAAAAAAGGCAACCTTACAAAAAATGTTTGGTCAGTCTATAACCTTTCTTTTCTTATTTTATTTCCACAGCTGTCAAAGAAAGCTCGCGTGGGTAAAAGAAAAATTAGTCTAATAAAACTCCCAAACAAAAAGATGAACCTCAAAGACAACAAAAAATGCCTTGTAGCTGGATGGGGTCTCACAGAGACCAATGGTCAGATGGTGGATGATCTGCGAGTGGTGGAAGTTCCTATCATTAACTTGGAGAAGTGTCAGAAACTGTGGCGAAAACTTCCTGGCCACGTTATCTGTGCAGGTGGATATGGCACCAAGAATGGAATCTGTCAGGTGGTTTTTCCGTCTATTAAATAATGTGAAATGTGAAAACAGTGTTTTAAAAGCCTTTTTCTGTAACAAAAATAAATCTCTTTCTTCCTCTCAGGGTGACTCTGGTGGGCCTTTGGTGTGTGACAAGAAAGCAGTTGGTGTTGTTTCCTACAACAGAGGCTATCACTGTGACTACCCAGATATCCCCAACATCTATACCGACATATTCACATACCTCCCCTGGGTGAAAAAGATTCTCAAGGAAAACGACTGCTGAATGAAACAACGATTTAACCATGGTGGATACACTATGGGCCTTTGCAGTGTTCGTCTGTATTGTGGAAAAAACATTTGAAAACTTTAATTCATCTCAACCTTTTTTTTTTTTCACCATAAACCAATAAAAAAGTGTCATGAAAAAATAAAATCTTGTATATAAAATCTGTCATTGTGAGAGGCCGAGAGTGTGTGAACCCAAAAGCAGAGGACGTGAGGCAATAGTTCAGTTTCCAAAGGGCAAACTCTTTTATTCCAATCACAGGAAACCCGGCAGGGTCAAAATCAGAGCAGCAAATAATCAGGCGACAAAAACCAGTGGGACAGGCCAGAATCAAAAATCCAAGACGATCAAAACAGGTCATACACGGGGAGCAGAGATATATCAAAGAACGCGAGAGAGCTTGTGCTAAAGAGACAAAGACAATCTGGCAGGGAAGAGCTAGTGAGGAGGGGTTAAATAGGGAAGGGAACAAAACACAGGTGAAGCCAATGGGGTAATTAACTAAGGCGGGAAAAGGAACAAAGACCGGAAGATCTTCAAAATAAAACAGGAAGTGGATTTCACAGCACAGATCATGACAGTCATGGCTTCAACCAAAATGTCTGATCTCTTTTTTCTTCATCATTTTGCCAAAGGTATAACCATAGACTGTATATAGAATGGACAGCGTCTTCCTCCTCGCTGGGTGAAGCCACTCTGAGAACAGCACCCACTGGTGACGGGTTTCAGTATAGGTCATAAATCTCATTCCTGCCACCCCTCCTTATAGGGCTGTGGACAAACTTTAGATATTCATTACACACACTCTAAAAACCCAACGTGGGTTGCTTTTAACCCAACACCAGGGTTGAAAAGGGACTGACTACTTATTGGGTTATTTTGACCCAGAATGTTGGGTTATTAAAAATAACCCACATTTTGGGTTGATTCAGTAACCCTTTTTAAGGGTCAAGTTCACCAATCTTCGAGTTAATTTGACTCACGGGTTAAATTTATACATGCATTTGGGGTGCCTTTTTTGGGAGCTATGCTTTTACAGCCTGTATCCTATTTTCAAATGTACTTCTATCTAACTGATTGTTGGGAATCAGTTAGATAAAAGTACATGGGTAAATAGGTTACATGTTGTACCGTAGCCTTTTCACTGTACTGACTGTGGGTGTCGAAGGAACCATACATCTGTTCATGTGAACCAGCTGGTAAGGGTTATTGGAGTAGTAACATCCCAACAATCTGTTGGAGTCAGGGACCCTCAGCCCGCTGCCTAACCCCCAAACCCCCAAAAACAACTACTGAGAGATACTTCACCATACATTTGTACTAGGCTGAAAAACTTACTGCTGAACTTAGAGAAACTGTGATGGAGAGTGATAAGATGGCTCAATTTGTGACCTAACATGCCAGTGAACTGATGGAGGAGCAGCACCCTCTGCTGGTGAAAAAGCAGAGAAGGTTTAATGTTTTGCTGTTGACTCTGGCACACTCTGCTGGATTTTATGTAGTACTGAGCAGAGTACTAGTAATGTATGATGTAAAAATGTGAACATTAAATACTGATATATAGAGACTTTGACGGTGCTGCAGACTCTGGATAGACTTGACCTTTCAGTTGAATATGTAATAAAGTCAAATTCTCCTCAAAAACAAGCGTCAAAGTTCCTGGGAGGAGGTTTTAACTAGTTATGATGGATTGAAATGAGAAGTGATGTCCCGATATGACCTTTCAAAGCAAGCATCATCAGCAGAAACAATAGTTTCTGTATTGTTCAGTTTTCACACCTGTAGCTGCTGCAAAAGAATAGGTGTCACAAAAGGCAGGTCAAAGCAGGTTAAAGAAAACCCACTTTTTTCCACAGGAAATATCACAGTGGGTGGTCGATGCAAGTAATAAAGAAGGCGAGGTAAGATTTTTTTTTATTAAAAAAAAATAAACACTATTAATCCTCATGGTGAGATAAACTGAGTTATTAGAGGTGTTACTTGCCCAAATAGGGCGACAAAAATCGACACAAACAGGAAGTTCTTCACAAGGGCTGTGACGACTTTTATGTTGATTTTGGTGATCCCTGTTACAAGTCATGTGTGCTTTAATCTCCTTATAAAGGTCCAAATAGCAAAACATGTGCAGATTGTTTTCCTTCAAAGAGCATTAACACCTCTTCATCAACATTAAAGCCTGTTCACAGCCACTTTGCTGTTTTACCTAGCAATGCTCTGGTAGAAGAGTCAGTCGAAAACAGTACCTGAACAGAAGACACGTCTTTTTTTGTCCATCCTGCTCAATTATCAGCCATGAGTTATCAAAAGGATGTGATCTAAAAGACTAACCTCCTCTGCCTGATAACTCTGCAAACTTTACTTTTTACATGCTGAGTTTCAATCATCATCACTTCTGGGCAAGTGGTGATGACTAGCACAGTCTTACTCATCGAAAATGTGACTTCAGACGTGTCCTGCTGCACATGAGGAATGTATCATACCATCACACTTTCATACACTGTTCACTGCACCTTGATTAGAGATTCAGGGTTAATTTTTATGCTCACAAACAGTTTGGAGTGTGGACTAGTAGTGGGTCATTTAACTGTGAGATGTCAGATTCTACCTCAGAGCCCCAAATACACGGTTTACTTGTTCCTTCAGGGGACAGAACCGGTGTACTACCAGGGGGCCTAATGATCTTTAGAAAAACGTACTGCTCAAATGCAGACTTGTAGCAAATGATGGGATGCAAGCTTTAGAGGAATTCATCTGAGGCCTTTGATGATGGTAAATATTCAGCATATCAGATGAGGGATCAACAAAATTATGCTTTTCCTTTGATTGCACTCCAACGGTGTTAACTCAGACTCAAGCTTCAGTCTATGTATTGTATAAATGTGTAGCGTGACCCTGTTTTAACACTTTGGCTTTCTGTTACAGTTGTCAAACTGAAGCTGCACAACGCTGTGAATCAGATCCACAAACCAGTTTTGGTTTTGATCTTTTCTTAACCTCCTCATCAAACTCACTGAACTGTATCAAAACTGTGAGTGGAGGGAGTCTAAATTTACAATCAAAAGAGGGAAAACTGCATTGAAATATCAGAGTTTAAAACATAAGGAGTACATTTATTGTTACGATGGTGACACCTTGTGTTGTCTTTGCATGAGCAAAGACAGGATGTAACTGAAGTCAAGCTAACAAAGGTGATAACCACAGGGGCTCATCCTGAATAAAACTACCATATCAAGGGGTCTGAACCAACTTTGAGATGACAGTTGAAGTGCTGTTGCCACCATGCATGCTCTCTGCAAGCTCTTCGTTTTTGGCATTCTGACAAGTTTTGGGTGTAAAGGTAAGATCACTAAACCTGCTCATTATTATGACGCTCAGAAAAGTTGTTTTATTTTCTCTTTGTATTTCTTTTTTCTTTTTTAGCCATGGGGAGTGAAATCATCAACGGCAAAAAGACCCAGGAGAGGTCGATGAAGTACATGGCCTCCGTGCAGAACAACCTGGGTCATATCTGTGGAGGTTTCCTGATCAGCGAAGAGTTTGTGCTCACTGCGGCACACTGTGCTGAGAGGTGAGTTGCCATTACCCAAAGCCATATTTGATTGACCTAGATTTGTGATGTTCTGCCTCTGCCTCAATATTTCATTTTAACGTAGGAATCCTTCAAGAGTTGTTCTGGGCACTCAGAATCTCAAGAAAATCAATGACACAATGAAGTATGAAGTGAAGAAAATGTGCAAACACCCATCTTATGTGAATGTTGCATCTGGGAATGACATCATGCTCCTCAAGGTAAGCAGATATTTGTTCAAGTTCATCTTCTGTTTTGTCTCTTGATGTCAAATTAAAGCATTTAGAGAAAGTTTAAACCTAATAAAGTCCTTGGTCCTTGAATCCATACTCTGCACAGACTCATTCTCATCCTGTCTATGGGTGTGTTCAAGTATCTGTATAGCACACTCAAAAATGGCTGCACCAATGCTGAGAATAAAAACAGCTTTTTTATTGTGTCCTGTTATTCCTGTTGTTTAGGACACACTTGCTGACACACTTCCTGAACACTTGATATTTTGGTGACATGCTGAGCCTGGAGACTTTACCTCCACTCAGAACCAACACACTCCACCAGCATCAAATACTACACAACTAGACACAACACGACACAAAACTCTGTTCAAAAACATTACAAAAAATGTTTGGTCAGTCTATAACCTTTGTTTTCATATTTTATTTCCACAGCTGTCAAAGAAAGCTCGCCTGGGTAAAAGAAAAATTAGTCCAATAAAACTCCCAAACAAAAAGATGAACCTCAAAGACAACAAAAAATGCCTGGTAGCTGGATGGGGTTTCACAAAGACCGGTGGTCAGATGGTGGATGATCTGCGAGTGGTGGAAGTTCCTATCATTAACTTGGAGAAGTGTCAGAAACTGTGGCAAAAGCTTCCTGGCCATGTCATCTGTGCAGGTGGATATGGCACCAAGAATGGATTCTGTCAGGTGGTTTTTCCGTCTATTAAATCATGTGAAATTTGAGAACAGTGTTTTAAAAGCCATTTACTGTAACAAAAATGAAACTCTGTCTTCCTCTCAGGGTGACTCTGGTGGGCCTTTGGTGTGTGACAAGAAAGCAGTTGGTGTTGTTTCCTACAACAGAGGCTATCACTGTGACTACCCAGATATCCCCAACATCTATACCGACATATTCACATACCTCCCCTGGGTGAAAAAGATTCTCAAGAAAAAGGGCTGCTGAATGAAACTATGGTGGATACACTACGGGCCTTTGCAGTGTTCGTCTGTATTGTGGAAAAAACATTTGAAAACTTTAATTCATCTCAACCTTTTTTTTTTCATCATAAACCAATAAAAAAGTGTCATGAAAAATAAAATCTTGTAAATAAAATCTGTCATGACTTCAACCAAAATGTCTGATCTCTTTTTTCTTCATCATTTTGCCAAAGGTGTAACCATAGACTGTATATAGAGTGGACAGCGTCTGCCTCCTCGCTGGATGAAGCCACCCTGAGAACAGCACCCACTGGTGACGGGCTTTGGTATAGGTCAAAAATCCCATTCCTGCCAGCCCTCCTTATAGGGCTGTGGACAAACTTTAGATATTCATTACACACACTCTAAAAATCCAACGTGGGTTGTTTTTAACCCAACACCAGGGTTGAAAAGGGACTGACTACTTACTGGGTTATTTTGACCCAGAATGTTGGGTTATTAAAAATAACCCAAATTTTGGGTTGATTCAATAACCCTTTTTAAGGGTCAAGTTAACCAATCTTCAAGTTAATTTGACTCACAGGTTAAATTGATACATGCATTTGGGGAGCCTTTTTTGGGAACTATGCTTTTACAGCCTGTATCCTATTTTCAAATGTACTTTTATCTAACTGATTGTTGGGAATCAGTTAGATAAAAGTACATGGGTAGATAGGGTAAAGGTTGTACCCTAGCCTTTTCACTGTACTGACTGTGGGTGTTGAAGCAACCATATATCTGTTCATGTGAACCAGCTGGTTAGGGTTATTGGAGTAGTAACATCCCAACAGAACCTTGTTCTCATTTCGTGTCCATTGCCTTCTTTTTGTTGTTAAAGTAGCCCATTTCCTGGGCAACATCTGAACCAGGGTGACTTTTGATGGTAACACACTCAACTTTATGAGGTAGGCCATAGTGCCAGGGGTCTTGAAGTAGATTTACTTCACTCCTTACAAATGTGTCTTATGCAGGGTTGGAACCCCAACCCCCCAGTTGGGAACTGGATGCTCTATCCGCTAAACTACCACAGCCGCCTATTATGTATTGGGGTAGCTGGGGGTAGCTACCCCAATATATATCGGGCAGCTATATATATATATATATATATATATTTAAAGTAAAGGTCAAAGTTCACAAGGTCACTTCAATTGTTATTAGGCCTAGAAACCACATAGAGTCAATCGAACCCAATTATTGGGTTACTCTCAGAAAAATTATTATTAAGAATGGGTTTCATTAAAATTATTATTCTATTCTTGTAACCCTCAAATTGGGTAACAATAGAATCAATATGACCCAAGAACCTAGAAATTTAACTCAACACGTATAACCAGGGAATTGGATTGAAGAAATAACCCAAGAGTTTTTAGAGTGTAGTATCTATAGTTTGGCATAAAGCAAAACAAAGTGAGCACAAGTCTAAAAGGTGGTTTGACAACAATGCATATTTAGATTGCTATCTGTTAGATGAGGATAAAAAGAGAAGAGGAGATATCACTTTCCTCTATGTGACTGTGGGAACATAACAGCTCTTATTTTCAGCTGCAAAACGTGGTCTCTGTGGTTCAACAAGATTTTCTCACACTCTGAAAAGATGTTGTGATGGGTTGTGGGTTGTGACAAGTACATCTGTTGCGTGTGCTTTGCACTTTAATCAAGTAAATTTCATTTGATTTGTTATGAAGAACATAAGAGGAATGCAGCTTTGTTGTATCAAATACGAAAAACTGTTGTATCAATATAACATATGTATGTGGACAGATATGAGGAAAGAGTTGTGGATGAATTAGCATAAAATCATGACGTAACTGGGAATTGAACGTGAAACAGCTAATGCGACAAGAACTGCAGTCTCTGTGCTTGTGGTGTCTGCTTCATCAACTGTGCAAAACTGACATGATGGTTTTCTTCATCCAGAAGTGACCATACTTGGAGGGAAAGGTTGTGGTTAAGACGAACAAGGGTTTCAGTAAAGACAAGTTATAAAAATTAAAAACTAGAAAAGCACTCGGAGAGCGCAGACCTCCGCCAAGCAGCTTATGTCCCCCATTGTATTGTGATTCACACCAAAACTTTTAGTGTTACGTGTCTTTTATTAACTTCTATTTGTGTTTAAACTGATATCTTCACTGTTTATAATGTTCCTAAAACAAGAAATGCCCTGACCCGGATTCAAACCCAGGACCTTCTTGCTGTGAGGCGACAGTGCTAACAACTACACCACTGTGCCACCCATCTACACCACTGTGCCGCCCATTGTTTATCTTTCAGCATTGAAAATTCCAACGACACCCTTATTTTTGTGTGTTCTGGATCACAGTATCCGGAGTTTTGTCTGGATCAGGATCAACCTTTGACACCTCATAAAACTCATTGAGATCCTTTTGTGTAAGTTTTTTTTACTAAAGACTCTGGCCATTTTTATAGAGTTAAATGCAAAAATTCCAAAATTTGCACTATCTCACAATGATAAAGAATCCTTCAAAAAATTCCTGGATCCAGAAGGCGATCCGGATCACCACGAACATTTAATGGGATCTTCCTGGGGCTGAGACGCACCTCTGGTGAAAATTTCCGTTCAAACCATCTGTAACTTTCTCAGTAAAGTTGTTCACAGACAAACAAACAAACAAACAAACAAACCAAGAAACCAACGCTACCGAAAACATAACCTCCTTGGCGGAGGTAATGAGTTTTGACTTCTGGTTTACCCACATATTGGAGCCTCCCGTGGACAAGATGGTACCAGGTGATGTCTTTGCTGATATTGTTCTACATCTCTTCCTGCCATCAGATCTCTTTTTTCACCTTCTTTTTATCTTTGCAGAATTAAAACTACATACTAGTGTGATTCAATTTTGGTCTGAATTGCCTCTTTCTCAATTCCTAAGCAAATGTGTGGGGCATGGGTAGCTTACATGTCATTGACAGCAGCATCAATGCTGAACAATATGTACAGGTTTTGGAGCAGAATATGCTGCCAGTTTTAGGGATGACCTTGCAAAGTAGAACAAAAAAAATGCTAAACTACAATTTGCATTTATTAAATAGCATGGCTCCACAGTGGCAGAGTCCAGGTACTGAGCTGAACCCGCCTGTAGTCCTGATTTCTCACCCATTAAAAACATTTGGTGCATCATGGCACAAAAACGAAGACAAAGGAGACTCCAAACTGTTAAGCAGCTGAAATTGTGCATCAGGCAAGAATGGGACATTTACTTTGAGAACAGAATCTGTTCTCCCAAATGTGTACCAAGTGTTGTTAAATAGGAAGTGATGCAAACACAATAGTAAACATGCGCCTGTCAAGGCTGTTTCAAAACGTGTTACAGATATCAAGTTTAAAACGGGAGTATATTTTTATCAATTAAATTTTTCATGTTGGAAGACTGTGGCATACACAACTTGCATGACAAGAAATCCTCAATACGTGACTGAAGAAAGACTGCTGCTGTTTAGTTACTGACAAATTCACAAAGGTTAGATCTATGCATGACCAACAAGAACGACAAGACCAAGCTAACTTCCCCAAAACCATGATGCAACAGCTTTTAAGGTCTGTGGAAAATGTCTGCAGTTTTCACACTTAGGTTTTGCAACCACACCAGTTAACCTGTGGTTACTACCCTACTTCCTCTTCTTTGCAAGCCCCCAAGGTGGACCTTTCTCATATGCTCTTATTATATGAGTAATAAAATGATACAGATTTCTCTGAGTGGTCCCTTCTCTTCAAGTATATTTCACTTTAGGCTTTAAACAATACTTTTAAAACATGATAAAACGCAGATGTTGACAAAAAAGTTAAAGCCTGAAAGTTTGATACAAGATTAATAATAGATAGAAACTACTAATATAAGAGTGAGGAACAACATTAACACTGCATAGAGTTGATCATTTATATGAATATGATATGAATAGGTACTTCAGTTCTACACAGCAGCAGAACAAGAACCTTTATTTTCACAACCACATTTACTTGTCTGCACAGCACCTCATTTCTTGACTGACCACATGTACTCACAAAGGTTGCACAGCTGCACGCAGAGGATGAAGCTAATCTATTTGTGGTGAAGCTGATGGAATGCACAGGGTCACAGGTTTCACAGTTTCACACGTAAAGATGCTCTGCCTAAATTCAAGATTCAAGCCTTTTATTGTCAATTTCTGCAATGTGTGAATGCATACACAGGAATCCAAAAATACATTTTAAAAATACAGAGAAGAATTTAGTAAATACAAAAGGTACGATAGAGAAGAGTATAATAGAGTAGAAGAGTGTTTATGTCTGTCCTCATCTACTCTCATGCCTACTTTATCTAAGTATATATATACACTCCTCCTATACACGTGCACCTTTATATACACACATGCAAACCTAATGATCAGAAAAATTATTGTGCTGTACATATTTACACATGACCTACAGTGCAGGTGTTGGATGAATCTGCTGTATTTCTTTGATGTAAAGAGCATGTAAACAGTAAGCATTCATGTAAACAGTGGAGTTGAAGTGCAAAAAAAAAAAGGTTAGACGGTGCAAAATACAGAACCAGGTGAACCAGGTGATTCTGTATAGTTCATATTCTATGTGTCCAGTAAAGGTTGAGATGGGGTTCAGAGTTCAATGTTTTGGGGCAGAGAAGGAGTCGGCACAGAGAGGAGAGAGTTCAGCTTTTTGACAGCCTGGTGGGTGAAGCTGTTCATAAGTCTGGTAGAGCAGGCCCAGAGGCTCTGGTACTTTCTCCCAGAGGCAGAAGGCAAACAGACAGGTTGCGCAAGGTTGTGCAGACTGCTTTCGGGTGAGGGAGGGTGTAAATGTCCAGAAGGGAGGCATGTGAGACACCGATGATGTTTCATGCTGTGTTCATTATGTGCTGCAGTGTTTTCCTCTTCTAATCTGTGCAGTGATGTGCAGTTGGCTGTCCGGTAAAAATCCTCACTGATGTGCACCCCTAGAAATCAGGTGTTGCACAGTCTCTCCACAGCAGCCCTATCGGTGGTCAGTGGGGGTGTTGGCTGTGGCCTCTTCTTCAGTCCAGAACGATCTCTTTTGTCTCGTCCAGATTTAAAAGGAGATTGTTATCGCTGCATCACATGGACAGATGGCTGGCCTCCTTCCTGTAGTTTGTCTCATTGTCATAAGACGCACCACAGCAAACTTCACTATGTCTATATCTATCAGATGTTTGGCATATAGCTCATGAAAATCAAAATAAATCACCATCTCAAAACATTAGAATATAACAAACACCAATCTAAAAATGATCTATAATACAGAAGTGTTGACATTCTGAAAAAATTATATTCACTTATGCACTCAGTTCTTATTCTAGGCTCTTTTTGTACAAAATTACTATATCAGTGTGATGTGGCATGGAGACAATCAGTCATGGCAATGCTGGGATGTTATAGAAGCCCTGGTTCTTTGGTAGCGGCCTTCAGCTTGTCTGTGTAACTTAACTGAACATATCCGAGAGACCAAAGGACCACACTCGGCTTCTGTAACAAACACTGTGTCCCTGGTTTTATGTCACAAACCGTCTCTACAAGTCCTAATGGTAGCTTGCATTGCATTTTCCTAAAGGCGAGCCTCACCATGAAAACATTTGAAGGTGACTGAAGCGAACTCAAACAGACATATCATGAATTACAGGTCCCATAAATGGATAAGGATAACATGCACAACAGAACCTCTGTCAGTGCTGCTTTGCTCTGCAGATTCAGGAATCATCGAGTCTCTGTAGAGAACCACATTGCCTCCTGCTGGCAAGTCGCACAGGTTGCATTAAGTTGAGGCTTTCCTGTCCTAAAGGTAATGCATGGAGTGTTTAACTATTAAGTAGCAGGTAGAACTAGATGGTAATGAGTATTTCTATTCTCTGAACTAATTCCTCACCCTGCACCCTGCAACAACATGTGAATAGGATGTACTGATACAAAGGGGGTTTGGCTATTGCCATTGTGGTGAAGCAGATTGAAACCACAGGTCTCAAACTGCTGTATAAAAGTGAGGTTGGGACCCCAGAGACAAAAGGCTGACAAGATGATGCATGCTCTGCGCAAGTGTCTCTTTTTTTATCTGCTGACCTGCCTTGGACTTCATGGTAAGATTTCTGAATCTCTAAATTTGTTTTTGGTGTACAAATCCTCCGTGTACTCATCCTTTTTTATTTCTACGTTCACAGCTCTGGGCAGTGAAATCATACATGGTGAACCGGTCCCAGAGAAAATGATGCCGTATATGGCCTCCCTGCAGGATCAATTCGGTTATCATATATGTGGAGGATTTCTCATCAGTGAAGATTATGTGCTGACTGCTGCACACTGTGCGCATGTTTCTAAAAGGTACAGTGAGTAGCAGCGCGTAGTCGTACAAAGCAGATCAAATAACCTGAAAAAAAGCACTAGATTAGCATTCACAATTATTTCACTTGTTTCTTCTGCATAGCCTGAGACAGCTTCTCACTACCTTTCTTTTTCCCTTTGCTTAGGTGCCTCACAAGTGTTGTCCTCGGCACCCACGATCTTCGAAAGGTTGATGATGCCACAATGAGATACGGAGTGAAGATTTGTGAGCATCCATCTTATAAAGACTTTACTACTGGCGACGACATCATGCTGCTCAAAGTAAGAAGATTTTAAGTCCGCCTTAAGCCTCGTTTCCACTCACATATACTCATGTCAGGAGATCTGTGAACAAATGGATGATCTCACTGGTATCTAATGTAAGGAAACCATAGAGCTGTGAATGAGAAAAAGATATAAGATATATAAAAGAATAATATTGCTCAGACTCAATATGTTGTAACTTCAGAAACATGTTCTTACTAATCATACAAATTTGCTCAATCATACATTCCTGCTAATCCCCCCTCCCCACCCTCCATGATCAAAACCAGAGCCCTTAAACAGTTTTCCTGGAAAGCTCTTTTTCCTAACAATGTTACAGGCCTTGTTTTTGTTAATCTTCTGATTGCCTTCTTGTCTCTCCAGCTGTCAAGGAAAGCTCAAATGAGCGAAAGGCTGCAGAAAATTCTGCTTGCGGATCCTGAGAGCAAACTCAAAGACAATACTCTGTGTCGTGTAGCAGGTTGGGGTGCCATAGTTACTAATGGCGGTTATGTTGATAAGCTTCTAAAGGTGAAAGTGAATGTGGTCAACACAAACACTTGTAAGGAACAATGGAAGATGATAAATTTTGAACTTCCTGCCAAGGTTATCTGCGCAGGTGGATACCAAACGAAAGAAGGATTTTGCCAGGTATGTTTTGTGTTTAATAGCAAATAACGGCTTTAAATGTTTTCTAGGAGAAAGGGTATTTAGTATTAGAAACTGGGTTATTAAATAAATGTTGCTCTACCTCACAGGGGGATTCTGGTGGCCCTCTGGTGTGCGGCGGGAAGGCTGTTGGGGTTGTGTCTTTCAACTGTCACTGTGATTACCCACAGAAACCCCAAGTACCCAACGTCTACACAGATTTATCCAAATACCGCTCCTGGATTGATAAGACAATTAAGCAAAACTCCTGTAAAATGTAACACATCAGCATCATCTTACTGTTTTTTTTTTTTTTTCTTGCAATCTTACCCCTGGATGTTTAGGCATACTCCTTCACTGAGCAACTGTTTGGCTGGCACTGTAGAGCTGACTTTAAAGTAGTTATCATAAAAAAAAAAAAAAATTCTATCTCCATGAATACAGATTTGCTGTAAATTTTGTCTCTGAAAATTGTTGGTAATCTGTAAATATGCTGGAGATGTTGTAATACGAGAAGAACATTGTGGCTTTTGCTTTAAACATGTAAATGTATATTTTAGTCATTATTGTGCTTGATCCATGCCTGAAATGCAGAAAAAATAACTTTTAATCCCAATGTTGGTTATACTTAATTCTTCTTAAGGTTCAGACCTCTGATTTCTGTGAGAAGAAAATAAAAAAAGTAACTGTGACTTTTGCCTGTGTTTACTTGATCAAACTGGGGTTTCCTTGGTGTGGCTGAGTAGTCTCCACAAACACGGAGAAGATCAAAGTATCTGAAAGACTCAAGGACCACATTTTGTCTCTGAAGTCAACAGCGAAGTATTTTCACTTTTAGGTTTCATGTTACACACTCAGAGCAAGTAGGACTGACAGCACCTTTGTCATAAAAGGTGGACAAACATGGAAAAAAAGCTAAAGCTAAAGAATTTAGTTTATTGCTGAGAATGGCATAAAAAATAACTAGAATTCACAAGAATAAGAATAACTTTGTTGATCCCCAAAGGGAAATTCAGAAATAAGACATACTAATTTATGGAAGAACTTTAAAACGGACTGAGGCAGAGTCTGCAGCAGGGCAGGAATTTCATGAGGGCCAAGAGGGCCATGGCAATTTGGCCTTGTGCCCCTGAAAAAAAAAATCTGCCCTAAAGCCACAGTTTCCTTAATGCCCTACTTGCACTTTGGTTTTGCGGTTCTCTAGTCTGCGTCTTTCCTGTCAAAACAGCTTTGACACCTGCGTGTTTTGAGAAAAAAAAAAAAAAAGAAGCATCTTTTAAGGCATTAACCATAAGTAGTGGGTTTGAGCCTGGCAATTTCCTCATGTGCACCCCCGCCCCTGCCCAACCCCGTCTTCTTGCGCCAGTGAGGTTATGATAAGTGGTCTGTCTGACTGAACTGAAGAGAGAGGGGAAATGTCAACAGGACTGAGATGAGACAGTGTGCTTAATGGGGAAAGAATAAGATATGAATTTTTACGTATAAATTAGTTAACGCTGTCTTCCTGTTGTGCACTTTGAGATTTGTTTCTAAATGTAAAGTGCGTTACAAATAAAATCTATCATTATCATTATTCCCGTATTAGTATTTTCCTGTAAATCTCCCATATTATGACACATGTATATATAAAAAAAACATTATTCTGCTTCTCCAAACTAAACCCTGTCACCAGCAAGCACTAAGTACCCATCAACCCTGAGTTCACTAATGCTTCCTTGCTTGCTATCAAGTTTTATTTGTCGAGCTGCTTGTTGTTTTCTGTCTTGTCTATGTAGCTTATTTTAGCTCATCCATAATTTTCCTTAATTGAGTAATCACTCTGGGCTCTTTCGGGTTAGTAGTCTACATGCAAATATTTGCTCTATACACTCAATTTTGGTCAATCAAAATATTTCTTGTGTACTCCAGTTCAGTTGCCTTTACTGTCCCTTAAGGGAAACTTGGCTTGCTGACAAAAATTGACATTATAAGTCCTTACATTAAATTCATTATGGACGTGGACTTTCTGCAGTGAGTTGAAATAAAAGGCCTTGTCATTTTATTCAGCCACCTCAAATGTCCGTCCTGAGGTCTTGCATCCCCTTATGTTATTGTAAATATGCAGAGTTGTGTTTTTCAATTTTGTTGAGAATTTAGTCTAACAAGAGAGGTGTTGTGCACAAATGAAAAGTAAACCCATCTGTTCATTACTTTACTGGTCGGTCAGAATGTCGCAGTATCTTTCCTCAGTATTTTCTATGTATTGGCCACGTGTTCCATCATGCACACAAACCCTCTGTACTGTTGCTTCTGTCTTAATTATTATCAAAGAGCCGTGCATGTTGAGGAGGGGACAAAACAGATCAAAAACATCTGAATTGTGTAAAAATGTTTGTATGAAAGGAAATGCTCAAGGTCCGAACCCATAGACTGTATATAGCTTCACATGCTTCACCGTGTTTCAGTTTAACAGTGAAACATTTGTTAAGATACTTCCTGAAGATGTGGTTTTGATTAGCCTTTAGTTTTTGACAGGTTTTGACTCAACACTCAGCAAAGTCCCAGCTTAGAAATACTAAAGAAAACCATAAAAAGAACTGTTTCCTCGCTCCTGATTCATGTAAAAAATTATCTTGCTTATGAGTGACCCTGAGTGGTATTTTAAGACTTGGATGTAATAATGTAAAACAGAAGTTAACAGAAAATAGAGCCTAAAAGGCTGATGCAGAAATAAAATGAAATGATAAAACTGAAAACATCAAATGTAGATGTTAGAGCACTGGTCAACATTGATACTGTGTAACGTTTACCACAAGCTGATCATGGAACAAACAAGATGTGTCAGATAAGGCAGCAAACCCACAATGTTTATATTTACCAAAACAATTGAATTTCTGCTTCACACCTCTTTTCTTGAGAAAATAGGGGGGTAGCACCAACGCACAAGAGATGTGACTAAGGCAGTAAAAGGGAAACAGGTAAAAACCACAGGGTCGCAGACTCAGCACTTGGCTTTATAAAGGTCCAGCTGAGACCCCTCAAGACAAAAGGTTGACTTTGCTTCCAGCATGATGCACCCTCTGCGCAAGTGTCTGCCTCTTTATCTCCTCATATGTCTTGGACTTCATCATGGTAAGAATTTTACATTTCTTAATTTGTCTCTAAATCAAAAGTGTTCATTTTACTCATCTTTTTTATTTCTACATTCACAGCTCTGGGCAGTGAAATCATACATGGTCAAAAGGTCCCAAAGAACCAAATGCTGTATATGGTCTCCTTGCAGAATGATGAAGGTAAACATTTCTGTGGAGGATTTCTCATCAGTGAAGACTTTGTGCTGACTGCTGCACACTGTGCCAATCCGTAAGTAACAACAAAAAAATAGCAAACCAGGCTAACATTCAACAAAAATATGGACTAGATTTGAATACCCTGTTTATTGCTTTAGAAAGTCTCTGTTAACCTTTCCATGGTGACTCTCACAGGTCACTTACAAGTGTTGTTCTGGGCACCCACAATCTCAAGAAGGTTGATAATAACACAATGAGATTCGGAGTGGAGACATGCAAGCATCCATCTTATACAAATGTCGGTTCTGGTCATGACATCATGCTCCTCAAAGTAAGTATTTAATAATCCATCCTAGAGCCCCAGGGGAAAAATAATCTTGAGGTTAAAATTTTTTACATTATAAAATCTTTACTTTAATTTTCCATAAAACGTAAAGTTTTCTTTGACCAGCTTAAGTTAATCCTCCATGGTTATCCATCTCTACATTGCCGGAGTCACTTTGTTGATTTTCCCATATTGCATTCATAGGACTTCAAATTTCTATTATCATTGGAGTTATGCTGTCAAATTATACCTGTATCAACAACAACTGTCCTTTTTATTTTCTAAAAAAAAAAAAAAAGAAGTATTGATTACTTTAAATAAGCCTATGGTAAAGCAGTGACTTAAAGATAGAGAGGAAGTAGCAGACTGCTCGTGAGTAAGGGGAAGCATCAGGTACTTTTAAAACTGATTTTTATGATTTATTATGAATCTAAAAACAGTTCTGAAGCTTGTGTCCCTTCAGACTAATTACTCAAAACCCAAACTTTCTGACTTTTCTTCAACTTTCAGTTTCATCATTTACAATCTACCAGACTCATTCAAACTAAAAGCATAGTTTGACAATGCAAGATATAACACAACCTAAAAGTAAGACAGAAAAGATATTAGGATAACATTATAACATACTTTCAATGGGGCACAATCGACTTATCATAAATTTGAATATTATTCAAAATGGATAATGACATGTAAAGTTAGTGCATGAAGTCATTAAGTCTCCTCAATTTGACTGATTGTGTGTTTTTTTTAAGCTTTCCATGAGTATTATGGTAATATCATTTTTGTTGTATTAGATATTGTGACAGCCTTTCACTGGAGGGTTACAGACTTGCTTATTTCTTACTGTAAGTAGACAGATGTGTCATTCTACCTAAAGCTCTCTTAAGATCCTTTGATGCTCCTTTCTAGTGTCTTATGATGACTTCACTGACCAATCACAGACTATGCTCCAAACTGTCATAAGGCCCAGTCTAAAGTTTGAGTTACTTTCAGAGTGCTGGTGCAGTATGATGGGCCTGATGGAGCCAAACCCATTAGCTAGCTACATCACATACTGTGTTAATCGGATCAATCACTTTTAGAAGCATTTTCTTATGCAAGTATGGGACTGTCACTAACCCAATCCAAAAAAAAACTGTATAAATTGAACATTTCTGGATCAATTCACCAAGATGAATAGGTCACGCAACTTCAGATGACAATGTGATAGTAATTGCCAAAGACATCTCCCAACAGCAGCCATGTGTATTATAGATTTTCAACAAAGGTGCCAAGACATCTATTTGCAACAATCACAATTTGAAAAATTATGAAATCCTAGAGGGACTGATGCTAAAGTGGTTTATATCTGTGTGCTCACTACTTTTTGATTTTGCCTCCTTGTGTCTCCAGCTATCGAAGAAAGCCAAGCTGGGCAAAAGAGTGCGACTGGTTCAACTTCCACAATCTGACTTCAAAATCAAAAAGAGTGCAAAGTGCCATGTCGCTGGTTGGGGTTACACAAAAACTGGTAGTAAACCAGTTGATGAGCTTCAAGCAACTGATGTAAATGTCATTAACCTGGAAACCTGTAAAGATGAATGGAAGATTGGTAACTTCAAACTCCCTGCCAATGTTATCTGTGCTGGTGGATATGACACAGCACATGGCTTCTGTCAGGTATGTTTTGTGTTCGTCTAAAATACTTCGTCCTCTCTTGGTTAAACGGTCAGAAGTCACTGTTATATCACTGATCTTGCTTTTTCCTCACAGGGTGATTCTGGAGGCCCCCTGGTGTGTGGTGACACAGCTGTTGGTGTTGTGTCTTTCAACTGGAGGGCTAACTGTGACTACCCGAATGCTCCCAATGTCTACACAGATGTATCTAAATACCTTCCCTGGATTAGAAAGATACTGGCGCAGAAGAGCTGTTAAGCATGAGATTTCAACATACTCTCAGTGGTTTTGTGTTATTTCTTTGGCCTCGACCTGGAAAAGTCTTCTCACTTTACTGACAGGCTGACACTGCAGAGCTGACTCAAAACACAAAACATCAGTCTAGACTGTTAGAACTTGGCTTTGTCTTTCATTTTTAAAATCTGTTGTTTGGAAGTATTTTATATGTTTCCCTTCAAAACACCCATGCAGATTTTTATTTTGACTGTTTGAATTCTCATTGTATTTCTGTGTTTGAGTTACTTAGCTTGCTGCTAATCTGAAATGCATAAAAAAGACTCCAGTTTAAAGGTGAGAGGCTCGTCTGTTTGTTTCCTGCCATTGTTCCACACACTGAATAAAGACTGTGTTTCTTTATTTGACAAGCAGTCTTCATTTGCATAGCAATATAACACTAGAACTGACAGTAAACATTATGCCACATGAATTAATATAAAAAGACAGTCAACAGACTTCAATAAAATGACAAAATTACAATATATCTGTAATATTTTAATGCAGGACGATTACAATGATGCAACATATTTAGAAAGAGCATGAAAATGCTGTGAAACATACTAATTTCTCACAGGCTTGACAGTCAAACTACCAGATGAATCACTAGGATTAATCTTAGCCTAGTTGTTAGCCTGGTCTGGAGCAGGCTAGCTGCAGAGAATAAATCACCATAGTAACTTGACCAGGTTAGATTTGACCTGCTTTCATGCAACCGACTTGAGGCTAAATTCAGCCAGGATAACTAACATATCCCGGCTTAATCCCTTATCTTGGTTTTGTGCAATACCCCCCTGGTCAACATTAATACTGTGTAAAGTTTACCACAAGCTAATCATAGAACACACAAGATGTGTTAGATAGGGCAGCAAACCCGCAATGTTTATATGTACCGAAAAAATTAAATTTCTGCTTCACACCTCTTATCTTGAGAAAATAAGCACAGGGGATGTGACTAAGGCAGACAAACGGGTAAAAACCACAGAGTCGCAGACTCAGCACTCTGCAAGTGCAAAAGGTTGAAATCGCAAGCAAAAAGTTGAAATTACTCAGTTGCTAGGAGGAAAAGTATCAACAAAAGAGAAAAAAAACAGAAAATCACCATGTACTGGGAAAAACCACAATCTCAAAATTCCAGCAAAAAAAAAGTGCCAAGGCACTGAAAATACTTACACTAAACTTGAGGATACACTGAGAACTACACATGGCAAAAAGCAGAAGATCACTGAGAGCTAGAGCAGGTTGCAGAAGCAAAGGGAACAATCCAGTACAGGAGACTGGGAGGGAGCGGCTTAACTAGCCAGGTAATTTAGGCAGAACAAGCTGCAGGTGTGCTGGAAGCTCTTCTCCCAGAGATCGACCCACCCCTCATCACACTCCCTGCAGAAAGAGGGAGAGAGGGATCAGAGCATGCTTTCACAAAAACACGGCAGAAACAGGATCATAACTACTCCTTCATTTAGCAACTGTTTGGCTGACACTGTAGAGCTGACTTAAAACTAGTTTTTATAAAAAAAAAACTTTTATTCTATCTCCATGAATACAGATTTGCTGAAGAACACTGTGGCTTTTGCTTTAAACATGCGAATGTATATTTTAGTCATAATTGTGCTTGATCCTTGCCTGAAATGCAGAAAAAATAACTTGTACTCGCAATGTAAGTTGCACTGAATTCTTCTTGAGGCTCAGACCTCTGATTCCTGTGAGGAAGAAAATAAAAATTAACCTCTGAAAAAACTGAAAACACCAAATGTAGATGTTAGAGCACTGGTCAACATTAATACTGTGTAGAGTTTACCACAAACTAATCATGGAACAAACAAGATATGTCAGATAAGGCAGCAAACCCACAATTTTGATATTTACTGTAACAATTTAACCTCTGCTTCACACTTCTTTTCTTGAGAAAATAAGGGAGTAGCACCAACGCACAAGGGATGTGACTAAGGCAGTAAAAAGGAAACAAGTAAAAACATCAGGTTTCACAGACTCAGCACTCTGCTGTATAAAAGTCGTGCATAAGATTGACAAAAGCTTGAATGTGCGACCGGCATGATGCACCCTCTGCGCAAGTGTCTGCCTCTTTATCTCCTCATATGTCTTGGACTTCATCATGGTAAGAATTTTACATTTCTTAATTTGTCTCAAAATCAAAAATATTCCTGTCACTCATCTTTTTTATTTCTACATTCACAGCTCTGAGTGCTAGAATCATACCTTGTCAAAAGGTCCCAGAAAACCAAATGCAGCACATGGTCTCCTTGCAGAACGATGCAGGTAAACATGTCTGTGGAGGATTTCTCATCAGGGAAGATTATGTGCTGACTGCTGCACACTGTGCTGATCAGTAAGTAACAACAAAATAATAGCAAACCAGGCTAACATTCAACAAAAACATGGACCAGATTTGAATACCCCATTTAACTCCCTGGTTTTTATTTTATTTTTTTTCTGCATGCTTTGGAAAGTCTCTGTTAACCTTTTTATGTTGACTTTCTTAGGAGACCCACAAGTGTTGTTCTGGGCACCCACAATCTCAGGAAGGTTGATAATAACGCAATGAGAATCCGAGTGGAGCCATGCAAGCATCCATTGTATACAAATGTCGGTTCTGGTCATGACATCATGCTCCTCAAAGTAAGTATTTAATAATCCATCCTAGAGCCCCAGGGGAAAAATAATCTTGAGGTAAATTTTTTTGTACATTTTAAAATCTTTACTTTAATTTACCCTAAAATGTTCAAGTTTTCTTCAAATTTTGACCAGCTGAACTAAATCCACAATTAAAAAAAAAAAAAGAAATCCCAGAGGGACTGATGCTGAAGTGTTTATATCTGTGTGCTCACTACTTTTTGATTTTGCCTCCTTGTGTCTCCAGCTGTTGAAGACAGCTACGCTGGGCAAAACAGTGCAACTGGTTCAACTTCCACAATCTGGCTTCAACATCAAAGACAACACAAAGTGCCGTGTTGCTGGTTGGGGTTACACAACAACTGTTGGTCAACCAGTTGATGAGCTTCAAGCAACTGATGTAAATGTCATTAACCTGGAAACCTGTAAGAAGATATGGTGGGAGAAGCCTTACTCCTTCAAACTCCCCGCCAATGTTATCTGTGCTGGTGGATATGGCACAACACATGGTTTCTGTCGGGTATGTTTTGTGTTCGTCTAAAATACTTCGTCTTCTCTTGGTTAAACGGTCAGAAGTCACTGTTATATCAACTGATCTTGATTCTTCCTCACAGGGTGATTCTGGAGGCCCCCTGGTGTGTGGTGACACAGCTGTTGGTGTTGTGTCGTTCAACTGTCATGGTAATTGTGACTACCCGAATGTTCCCAATGTCTACACAGATGTATCTAAATACGTTCCCTGGATTAGAAAGATACTGGCGCAGAGGAGCTGTTACGCATGAAATTTCAACATACTCTCAGTGGTTTTGTGTTATTTCTTTGGCCTCGCTCTGGAAAAGTCTTCTCACTTTACTGACAGGGTCACGCTGCAGAGCTGACTCAAAACGTACTTTTTATTTGCAACATCAGTCTAGACTGTTAGAACTTGGCTTTGTCTTTCATTTTTAAAATCTGTAGTTTGGAAGTATTTTATATGTTTCCCTTCAAAACACCCATGCAGATTCGACTGTTTGAATTCTCATTGTATTTCTGTGTTTGAGTCTCTTCGCTTACTGCTAATCTGAAATGTATAAAAAAAGACTCCAGTTTAAAGGTGAGAGGCTCGTCTGTTTGTTTCCTGCCATTGTTCCACACACTGAATAAAGACTGTGTTTCTTTTTATAAGGCGTCTTTGTGTACTGCCTTGAAACAATCCTGTATGAATATATTATGGCATCCTGTGCTGCTATTGGCTGTCCTTGTGCTTTATTACAAGGATAAAAGGAAGAACAGAAATCCCCTCTTGTGTTGTTCTGTCAAATGTTTATAACTTTGGAAGAAAGTATCTGTTAGATACAATTGGAGTAGCCATATAAACAACAATATCAGTGAAATAATGCTAAATGTGGCCAAGGGGGTTATGTATAGTTCTGCAGTGTCTTTCAGTCTTTAAGTCCTCGGGTTGTGGTGTCACACTTAAGTGACAAAAATCAGCAACAATACAAAGTCACAGCTTTGAAGTAGAACCACAACACCTTACCACCACTTCCATTCCTACCACCAAAGTAGTTTTTATCTCTTTATTTCATGTCAGGAAATATCTCTTGTTGGGGAAACTTCCTTTGAGTACTTCCATGAGAGTGAAAATCTATTTTATAAAATTAGACAGTAAACGAGGAAGTTAAAGCCACAAAGACTGATACAAATAAAAATACATACACTCATGATGATACTGTAGACATTAAATGTAGAAGTGAAGAAAGATGTCCACAATGTCACCATTTACAACATGTAAAGTTCATCACAATGTGAACGTGCTTCGGGCCTCGAAGTCAACAACACCGCAGGCTTAATATTTACCGTAAATTTTTCATTTCTGCTCAGTAACTTATCTCTAAACTGACCACATATACTCACCACTGAGACAATTTCAGGTTGCACCAATGCACAGGGGATGTGACAAGAGCATTTGAGGTAAAGCAGTCGGAAACCACAGGGTCGCTTACTCAGCACTCTGCTATATAAAAGTCAAACTGAGACCCCAAAGACAAAAGATTGACTTTGCTTCCAGCATGATGCACCCTCTGCGCAAGTGTCTGCCTGTTTATCTCCTCATATGTCTTGGACTTCATCATGGTAAGAATTTTACATTTCTTAATTTTTCTCAAAATCAAAAATATTCCTGTCACTCATCTTTTTTTATTTCTACATTCACAGCTCTGGGCAGTGAAATCATACATGGTCAAAAGGTCCCAGAGAACCAAATGCTGTATATGGCCTCGTTGCAGAATGATGCAGGTAAACATGTCTGTGGAGGATTTCTGATCAGGGAAGACTTTGTGCTGACTGCTGCACACTGTGCCAAATGGTAAGTAACAACAACAACAAAAAAATAGCAAACCAGGCTAACATTCAACAAAAACATGGACTAGATTTGAATACCCCGTTTATTTCCTGGTTATTTATTTTTGCATGCTTTTGAAAGTCTCTGTTAACCTTTCCATGTTGACTCTTACAGGTCACCCACAAGTGTTGTTCTGGGCACCCACAATCTCAGGAAGGTTGATAATAATGCAATGAGAATCAGAGTGGACACATGCAAGCATCCATCTTATACAAATATCAGTTCTGGCCATGACATCATGCTCCTCAAAGTAAGTATATTCTCAATCTGTCCTACAGTTCAAGGGAAACAATTGCTTTTAAAGAAAAAAGATAACCTTTTAGTGTTTTCATTAGTTAAGCCCAAGATGGTCAAAACCAAAGTGTCACTTGTTGCTCTTTTTCACCCTGGTTTATGAAACTGGGGTCAGCAGGAGGACAAGACAGTTCCTCTAGAAGGTTGCAGAAGTATGAGAGATTTGGTTCATGGGTGTATTTCTTTCTGATTTTACCTTCTTGTGTCTCCAGCTATCGAAGAAAGCCAAGCTGGGCAAAAAAGTGCAACTGGTTCAACTCCCAAAATCTGGCTTCAAAATCAAAAACAACGCGAAGTGTCGTGTCGCTGGTTGGGGTTACACAAAAACTGCTGGTAATTCAGTTGATGAGCTTCAAGCAACTGATGTAAAAATAGTTAACCAGAAGACTTGTAAAAAGGAATGGAAGATTGGTAAAGTCAAACTCCCCGCCAATATCATCTGCGCAGGTGGATTTAAGACAACAAATGGATTCTGTAAGGTATGTTTTCTGTTTCATTGTGGAAAATACAATGTTTTAAGGTTAAATGGTTGTAGATATACAAACTGGAATATCAGCTGAAGCTTGCTCTTCTCCGCAGGGTGATTCTGGAGGCCCTCTGATGTGTGGTGACAGGATGGCTGTTGGTATTGTGTCTTTCAACAAGTGGGGAAACTGCAGTTACCCAGGTGCTCCCAACATCTACACAAATATACTGAAATACCTTCCTTGGATCAAAAAAATACTCAAGCAAGGCAAATGTGTTGATCCAGCATAAACTTAATGTCTTCTGTTATGCAACTCTTTGGCTGATACTGCTGAGCTGACTTAAGATGTACTCTTTAATTTACATCATGCTTTCTGTCTTCATGAATATAATTTTACTGTATTGTTTCATCTCCCAAAATTAATTGTAAATCTGTTTGGATGCTGTGAATTTTCAAATTTCAAGAGGAACTTCGTGTCTTTTGTTTGAAAAGACATGTCAAAGTAAGGTTTTTGTCCATATGTTCTTTGTGTATTCAAGTCTTTTTCATGCCTTTGCAGAAGAATAAATAAACTTCCAATGTTAGCCAAAATGAATTGTTACTGGCATGTTATTCAGACATTAAAGGGTCAGTTAAAAAACCATATCATGCTGCTTCTGTGTCTCATGAAATGGGGACTCCAGAGCCTAAGTTTGAACAGAATCTAGCCAGACGAACATTTGGTAATAATAACAGTGAGAACATTGAAGGTCAACATACTTTGCACAAACGTTTTAGTGGTTTGTGCAGACCAACACCCAAAGAAAACTTTATTCTGTGTTGATCTAGTTAGAGTTACTTGATGTGGAGCAGGGTGGAGAAAATCTATCGTCAGTATTATTATTATTATTATTATTATTATTATTATTATTGTTATTATTATTATTGGTGGTGTTGTCGTTATTATTATTATTATTATTATTATTATTATTATTATTATTATTATTATTATTATAAACTAACATTAATAATGAAACCAATACATCAAGCATTGTCTGGTGGCTCTAAGGATCTGTGGGAAAAGTGTGTTTTCAGCAACACTCCACTAGAGGGGGTACTATGTTTCTTAAGAATGAGGCCTCATGCCTGAGTGCCAATCATAATCTCAATGTGCTGGTATCAGTTTCATCAGTAAGACCTTGAATGGCTCCATCAACATGATTAGTTTTGCAACTTGACAGAAACTGGACTGTAGCCAAGAGACACAATAATCCTCAATTTACCCCACCCTGCAAACTGGTGTTTTCCTACACGTTACCAAAGACTATAATCACAATACATCAGGTACATTTATGTGTGTGTTTTTGACTGATATGCAGTGGCTGAATTAAAGATCTGCACGTTTTTTTGTGCTGCAATTTCAAGTTACTGTATTTAGGACATCTGAGACATTCATAAGTGAAATATTGTTCCTCATATCAGCATTTATAGAGTGCCTGATTGTTCAATCGGATCACTTGCTCAGAAGTATTTGTACCAACATAAATGAACATCTTGCTCAACATGGCTATTGCAAAGATACAACAAAAATACAGAAACAAAAACTTCTAGCAATATGATTTACTGCAACAACAGGTAAGATGTCCCATTTGCTCCACATTTCCATGTTTACAAGTTTGCCTTTATAGTAAATCAATAACAGATCATCCATTTACACAAGACTGCAAAGCAGACACGCAGTCAAAGACTGTTTACAACATCCCCCGTTAAGATAAATCCAGTGCTATCTTATCATGTCATGCCCTTATCTAAATTAATGTTATCTCTAAACCGCAAGGTAAGCCTGGAACCTTTGGACCTCATGATTGCATGAATCTCTAGAGTACTGATTTCAAAACTTTAGCCTGAGAATTTAAATGGGACAAATATAAAAGCCCCTGTGAGTAGTTTTTGGATAGTTATGAAACCAACTGAGATTTATTGTGAGGCCTCTTTATGACCTACAAAATAAATAAGACTGTATGCAAATAAGATTTACAAAAAAGATTTTAAGTGTCATTTTTAACACCTGAAACCTCTAGGGTTGGGTATCAGATGTGGCAACGTGAATGCCTTTTTTGGGGCTAGTGACACTTTTGTCAGTTAGAAGAAATCAGGATGATATTTTTGTCTTTCACATGTGCAGAAGAAGCTCAACAAAGAGATAAGAGGAATCTTTAGGGCCCTAACACTTACATAAAAGTTCTTCACAGGAGCTTCAACAGTATGATGATTTGAGGTTTGTTGTAACAGTTATAGTCATGACACAATATTTGTAGCCACTGTAACCCAGCTATTTGGGCTACAGTGGCTAAGCACATAATTTCAACTTCAATTTGCTCAATATTAGCCATCATAATTTTAAACAACAATTGAGTTAAAGGGATAGTTGATTTTTGTCAGACTGTGTTGGTATGAGTACATACCAATAGTGGGTTAGACAATTTCATGTATGACTGACTATTTTTTTTAAGTGTCCTATGTGTGTAGATCAGACCATAACAAAACTCTGTAGATGCACTCATTAATTTTAGAGTCTTTGACTGGTTGAGATCATTAATCAATGTAAAATCATTCTATTAGCGGTGGTGCTTCCTGTATTAAACTCTTAAGCTTGTGTGAACAGTACAACCAACTATGCTCACTTATTAGGGTCACAGGAAATGATATAATAGCTGAACTGCCTTTTTATTTATCCACAGATGAGATTTAGAGTCCAACATAGTCTTGGATAACGCCCAACATATGCAGTCAAAAATCAAGAGTGGCGTTGAGAATTTTCCTGGACACCTCAGACTTAATGAGTCTGCATTGCAAGCCGTGTCATATTGACCTTGCATGAAACACTTTCCTTGATCATTAACCTTTTTCACACCATGCACAAGGAGAAAAAAAAGTGGAAACAGATAACAGTCTACCACTTATCACCTCATTTGCTTAGACTGTTCTCAGCAGCAGTTTTGTGATGCTAGGAGGGCAGAGGGATAAGCCTGATAAAGGAAATGGTGATAAGAGAAATGTGCAGCTACAGGCAACATGTTTGAAGGCTGCACAGCATATCAGCTATTGGCGAAAATAAATATGAGAAGTGTTTCATTAGGTCTGTCATAAGTCTGCTCTGAGCTGTGTAGTGCAAAACCGCATTCTTTCTTAAAACCGGGTTTGTTAACACTGATTTTATGCAACCTACCAGAGAGAGGAAGAGGAAATAACAGTTTCCATACTTGGCAATATTAAAAATCCTCGCAGATACTGTCAGAGATACAGAAACAGAGACATCCACAGTACTGTGCTGTACATTGTTCACCAAGGCCAAACAAAGATTTAGCAACTGTTCAAGTGAATAAAATCTGAGAGCTGTTTTAACTCTTACATCCATGATGAAACCTTGTTCTGTAAATTAAAAGCCACTTCTTTTGTAATCCCAGCACCCAAGAACTTTACAAAACAGCACATTGAAACATGTTTGCAAACCTACTGAAGCAATAGAGACCACACAATAAGCAAGATACTTATTTCTTTACACATTTAAGGACTAAGTGTGGGAGTGTTAACGTGACCAGAGACCATGGAGATGATCTTTGCGCCGCTGCTGCTGCTGCTCTTTGTCCTGAATGGTAAGTTATGAGAAAGAGGAATGAAAACCTACATTTACTCTAAAAGATTTTTCTGTTTAAAGCTGAGAAAATTATAAATAGGTACTTTGTGTTCTAGGGGTGGATGGCACAGAAATTGTTGGAGGCCAAGATGCTGCACCCCACTCTCGGCCCTACATGGCATCGCTGCAAGTCAGAGGTCGGCACTTCTGTGGAGGCGTCCTGGTGAAAGAGGACTTTGTGCTAACAGCAGCACACTGCTTGCTAGACATGTAAGAATGAAAAATAGACCCATTTTTCATTGCATTTTTTTAAGTGTCAAGAATTGCTCCATAAACTACAGCAGACACAATGAGAGAAGATTCTTTGACACATAATGAACAACATCCTTGCTACATCCTCAAAAAAATCTGAATTTCATTTCCAAATAATACAATAATGATCTATACTTGCATAATACATTTTACACAAACACCAGCTATTATCATATTTTATTTCATATGAACATTCAAAATTAGTCACATTTACATTCAATCTCAGGGATAATTCTAAAGTTAGTAGCGTTATTAAAGGACGCTCTCTGCAGCAAAGATGGACTGTTCACTTGCTCATTTCAGCAGGGTTGTGGTTGCACTGTTTTGATATGCATGAAAGAAACAATTTTTCATTGTTTGCAAGTGAGCTACACTGATTTTGTAAATTCTTCTTAAGTTGTTGCCAACTGAAATTCAAATCCAAATCTCTTTGCCAGCTTTAAACAAGATGACCAACATTAAGAATAAAATGAGGGATAGGAGGGTTTATGTAGAAATTAAAAAAAAAGAAAAAAACAAACTTCCTCCACCTGTAGAACAAAAATCAACAACGAGATTACAGGTACTGGCTTGTCCGCAGAGGACACCAATGGCAACACAGAGCTAAGGTTTCTCATAAGAGAACTATTATAATGTCAACACTTCACATCATCCACTTATCGTTTGATCTAGACCAATGACAGTCGTGCTTGGAATTGATTCTCTGTCTGCCAATGAGTCTACAAAGCAAGAGTTCCCAGTGATCAGATCCATTCCACATCCCAACTATGACGGACATGAAAATGACATCATGCTCCTGAAGGTGAGGATTATGTAAACTGGAGACAGGCTGATATTCACTGAACGTTTTCCCCATTATCTATTACTTGGCAATGTTGTTTGTACTTTTCACCATTTCCACGAATTTCCTTCCGCAGCTCAGCAGAAATGCCAGCCTGGGTGAAGCAGTGCAGCTTATCCCTCCAAAAAGAGGCAGGCTGAACCAGTGCACAACAGCTGGCTGGGGGGATATAGGAGATAACAACACTTTAGCTAGCAGGCTGCAGGAGGTCAATGTAACACTTGTGTCTCTGAGGAACTGTCGGAGGAGATGGGGAGATGTTCCCATCACCAGGTCCATGGTTTGTGGCACCGGGTCTCGTGCCTTTCAGGGCTTCTGCTCTGTAAGTTTAAAAAAACACAGTTTGATCAGACACCCACACTGACACCCACACTGACATTTAAAGACGGCTATAATGTGTTGACAAGACATTTTACATTTTAGTTTTTAATCAAAGTGAATATTACAAGAATCTAAAATAAGCAAGCCAGATTTTCAAAATGGCATATTCTGTTACCTTGTTTTCGATGTGTAGAGAAAAACTCATATTGAGCATCTTAAGATACATCACGGAGGATGTTTTACACCCAATAAACATCTTTTGAATGTTTTCCTGTTGTAGGGGGATTCTGGTGGTCCATTGGTTTGTGGTGGAGCTGCAGCAGGTGTTGTGTCTTTCTCTGGCCGCCGATGTGGGGACCCCAGAAGCCCTGATGTCTACACACGCGTATCGTCGTTTAGGGGATGGATAAGAAACGTAATGCGCAGAAATTAGGCTCAAGCTAAAAATAAATGTGTCAGTATGTCTGCTTTGAAAAACACATGGTATTAATTTGTTCTATATGGGTACTAGTGCACGCCTGTGATTTGGACAATGTGGTGATAAATAACGACTATGGTCCCCAAATTGTTAGCATTTGGTTATGTCATACACTTTGCATTTTACAGTGCTCAGCATAAATGAATACACCTCTTCAGAGTTGTCAGAAAACCTTCAGTTTTGTTTCAAAATCAACATTTTCTATGTCAGACTATACAACAAAATACTCCCCCAAATGTAAGCCACTGATTATAAACAAGATTTTTTAAGTTGCATACAAAAATCAGGATGCAAAAATGAGTATACCCCAGTCAAAGTTCTGGGAGCAAGGCTAAGTTTTAGTTACCCTATCACCCTTATTTTCATCTGATGGTAAATAAAATGTTATGTTAAACTCAGCTTTGTCAAAACTTTGGAAATAGTACTTTTATCTTTTTATCTAGATATTGAGTAATGCATTACTTTTAATAGAAGGTGTACTGACCTGTGCTGGGCACTGTATCTAGTACAGGCACAACATTGTTCTAAAGGTTTAAATATCTTGATATAATGATAGAGAATAAAATGCTAAATAAAATCATAAATTGTGTATCATAGCAGTTTTGGGAAATAATTGTAGCACTCAAATTATTTCAAGAAACACTTAAGTGAAGATGTGAGACTTTCTGTTAAACAACTTCCCAAACTTGAGTGATTTGTTTCTTCATGTGCAATTCCTCAAGAGGAAATATCTTGTTACCTCACATTCATGTCATCATAGCAACAAGAATATGTAACTTTCTGATGCATTTGGTCTGCTTAACATAAGGGTTATTGTATGCCCAGTTATTAGTGGTGCATTGTGTGTTAAAGATATGCAGCACTGGGGTTAATATTGCTTTCTGCAAGGTATCAACATTTATTAAATGTGATACCTAAATCATATAATTATTTGCAACTTACCATGAATGCTGTGCAAAGTTATTAACAGTCCTTTCGTCTTGAAGATTTATATCAACTTTGTCGTTCAGTAAATAATTCAACATATTTGTTCAAATTTGATCATCAATAATGCTCATTTTGACTCTTATTATCATAAGCTGTACCTGCGATTTTAAATCATATCAAATGTTTTGCAACATATGTTTGGGCCGTTTGTAATTTAAAAGATTAGCCCATATTAAAAATTCAAGTTGAAAAGGTGTGGGTTCAATTGTAGTGATGTGATGTGATCCTTTTATGTGAATAATTTGAAAAAAAGTTGCAAGTAGCAGTAGGGGAGAGTGGGGTGAGATGAGCCATTTTTCATATTTCTGATCACTACATCAAGGCAATCATAGTTTTGTCTCTTACGAGTGTATCTACATATATTTTAAGATGTTGTGCATCCCTGTAAACCAACAGAATGAGTGTAAACATAACTGTCTTGATAATATAGCATGCCAAAAAAAGTGGTCTTCTATGGTCAACTTACCCCATGTATGGAGTAAGTTGAGCCGTATCTCTACTACCCCCCCACCCCCACCCCAGCCCTCCCTCACCTTCTCTCTCCCTAAAGAACAGTAACTTCTTCCCAATCATGTGTATTTTTATCTATCATACGCTATTCAACTGGTACAATAATACTTTTTATTATTATTGCATATAACTGCTAAAAAGCTGTTTTGTAAAAAGTCATTTTAACATGAGAATGTCTTTAAGTGATTCAGAACATTCACCGCTGTATTTTTGAAAAGAAAACAGTAAAACATTTCAACAATATGAACTGAAACTCTGATCATCAGACTTCTTTACTTTCTCAGTTGAACCACTGGCACAATTTACCCCAGAACTACTATCATGACTTTCTTAGTCCTCTAAGCTACTCAGAGGACTAATAAAGTCATGATAGTAGACTTTTATAGGCTACTTGGTTTTTGACCTCATGTTGTAGCTTAAAGATACCACAATTAATGAGTAAAACAAATTTAAAATGATCTTTTTTGGTCTAAACACAATTCTACTAAAACTTATGACAGACTAAATTCACGTTTAAGACTGAAAAGTGTTTTTTTTTGTTGTTGTTGTTGTTGTTTTTTGGAGATTAATGTCAAACCCCTTCACCCTTTACACACTCCATGAATTGATGCCCATCTCTTAAATATTTGGCCACATGATCAATTTCTCAAGCAACAGGAGGTGGCTCAACTTACCCCACTCTCCCCTACTGGCGTTGTATTGGGGGCATTGGCTCTAAAATTTCCCTCAAGATTGATCAAGTTTCATGTTATATCTTTATACCTCGTGGGCATTTGTGTCATTTTAGTACTTTTATATAGTTTATTCTATTTATGTCAGTCCTGAACTGTGTGGATGTTTTGTAGTGTAGTCTGCCCTGCTGCCCTTCCCTGACTTGTACACACAGGTGCAAAGCTCAGGTGTTTTTAATTGTGCTCATTACCCCGCTCATGCATTCTTCTCTTCAGCAAAAGCAGAGTTAAACTGTTCTAAAAAACCGTTACTTTTAGTACTACCTGCGCCTTTAAATTGAAACTAGACAAGTTTGCGTCAGAAAAAAAAAAGGTTCACGTCACTTCATCGGTAGTTATTCATCCATGTTTAAGTCCAGTTGTCTTTTCCTGCCTAGTTTTGTGGGTCAAAAACGTAAATAAGCTTTTTCTGAAAATAGCACATCACGGCAAGCTGCACTAGTACGACATATGTTACACCGTGGGAGTAAAAAGTGCATATCACTGTCATTTAAACACCAACTCCCACTGTTCATTGCGCGCGTGTTCATGTCCTCCTCAGCGGCCATGGCAACCAGAGGCTCCCTGGGAACCTGAGTTTCCTCTCCCGTCTCCCATTTTTCCACAGGTTTCGCGAGATTTTCATAAGCGGGCGGTGTGTGGCAACATTTCTCTGCCAGACGAACTGAACAATACTGAAATGAAAACGGCGTAAAGGTAACATGAATATGTTGAAAAGTCAGAATATAAGGCTGTTACACCCAGTCGTTTCTTGTGTCTGTTGCCTGCCTTGGGGAGCACCGGAGAGCGGGTGTAGCTAAACGCCTCCGGTTCACTGACAGTAACGTTAACATCTGCATTGAGGTAGAGCGAGGGGAGACGAGCATTACTGATAACCTACAACGTGAGGTGGAGGTGTGCTGGATTGAGTCCAGGACAGGTGACATACGGCATGACATCTTGCGAATTTTATCGGCCTACCCTAATCCTGTTGTGTATGCATGCTGCGAATGAATAATGTGTTTTAAATATGACGCTTCATACTGCATTTACACAGAAATTTCTTACGTTTTCTCTCATGTAGTTTTGACGTGGTCGTGAATTGGTTAAACTGAAGCCAAATGTGTGCATTATTTACAAGATAAGACAAGTAGACAGTCTCGTTTGAGTGACCTCCATAGCTGTGTAGTCAGAGGAAATACCCAGGAAGTTATTTCATCATACTAACCTATTGGCTGTTGAAGTTGTCAGTCTTCGCTGAGCAAGTTGCAGCCTGTCACGGGTCTGCAAGAACAGGCCAGCCCCCTCAGCTGTAGTAGAGGCCTTCCTTATGCAGGACTGTGCATTACATGTGAAGTTTGGCAGCTGTCATATTGGCTCACATTATAACTGAACATGTCCCTTTTCTTTTTCTGAATCAGTAGCCTTTGAATTTCAGGAGGCATGTCCAAGAAAAGGGGCAGGTACGTAGAAACAAAGCTAACTATGCCATGCCACCCCATGTTTAATGTAGTTTAAAAGTTTAATGTAATAGCAGTGTTGCATCAAATTGCTTTGCTATGCATTACATTACAATGTTGTTTTGGTTAAAAATAAACTAAAAAAAAAAAACTGATACAAAAGTGGCCAAAGCAGATGTCAGGGTCTGGGTTTAACTCATAGACTGTATATACTATGGACAACTTGGTTCGGCCTCCCGCTAGTTTATGGATTTGAAGCCAAAAAGCTCTCGGTATTTCCGCAATTTTACTTCATTTCCTGAAACCAGCATTGTGCAGTAGCGTTGTACGCATTCGGCGGGGGAGCCGCCGAGAGTCGCTGTGATGATGCTTGGCTCATCAGCGTATCCCCTGGGTGAGCTTCACAATCCCTGAACGCCAGTAGGCTGTATCAGGTGTCAATCATAGAAAACAGGAACCCCCTACTAACTCAGTATTTGCCATCATGACAGAAAGCCATCTCAACACTAGTGTCTAATCAGAACTGAAAACAATCAGCGACCGCGGTACAGTTTCAGCTCCCGACCCAAGCAGTGAAACTCACCAACTTCTCTTCTTTTTTGTAATATTGGATGCACCCATGTGCTATGTTTCTTTTTCTCTTGAGAAAGCAAAAGGAGCACCAATTCGCCATCACTTGAAGCTGAGGTAGACTCCATTTTTGTCCTCTCACTTCCACCTGGGACGCTGTGGGTTGTTAAGGGAAGGTCCCGTCCTCCTGATTGGCTATAAGTGCTGACCGTTTGGCTTGGGCGTGTGATGACGTTTCCAGCTTTTCTAGCCAATCAGAGGCGAAGGAGGCGGGACTGTCCCCCGGAAAATTCTTCCCCAGGATGCGTCTTTTTCCACCCGTAAAGTCGCAAAATCGCATCGGTCTTGATGTGTATAGTCAGGCGTGTCAAAATTCGCCTCTGAATATTCCGTGATTTTGCGTTCTATATTTGTGTCGGCCCCGGTGTGTAACGAGCTTTACAATATCTACATGTCAACACCGCAAGCAGGGGGGCTAAATTTTAATAATCTGTGTAATAAATTTATAAAGTTTGTCCACAGCTCCAAAAGCTTTGCTGGCGGAGACGGGATTTATGACCTATACTGCAGCCTGTCAACAGAGGGTGCTGTTCTTGGGGTGGCTTCACCCAGTGAGGAGGCGGACGCTGTCCATTCTATATACAGTCTATGGTTTTAACTATTGACAGAACTATACCTGGAAAACAAGCTATTATTAAACTGAAGTTACACAGCTGCATAAAGATAGTTAAAGAAGTTGAGAAATATTCATTAGATGTCTCTAAAATGTACAAATGTGATCAAACCCTGAAAAGTTTTAAAGATTTTGTGTTTGTGTAGGTGCTTTCCAATGTACGCCTTATTATAAACCTTCACTTCTGACACTAATACCTAATTATTCATTCGCCTTTGCAGAAAGCGGAGTAGTGGGGAGCTGAGTGACACATTGACACCGGATCCTAACTGCATTTTGGGAGTTCGCATACAGCACAACTGGCGTGAAAAGGGAAATCAGAGCAAATGGAAGGGAACAGTCTTGGACAGGCTTAGTGTGAATCCGTCTTTATTTATGGTGAAGTACGACGGCTTTGACTGCGTCTACGGCATCGAGTTGTTTAAGGATGACAGGGTGTCGAACCTACAAGTTCTGACAGAAAAAGTTGGTGAGTTAGTTACTGTGGTTTCTAATCAGCATTCAAATCATAGAGGTTCTTTGCACATTTTGCAATGTTGCTATTATAGATGACCACATTGATCACTCTTACCTGTGTCTCAACAGTAAATAACAAGATTAAGATTCCTCCTGGGGCAGAGGAGCTGGTGGGAAAAGCTGTGGAGCATTTGTTTGAAAAGGAGGATGGAGAGAAGAATGAATGGAGAGGTATGGTCCTCTCGAGGGCTCCAGTAATGACCAACTGGTATTACATCACTTATGAAAAGGACCCCGTTCTTTATATGTATCAGCTGTGGGACGACTACGCTGATGGAGACCTCAGAATTCTGCCTGAAGCAGGTAATGACAATTTCAACGTTGAAAAAGAATAGGCCAATTCATCACAAAATCTTCGGATATCTTATCCTTTGAGTTTATGGATAAAAGCCATAAAGAGCACTCTGTCTATGCCTTGAATTGGTTTTCCACTTTGGAAAGATCATAATTTGGAAATTATGTTCATCATGGATACCATGTGAGTTCATCATGAGTCACTGTGGATCTTTGAGTCTGTATTCCCACAATGATCATCAGAAAACAGGCAAAATTGCATAATTGAAAGAAAGAACTTGTTGAACCCCAGTTTGAGGACACTTTGACCCAAAGTCAGAATTTACTACAACTTTGATGTTTTGTGTTCAATAATTGCTATTTTACATTTTACATATAAGACATTAATACTAGACATCAAAGTATATGATTTATCTTATGAACCGCCCAGATTTAGAAACATGAGTTTTGTCAAAATTGTCCAAACTATTACTTTAAAAAAAATTAGACTCAAGTATATTAAAAGGTTTGTGACCCTAATTTTTGTTAGATTACAAAGTGGCTTCAATGGACCTTTGAAAAATGTGATTGTCAGTCTTTGATGGGATCAGTAGATAATCCATAATCCAATCCAGAAGTGCTGTACCAAGCTTGACCTGTTTCTATTTTAAAGTTTAAATAATGCCTCCATTTAACCGTTACTCAATGCATTCTGAAGTGATTTATTATGTGAAACTTTCTGTAATCTGTTTATAAAAGTTAGGCTGTATTTGTATTTTAAAAAGCACGAGGGACCATTGAAAATCAAGAGCGGTGCTTTTGGCATGCATTTAATCTCGCTCATGTGGGAGATGATCTCAAAGTGGTACTGTATTTTATGAGGAGTTTCCATGTCCCACTAAAAGAAAGCAGGAGTTTCCTTCAAGAGACATTTGTAGTTCTAAAAAAAAACCACGTTAACTGATATCAATCAATCAAATTAATCAAATTTTTTTAATATAACGCCAATTCACAACAGTCGTCATCCCAAGACACTTTCCATAGAAAAAGAGCAGGTCTAGACCACGCTCATTGTTTGATGAATTATCAAGACCCAACCTAAGATGGGATTTGGCCCATCTCATCTAACATGAGTGACAGTGGCAAGGAAAAACTACCTTTTAACAGGCAGAAACCTTGGGAAGGACCAGACTGACTGATATCAGTGGTTTTGTCAAACACCCGTTTGTGGAGTATTGTTTTTTTGGACATGGATGTGATATTGCTTTTAATAACGCGCTGTTGATTTCTTAACAAAAGACTTCAAAATGTTTAACAAAGCATTAAATTACATTCAGATAGAAACTAAGGAGGATACTTAGGTTTGTTGAAACTCATCTGATGTAGTCTATAAAAGCTCTTGTAAGAAATGAAAATTAAACAGAATCTGATAAAAATGTAATGTAATGGTTTTGATGTTTTCTCTCCTCCCTCAGAGAATAAGCACTTGCTGCCTGCAGACAGAAAACCAGGCGAAGAAACGGAGAGCCTGGTGGGAAAACAAGTAGAGTATGTTACCGACAAGGGTGTCAAGAGAACGGGCCTGGTGATCTACCAGGTCCCAGCCAAGCCCTCTGTCTACTACATCAAATATGATGATGACTTTCATATTCACGTCTACGACCTGGTCAAAACCACCTAGAGATAATGGACATTCTATCTCACTCTCCAGCCTCCGTCCCTGTGCTTCTGTTTCGTTCATTGTTATAATCTTGATATTCAGAGCCATGCCTGGGTTGTTTAGTTAATATGCTTTATTGTTCAAAAGAAAGTGCAATCTGCTTTACATAGGCACAGCAGAACTGTAGCACAGCTATGCTTGGCTATTCCCAATGGAGGGATTCACTTGTTTTAATTGTTGCTGCTCTTATTTTGTGCTTCGGACAGTCAAAAGATTGCACTGCCCAACAGCTGCAAGATGCAGTTGTAACTGCATTTGCATTGTTGTCCCTGAGATACTTCTTGATCTGTCCTTTAAGTATTTATTCTAATAAAAATCCCTGTATGACCAAAAAAAAGCTCAAAATATCCTTTTGAAGAAACTTCTTTTTTCTGGTTATCATCGAAGTAACTCAAAGGCTAAGCTCACATGTATATAGGTATCTTAAATGGTAATGGTTGGGGTATTTAATGGAATTTGCTTTAAAATGGTTTTAAACACATTTGCTGCAGTAGATTAAATCATTTCAAGCATGCAAAGTGAGCCAAAATTGAGTAGTAAGTCATTTTTCTTTGGCTGTCCATCATGGTTACTTAAAACTACCTGTAGTTACTATAGTTCACTTATTTGACATGTTGCTAGGAGATCCAGCAGCAAAACCAAACATTAACAAACTGGTTTACTGTATTTGTGGATGTCTGATGTGCATTTTTGTACCCAAAGCAAAAATGTGCTTGTGATGATGTACTATTTGTTGTCTCTTTAAAGCTATTTTTGCCAATGAACTTCCAAAAACCTTAAATGAATGAGTTTCCCACAAATCCACATTTTGTCCCTCAAGACTAACCAAAACCCCTTTGAATATGCTGTCGTAAAAACACCCCTATATGTGTAAACTTGGCCTTTCTTTGAAATGTTCTCACACATTTTATTTTTGATGAATGTCTTCTTCTGAGGCATTTATTCACTTAGCTTGGACAAATGATCATGTGTACTGTATTATTCTAATCACAAATTAGTGTTACTGACTTTTCTAGAGAGGAAATGTACTGCTGCACCTTTGAACCACGCCTTGCATCACGTTAGATCAGATCCCTTTTTTTTTTTGGTGACAAATACGCACTTTGTTAAATTCCAGTCCAAAAATTTGATCCCACTAACATCATCAAGTGCCTTCTGGCTTGCTATGTTGCAATACTGTACGTACTGCATCTCCAAACAGCTTCACCCTTCATGAAGCTGTCGTGTTGAAAGGCTGCAATTCTCATTCAGGTGGCGATGACAGCTTGAGAAAAGTTTCGCAATCATCAGTTTGTATTAGTGCCGCATTTTCCTCCTTAGCTGTAGGGAAATGATCTTTAAATATAATACGCATTATCATTGGTTCTATGATCCCACTGTTGATACTGTGGGGAGCACTTTATCGCATTTAGTTCACATGTTTAGGTTATGGCACACAACGTCGCTTCTTTTCATGAGAGCAAGTGTGGCAGAATAAATGCCATGTGGTACATGCATAAAGAATGAAAGACCAAAAAAAGAAAAAAATGACACTATAATAAATGTACAATTTGTGTATTAATGCCATGTAATGTTGTCTGTTGTGAATACGCTCATGTATAGGGATATCTCATGCAAATACCACCAGCATCTAATGAAAGGGTCATTAATATACATAAACTGAATATTTAAAAGGTATACTCAACTGACAAACTAGTGCGTTCACAGTATCTAACGCACCCTGGTTTCAGTCTTTATAACTCTGTCTTGCAAAAGTATGCTTGTAGTGTGTATTCCATCCCAAGCTTTGTCATTTTCACAGATTTGGCCTCTTCTTCAGGTTATATGACAAATCTTTCAGTAGGCTTGCTTATCAGTAAAGTTACTGTTGTTTTTATTTTTCGCATTCAAAACTCTGCATCTGTCATCAGCAGAGCGCCTGAAGATTTCAAAAAACCTTAAATTTGATAGTCGTGACAGTGTGTGGCAAAACAAGTGCTGTTTGTCAAACTCGTATCAAGTAGGGGGGAAAAAAGGATTAAAACTTCACATCACCGTTACTGGTGCTGTTAGAGTGCTTCGATGTTGTACAAAGGGGAGTTTCAACTGACTTTACGCGCACTTCTTAATTCTTTCGGTCATCTCTGATTCAGAAGTTGTAGCGACATCAACAGAGCATTAGTGTTATTATTCTGTCAGAAGAAATAAAGAGTTTTGCACATTTGTGTGGTCTTGATTGATGATTCATGTATTATTTAGTCACAAATGGAGAAACTACGTATGTACAAGAGACATTCTCTTCATAACATCCAGCTGGTTGAAAGAATAGGGAAGTAAAATAAATGTGTTAAAAATTGAAAAATTAAATTTGGTATTCTACACAATATGAAACAACTTATCCCAAAATGCATTCTTGCATTATGTACAACACCTGATAAATGCCACTGCCATTTATAGAACCACAGTACCATTTCAGAGGAGTACACTCCTCTGAGCCAAATTTCACAACATCTTTACATTTAGTGATTTTCGTTCATGCTGTTTCTTCTTTCCAGTGAGGGGCTATGACTTTTGAAGAAGTACTGACATATATATCAAGTGCAAAACTCAGAAGATTGATAAATATCAGGCTGTCCAGAAAGTTCCTGCTCATTTAGTGAGGTCTTTAATGTACTGCAATCCCTGACTTGTGTAGTCACTGGCTTTAGTTGGGGCTTCTGAAAGACTTGAAATGGTCCACCGCACTCCTGAAATTAAAATAAAAAAAAAACAATGGTTGGGGTTTGTATTGAAAAAAGAAAGAAGTTCAAAATAGTTTAAGGTGTTACCACACTCAAAAGATGCTGATCATACAATTGCACTACCACTGTGAAATTGATGACATGCTCAGAATATCAACTGATCTCAATATCATAAAATCTTTACCCTCTCACAAACTCATGACGAAAGTAAAAGTCTAGTTTCTCTAATGGGGAAAAAGTATTAGAAAAAAAGCCTTTCTTTTATCTCTTACCAGAGTTCCAAGACTGAACCGGGGAAAATTCAATCTTTGGCATGGTGGGCAGCTGAGCCTGAGGAAAGAGAGGATGCATTAGTTTGGGACAGAGCAGACTAATGCTTCAAAGGATGAAATACCAAAGACTGAATAGTGGCTGTATTATATATATTCACATTGCACTACAAATGCACTGGTGAATGAATTTCTGTGACTTCAGCTTTAATCAGAGTGGGTCATACAACTGAACCTTGGTATGTTTTAGGGGATTTTCAGCCTTTTTTTACTTTACAGGACAGATTAACATATGGGAAAGAGATGGGAAATAGCGTGCACCAAATCATTTCAGGATCAAGAGCTGACCCAACGACCAGTGCAACTGTTGCCACAACAGGCGCCTGCTTCACCAACATAGCCAAACCAGTTCAGTTTGGTGAACAAACCAGCAAAAAAAAGGCAATTTGGAGTGACAGAAATCACAGGTTAAAATGCTTTCGACAGCAAAGGTTAGATTATAAATTTGTTATTGGTTCTTACTGTGTATACGCTCAAACTTTGTACTGTTGTAATTTAAATCCATCTTTTCATGGTGTTTCATTAACTAATGAAGAATTGGACACACACTTTTAACACTCCTCAAATCTAAAGGCAAATTGTGTGGAAATATATTTGGCCATATCTAGCAGTCAGATTCCAGGTTAAAAAAAAAACAAACAAAAAAAACACCCCCTGCTCACCCTTCCTGTCAACGAAGCAATGGTGGCCTTCAAAAAAAGAAGCCCTGGTGACATGTGACAACTATAGTTTCCTATTTGTCAAGTTTTTACCACCAAAATCATCTTTCAACACAGTTTTGCGGGGATATCAAGAACTACTGTCTTCTCCTCTGTCTTCCAACCAAAATCATGTATGACCCTTGATAGTTTGTCTGCTCTGTTCAACTGTAGACACATGGTAATGTGAGATGCCAGACCGACTCTTCATGTGTAGATATTTTGAAAACCTTATTGTGAGTAGGCAGAAAAATTAAGGTGCTTATACACTCATTTAAACATACTTATGAACATAATGTTCAACTTCTGCCAAGTCTGTTCTGCTGCTCTCTACTTTAACATAGTAACTTCAAGTAGCGTTTTCACTGTATCTAATCAGTACCTGCAGACCAAAGTACTTCATCCATTCCTCGATGGCAGGAGGTATGGCAGCCTTAGCCTTCCCCAGAGCCTCTGAGCCCTGTTCACCACTCCCCAACAGACCAGAGTCGTAGGCAACATACAGAGCTCCTCCTGCGATGGTCACCTTGGTGGCCAATCTAATAAGAAGTACAAAGACAATCAGGCTTTCAAGCAGGGTCACCAACTCTGAACCCCGTGGAAAATACATACATTTGATTTTTAACAGGATTACACCATGATCACAACTTGTATTATTGACATTTCATAACATTAGCTGGACATCATGCCACCTTATCTAGCTAACGTTAGCTAACATAAAAGCCGTGACTGTATTTATGTGATAAAGTGAAACAAAGGCAGGATTACTGTTCCATTTTGTTTACAGTCCAACACTGAGGACAAAACAGTGAGAGTTCACAGCTGTGAAGGTCCCGGCTAGCCTTAGAGTTAGCTTAACGAGCTAATAGGCTCACACCCACAACATACAGCAGCATTCATTCGTCGGTAAAATAAGAAATTACTCACTTCACAACGGGCAAAATCTTTGCCGCCATTGTCTACAGCACAATAGTTTCCCTTCGTGTCTTATTATTGCGCCTACAACAACAAATAAGGTTCAGGGAAGCTAGCTCGATTTTCTCACTGAAGGACACCCTTGCTTGGTTCCTGTGCACAAGGGCTTTGTCAATAAAGTTTCCTCTTCAAAAGGCAGCGCTGGCTTTATTTAAGAGTGGCAGATTCGTACTCATTAAAGTATTTGAATTAATTGTTTAAAATGAAATGTTGCTTTTTGATTTTAAAGACCACGAGTATAAAATGAGTTTTTAATGTCCCCATTTTTTCATATCAAAAAGGAAGCGGGTCCGGCTTGGTTCAAATTCAATAACCTCATAAACAGCACACCCCTGTATGAAGGCTTAACCATGCCATAACACAAACTTTATACATACTGTTATGAAAAGTTGCTTTTTTTTTTCTACTAAACTTCAATGTGCATATATATTTTGTAAGGTTTTGCCCACTCATATGTCTTTTTCTTGTTCTGTGGACAAAGGAGTTTTTTCTTTTTTTTTTTTCAGATACACAACCCTTCAGACCAGCCTTTCTCTAACATCATTTCACGGTTGTTAGAGATATGGGTTTCGACCTTGTCATGTTGATTTCCTCCCTTATTTGTGGTGCTGTCTTTCGCCGATCTGTCTTACTGGTGACAATGCTATGTTTGTCCTCTGCTTTTGTAGTAACTCTCTTTCGTCCAGGTCTTTTTCTATCATCATAACTTCCAGGTTCCTCTAGTGTCTTCAGAGTGTAGTGGACTCCTTTGCAATTTTCTCTTTCTGTGTATCCTCCTGTACATGTACAAATCTGTACTTTTGTTTCTTTACTCAGTTGCTTCTTTCTAGCCATTTCTGCAGTAGTTTGAATGTAGTTGAGATTTATTAGGATTTTTGTATGCAGACTCTCAAAAGCCAAAAAGTTGAAGTGAATAATCCAACTGTGATTTGTTTTTTTTTTTTTTTTGCTTTTGCACTGAAGTTGTGGCTCTTGCAAATGTTTTCAACCCTAATATTTATGTATGTGTGTGTGTGTGTGTGTATACACATAAACGCACTTTCGGGCACCAACAGGCTTCCATATATAGGAGAATTACACCCTTGTATGGAGGCCTAACCATGCCATATCACAAATACATACTGTTATAAATAGTTAATTTGTTTTAAATAATTTTTTTACTACTAAATTTTAATGCACATATTTAAACTATGAGTCAAAACCAAATAATGAAAATATTTTTTTTATAGTGTTTCAGAACCATGAAATTATTATCTAATTAGTCTGTCTGTTTCTCATTGTAATGTCCACCCAAATGTAAAAATCCAACAGGACATTAACAAGCAATGCAGATATAGTTGATGGGACACTACAGAAACATTTAGATTTGGAGCCACAAATGAAAAATGCATTTGTGTTTTTTAATAATATATATATATACACACACACACACACACACACACACACACACACACACACACACACACACACACACACACACACACACACACAGTTTTGGGCATCAAGGGCTTCCATACATCACTGTCAAAACAAAGCGAGAAGCGGATTACATAAATGGAATTTGCCTACTCTGGTCTCATGTGCCACCCAGACCTGGAACAGTGCAGGACCGTGCGTACTCCGGTACTCTTAACTCTTCGTGCGTAAAAGTTCACAAAATGGGAACTGTTAAGAGGGTCCTGATCGCCAGTCTTTGTGTGGCTTACCTCGCTGTAAAGTGGTATGGACCGAGTTTTGATGCAGGTAAGAGAGACGCAACGTACAACATCGGAGTCATTGTGATTTGCGGTCCTAAAAGATTATTTATGAATGTATTTGTTGTGTTTTGTCGTTTGAATACATGCATATGGCTCGAAAACAGTCGATGACAGGTGACACAATATTAAGCCTAAAGGTGTGCAAATGTGGTACAACAATGCTGATATCTTTTGAGTTTTAAACCACATTTGATTTGATTTATTATCGATTTTTTACTCCCCCTTATTATGTTTTTCAGCAGTTGTTCTCGGGCTGCAGCTCTCTATAGTAAAGACAAAAATTCTTCAACTTGACTGTGCGCCTGTTTGAGATGCTGGAATAAATTAGCCGTGCTGATGCTGCGTTTGCTGCCACGGGACAAGATGCTACTTTATCATTTTTAGCAATGACTTTGTGAAAACAAAAGGCTTTTTTCAAATCGGTGTAGGATTTATATTCCAAATTCTTTTGATAAAAAGCATTAGATTAGATCTTGTCAAAGTGTGAACTCCTTGCAAGGAGGAACAGCCACATTGTGTTGATTAATCTTCAATTTTCTTAACATCAGTGGATATACTTTACCACTGTCTGATTTCTCTAACACACACTAGAATCCACAGTTCTCTCCCCAACTTCTCCAAATGTGACATGGTCAACAAGACAAAGCATCAGACTTCATAACAATGAGAGGTAAATAGCCCAAGGAGGTGGATCAGAAAGGAAACTGTCCCCATATTTACCTGGCAAAGAGAAAGTTTGTTAAGCTCTGAGTTACACTGACTGTCTTGAGGAAACTCTCATATTGAATTCATCAAGCTCTAAGGATGGTCTGACAAAGTACTTTTCATTTTTATGAACTGTTCGTCGCTTTAGCAAAAGACGTTTCTAGATGTAAGACACTGTGTCTTCAGGTCATTTGATAAATGATTGGGCACGGTGCATATCTCACAGAGCAATAGTCCAAATTGTATAACTTGTTTAGATTTCACAGTGGTTGTGATAACACTGAAACAGCTTTGTCTACTCTGGCATCTTTCCAACTAATCTCCACTTTAGTTTCACCCTGTCATCTGCATCCAGTCACCTAAGGACATACATGATCCATGTGCTGTAGCATGATGGGTATACTTTTCAGATCAATTTAGACAAGAATATTAAAGTCAAACAGGCTCTTGATCTTCAATAGGAAGTAGTTTTACTTAAGTGCTGTCAGTGATAGCCCATGGGTAATGTTGTTTTACATTGACATATGGCTTGATATTCTTCCGGATTTCCACTCTCCATAACCTTCTCAAATGCTGGCTGAATGAGAAGAAGGGGTTAGTTTTAGGCTGTTTTTTTGACATACATATGGCTTGCAAATAGGGATGGGCATGGCAGTTCATTTAGATGTACTGAATCACTAGAATCAGTTCACTAAAAAGAATCATTCAAAAGATTCGTTCACTGAATCATCCGCCGGTCCTGTCAAGAGCTTGATACATCTGGTGAGTCTCACTCTCTTCTAATTACTGTCAGCCAAACGTTTTAGGTTTGTTTTATTGGGAACTAAATCTGTTAAAACAAACGGGAACAACGGTCGCCAAAGTATATCCCTCAGACAAAGATGATCCAGGAGAGTGTAGTTCACTGAGTGATTCGTTCATCGAATGATTCAGGCGTCCCTCCCTCCCTGCAGCGACTCGCTACGGCAGCTGCACTGCTGACAGCTCAACTGAACTGAGAAACGAACGAATCTCTCTGAAGATTACGTTCTCTGAAAAGATTCATTCTTTTGAACGAATCATTCACGAACGACGCAACACTACTTCCAAACTGTAACCCAGCTGTCACATAACCTTTGGGCATTCCAACATCGGTGTGATTTTAGGTCCAACTGACATCTGTTTGAATTCAAGATGAGGAAAACGTGTCATGTTTCAAACTAGAGTGGCACCCAAAGATTGTAAAACTTCACCCAGGCCAATATTGGAGTCCTCTACAAGTGCAACATCAACGCATACTACCATAGTATAAACCTAAGGCTTATATACTTAAAATGTTATTACAATAGGACTCAGATCAGCTAATTTTTTCACGTTGTAAAATATTCTTGGTCAACTTGTGACTGCAAAAGTTTTACGAGACCTGGAGCTCCCACACAGAAGCCTTTATTGAAGCTAAAGGATCACGTACATGAGCACAACATGTTAACACTGTGTTCTGGGATTTTTCCCTGAAGGTTTTCTTCGTGGTGGGGAGTGCTAACCTGCTCAAAAGATTCTTTCAGTGATATACTAGAAATCTGGATATGGTTCATGGTCAAGTTAAAGAATTCAAAAGGTTGTACTGTAGATTTGATTTTAAACAAGTGAACTAAGCTTTCCTCTGTTAACACATAATTCATGTTTTATAACGCTTTAAAAAAAGTAGACAGTTACAGCTGTTTAGAGTCTGGGGCAAAGTGCACCATACATAAGCAGGTATGTGATTTGCATGAACTCATTTGGAATTCTAGCAACCTGAGGGGGAATACTCCCGCTGAGGAGTCAACCATGTACAGTGCAGATTAAGCCTGTGAACAAGAAGGTCATCTAATTTCCATTCTCTAGTTTCTTTAAGGATCCTGGTCAAGTTTTCTTTTTCTCTCTTTCTTTTCATTATCTTGCCAGCAAACAGACAGCTCCAAAACTTTTCCATCAAACATAGATCGCCAAGCAGAACCGCAGCCATTTTCATACAGTATGAACATTTTTCATTTTGTTAGCTCCTTTGGAAGAGGAAACTCAAGTTTTCTTATAAGTATGATGCTTGATAGGTCAGTGAAACCATAAAAAGCAACTAAACTCTGTAATTTCATATCACAAGATGACTTTTGTATTGGCGTGTCACTATTTTAGATTTTCTGAACGCTGGAAAAATCGAACACTTAGAATTTCTTTATCTTCAATCAGCATTTGTGATGCCCATTCATTGCACAAAGGTCGACTAGCACCACAGAGCAGACTATATAAAGAAGGAGGCTGTGCAGCATCCTCATGGTCCCCCTCTCTCGAGTTTGGGTCCTTCTATCCTCGTCATCATCGTATTTTGGATTGCGCAAAACATTTAAATTTCCCAATGATTAAAGTTTAATGGTCCCCTGGGGAAATGTGGGACAAAACCAAAACCAAGCGAGTAATTGGCAGTAATTGATGCTTTTCGCTCGCAATAGAGGGGCCAGTAACAGAGGAAGCTTAGCATTTTGGTTGTGGGGATGCAGTGTGTGGGCAAGTTTCCACATGCAATACAATGATATGGTTTGATTCAACGGGCCACTGTTAATTTATGCCCCCTAACAATTTTAACAGTATGTTATACTATGCTGCAGCTGATAGTGGATCTGAATAGAAAATTCATTTTGATGCTTTTATGACTGGAAATGAAATTTGGAGATTTGTTTCAGATGCACTCTATATTTTTACCTTGTACACTTCAGTGGTACTTTGTTCTAGATGCGCGGTTATACATGTGAGTCTAGTCAACTCTTGTCTTATCTTTTTTAGCACTTACAATAAAGTGTGAAGAAAACATAAATCTCTGTACTTAAAGAGAGATTGGTTGAGAAGAGAATATTGTCCAAGTTTGTATCTCACCAAAATTATTATGACTGCAGGCAAAGATTAAAGGCATTAAATGGATCAACCAGGGCTCTTAATTACATCCAAAAGATATCAAGACATAAAAGACTGATGCAAAAAAGAGGACAAGTTCATACATAACATAAATATGTAACAGCTTTTTCCACTGCAGGATGACAAGTCTTCTTTGTATTCAGTTACTGTGTGTGACAACTACACATTTTAAATTTACCAAAATAACATTTAAGATCTTTCATGTTGGTTCAGTCCACAGCACAGCAGATTCTTCACAGTGTCCCTCTTTTCAACGTTAAACAACTACCATAAGAACAATTGTAGTACTTTTCTGTGTTACGGTATAATGCCCAGCAGATGGCACTGGAAGTTCAAGCTACTGCTTTGCTGCCAAATTGGAAGTGAGGAAGACAAATGTGGCAGGACCACAGTGTGGCAGCTTTTCTCCCTCATTAGCTAACCATGCATAGAAAGAAAACAGTGGTATACTACTGGGTAGATAAATCTTGTTGTGCACTCCAAATCCTTCTCAGTTTGAGACACCTAATAACCCATAGATGGGAGTGTTGTCAACTCCGCTCGTGCAAGTTAATCCTGATATTCTCACACAGTTTTGTACATCACAACTACAAACATCACCTGTACTGAGCTTAACTATCAGTAGTTTGCAGATAACGTCCTGCAATGTTTTACAGAAATGTTTTCTTGTGGACTTAGTTGAAAACAGTCAAAAGTTTAAACCTTTTAATCTCAGGAACATCCCAAAAAATGGACTGCATCTTGTTCACCAGTGCGACTTAATCTCTGTATTTTACAGTAAATAAAATGAGTTATATTGAGCGGCAGTGGATCAGGAGGTAGAGCGCTCATCTAATAACTGGAAGGTTGACGGTTCGATTCCCCTGAGTCTGTTCGTTGTGGCCTTGGGTGAGACACTTAACTCACCTTGCTCCCAGTGTGTGTCCTCCACTGGTGTATAATTGTGAGTGTTGTGTGGTGGTGGTCAGAGAGGCTGTAGGCACAAACTGGCATCCACTTTTCCGTCAGTCTGCTGCAGGGCAGCTGTGACTATTAAGGTAATTTACCACCACCAAGGTGTGACTGTGTGAGTGAATGTATGATGTATCAAATGTGAAGCGCTTTGAGGGTCTCTGGTAAAGCACTATATGAGATTCGATGCATTATTATTATTATTGTTCTAGTTTGACCCAGGTTTCATCTTTTATAATTGAGGAAGTGGCTTTAGGACCACAGCCAATCACCAAAAGAACGCTAAAACTTTTGGTCTCACTTAGGCAAAGTTGTAAAAATATTCTAGACCTTTGTCAATAGTATTCATATTGTCATAAAAGCGTTTTTGTGTTAAAAAAAAAAAAAGGTTTTGTGTGTCTCTTGTACCCCTCAGAATCTCTCAAAGGAGCCAGAGTTTTGGTGACAGGGGCCAGTACAGGTATAGGAGAACAAATGGCATATCACTACGCTCGCTTTGGTGCACAGATAGTCATTACAGCAAGGAGGGAGAAAGTGTTACAACAGGTCAGTGAATCTAACAGGTAAATGAACCCAAACATCTGAACAGTAAATATTTGATCATATGGGTGCTAATAGCTGTGTCAACAGCCTTGAGAGTTTTGTGTCCCTGCTAAAGGTTAATGACAAACAAGTGCTGCATCTTTCTGATGTTTTCTTTCAGGTGGCAGAGAAGTGCCAGAGTTTGGGGGCTCAGAGTGCCTTCTACATAGCAGCAGACATGGCCAGTGTGTCTGACCCTGATAAAGTGGTAGATTTTGCCCTAGAGAAGCTTGGAGGGTTGGACTACCTGGTTCTCAACCACATAGGCCCAAGCCCCTTCAGCATGTGGGAGGGAGACGTGGACCACACCAGGTGGCTGATGCAGGTACTGCAAGATTTTGATGAGCTATCTGCAGACCGAATGAGGAGAATACTGCACACTAATCTTTGTGTGTCTGTGTGTGCTTTTAAGGTCAATTTTTTCAGTTATGTTCAAATGGCTTGGAAAGCTTTGGCCTCGCTTGAGCAAAGTAAAGGATCGCTGGTGATTGTGTCATCGCTTCTGGGTAAGTTTGCTGCTTTCATGTAAAACTATGAGGTGCATCAGATTAGCTATGTTTATTTTTTAAAAACAATTGTGCAGTCACCTTTTAAAATGTATTGGCAAGCACAAAATATGGAAGCCGAGAACACGCTCGCAGTTAAGGTGATTGTTTAATTTTGAAACATTTACGGTCCTGTATGTTTAATAAGTGATTTTTAAGATACCCTGTAAGGCATGTCATGCAATTAAAACCATCTGCACACACACAAATCCTCTGTATATCATGAATTGTTCGTTTATTAAGGAAATCCCCAGTGTCATGCTGGTGACCAAAGATGGTGTCTTATGACTGTACAAGAGAAGGTCATCACATCAATTAGATAAAACTTGCACAACAGCAGTATTTGATTCTCCTTATGTTTGGATTCTTGTGGTTTGGTCCAAGAAAGATCATAGTTACAGCTAAAACAACAATGGACAAACATGATCTAGCCTTTTCCTAACATACTAAAATACATCAAAGACTGGTGCATCTCACAGCAGCTCTTATCTGTATGTTTTTATTGCCACAAATCAAATTGTGCTGAAAAGAACTCCACAGAGCCCTAAATTTCCAGCACATTTCATCTGGATTTTTTTTTTAATTGATCTAAAGGGATCTTCTTTTACAGGTAAAATGTCCAGCCCCTTTGTTGCACCATATACCTCAACAAAATTTGCCTTGAACGGTTTCTTTGGGGCACTTGGTCACGAGCTGGCTATGAAGAAGAGCAATGTGTCCATCTCTATATGCACACTGGGGCTCATTGATACAGAAGCAGCAATGGATAAAGTCAAGTAAGTTCGGTTTACAAGTGTTGTTCTCATTTAAGTGAAAAGTCCATGTGTCTGACACATGTGGAAATCACTGGTGCTTTTATTCCCAACAGTCACAGCTGATGTGTATAGTACTTAATCACAGTGTTTTTCTCCATCCTAGAGGTGTCACTAAAGTACCAGCCTACCCGGCCACTGATGCAGCCTTAAACATCATCATTAGTGGAGCTACAAGACAGACGGACCTGTTCTACCCTTGGTTTACCCAAGTCGTGACTCTCAGCAAAGACTGGTTCCCATCTTTCACAAGCTATGTAATCCAGAACTCCTACAACTACACCCCATGACCACCTCCATCTGTACCATTATGCAGTAAATGTCCTGGATTTTTTTAACAAGTTAATTTTTTAAAAAGCTTTAACAACACATCCAACATGAATTGAGACACATGGCGCGAAGGTTTCATGGACAAACTGTCTGGTAGATTCTGTTTCCCAAGTTTAGTCCTGAGACTATAATTCAGACCTTTGGCCCAAATTATTAACCTCTCATGTGGAAAACACTTTTTCCCTACAGCCAAATTGATCAAGCTCCTATTTCTAAAAACTGACCCTTGTTCGTCTGTCATACTCTCAGGTTTGGAAGAGGCCTTAAGAGTCCACTGAGAGGAAAGTTTGGCTTGTCTCATTTCTTAGTACAGTCAGTGTGATCTGTCAGCTAAGGGACCAAGGGTTTCAAGAACCAAATAGTCAAAAGTCTGACTATTTAAGATAATGTGAACCTGATAGAGAAGCCTGGGAAGTTAGGGGCCAATCCCAATTGTACCCCTTAGCCCTTGTCTTACCCCTAAGCCCCTAATCCGTTTTGTGGGTTCAGTCAAACCAAGGGGTGTCCTAATTCTCTGTAAGGTAAGGTGAAGGGCTAAGGGCAAGGGGTACACAGCCCCTGAAAGGAAGACAAACCGAAGCCTCATTTGAAAGCAAGGGACAAGAATATTGATATGATTTTTACAATAATGGCACTTCTGTTTTATTAGATATTCAATCCTTTGCTACTCCAAGTAAATATTAGCTATGTTTTGAATTGTTTGCGTTTTAAAATCACACGTTATGACAAGCTAGCTAACTAAGCTATAGCTATTAATAGCTACACTGATGTCAGACTCGGGTGACAAATTTACTGCAAATGGCAAGGCTTGATGACGTAGCAGGAATCGAGTGGCGTCTTCTTTCTTAGGGGCATGTTTTCACCCTTTCCCCTTGGCCCTCTGTTTTCAGGGGACAGACGAAGAGGAAAGAGTAAATGTCCTGAATTTTTTTTTTTAAGTTAATTTTTTAAAAAGATTTAACAACATATCCAATTGGGATTGTCACATTGGGACAATCTCAATTGTCCCAATGTGACAATTGAGATTGCCTCTGAGTGTCTGACTGGCATGGCTGACTCACATTAAATTTGATAGTTGTAGCTTTTTTTCCCCTTTCAATACTCCATCAACTGATTTGATACTCAATCACTGTTAGTCATTTACAACTAGCTCCTTGTTTTCATTAGATGTATTCATGTCCCTCCATTTTTAAGAGGCAGCAGGTATTAGGATACCCTTGAAAACTAAATTGCAAGTGAAAGAGAATTAGTCTCAGAAATGCAAAAATGAAGTTTCATATTCTGTTGTAATGTTGGGGATGAGGTCAATATGAGCATGCTGACAAGAGTAGGATTTACCTCGGTGAGCTTCGGGTCACATTAACCTTAGTAAAACAGGAGGTGTGTGCAATATAATGTCAAATTGAACTTTGGATTGCAGTCACAGCGACCCAAAGCTGGAAGGTAGTCACAAAAATAAAATGAATGTGAACACGTGATCTGTATGTACTTGTGAACATGTATGTTACATGAAAGTTCTTATTACCACAATGATGAATAAATCCCTACAAAGCTGTGAGGACCATTACATTCAACACAGAAACACCAGTAACATGGACAGTTTCCCAGAGACTTGAGACTTCAGAGACCAGGAGGAACTTGGCTGTGAAAGTCAGCGATGGCAAGGATGATGTGGCACTTGTTAAAATGCATTAATTTTGAGCAACAGGCAGGAAGCAGTGACTGTTTATGAGTTAGCAGAAACAATACAGATGGAATAATGGAGACTTCAATAACTAAAAGGCCCAACACGATAGACAGAAAATAGCACTTAGTAATATATGACACAGATGTTAAATTTGCTGAAAGAAAAGGAGATGCAAAAGTAGAAATACTAAAGCAATCAACATTGAACAAGCAGAGAACGGATTATGTAGAATTGAGTGAGAATACAGCATCACATAAATGCAATAAATATGCAGTTTACTGTATGTGACTCCTCTCAGCATTTACTACTTGTTTCAATGAGGTTCCTGTTGAGTTTGTAATGATCAAACATGTAATGTCACCGCAGAACTGAATCATCAAAATGACCAGATAACTGAAATGCCAAGGTCAACTATGACTGGAAATAAAAGTAATATATAGTCAGAAAGGAACATCGAACAGAGGATAGAAGTGACACCCAAATGCAAGCTCAGTTCAGCATCAGAGAATCTGACCGAGGCACATTTCAGGGTATTCCCTCTCACATTAAATCGTCTGGGCTGAGGTGAAGAAATTCAGCAATTTCCCTGAAATCGACCCTCCACTGGAAATATACCAAAGTTATGCAGATTGGCTAAAGGGTAACGTATTATGAACAGGTTCCAAGTTTAACTCTCAAAAAGGTTAAGTTATCCTCTTATTTGCATGACCTGTAATTCATTATCTACGGTATCACCAAAAATATCAAAGCACAAAAAGCAATGATTCTGCTGGTTTCTTACATATTGTATTTGACGTCTTAATTCTTCTTTTCTGTGACAATGAATAAGCCAACCATGCACCTTGATCCTGCTCATTTAAAAGCCATGGTGTCATGTAGGCTCACGCCGGTTGGGCATTTAAGTCAATGCATAACACAATAATCAAATACAAAGTTAAAACCTCTTGAATGTTATTGTGTCTTAAAATTGTTTGAATCAACTTTTAAAAATCCATAATTACTTTAAAAACTTGAAGACACAAGGGGTTTTCAAGTGCTTGGAGCTGCCTGTCAACAGAGGCGCCTCTGTAAACTTAGTGTAGTACTTGAAACCTCCACATGAGGACAATAGTGCCAAAGTAGTGAGGGATCATTTTCATCCTGTCAAGAAAAAGAATACAGCAGTAGAGCACTGTGTTTCTGGTTGCATATTTAAGAATAAATACATTTCTAAAAAATAAATAATCTGAAATTTTTAAATTAATCTAATTCCTATTCCTCTCTATTTTATTCATTTTCTCCTTTGCAAAGTTGGTAATTGTAGGTGTTGCAGACTTCCTATAGAGCAGGACTTTCTCAGTGGGTTCCTTTGTGTCTCTGCTCATCCCCCCCCCCCCAAAAAAAAAGCACCGCAGGCCTCCAGTGAAGCTGTTGGCTCAATCCATCCCGGTGGTCTTTTCTTCATTGTAATGCCCCCCAGAGGCTGTGCCCTGCTGATAGAGTCGTTTTCTACTGTATATCAAATGAGTTATCTTTGTAAAAGGAAAAAGAAAAAAAAAGAGGAAATTTGAAAAGTTAAGAAACAAAAAGCACACTTTTAGTATCCAGGAGCTGGAAGGAAGTGGCCTTGAATTTGTAATGTGAAAAGCCGGCACACTTCTTTTGGCTCTGTGCTGTCATCTTGTGGTCTTTTGATTGATATGAACAATGGTGAGACATGATTGGAATACACGTTTTCTTTGTCCTTATCTTGACGCTCTTGAAGATTTGAGAGGATTTCTGAGATGGTATAATCTCCCTGCAGATTCTGCTTAAGAAAAAAAAAAACTCCCCTCCTCTCACTCCTGTCTCTTTTTCTGTCACACACACTCAAATGTGGTGGGGCCTCCCTGGGAGGAGAGCAGGCAGTGCCTGGGAGAACAGCCAGAAACACCTGCAACAGATTAGTGCTTCTAATGCTGGGTAATAAATCCTCTCACCCTTCTCGAGCATCTCCATCTCCACCAAGCAGGCATGGATCTTATAGGTCGAGGAGCATCCACCCACAGTTTTGACTGTAACACTCACATGTCCACAAAATATTATATCACACACTGAAAGCTCATTTTTTCTGTTTTTTTTTCACTGCTTTGCATATTACACATTAGACTTATCAATCACATAATCACCAGCCCTCTGGTTCTGTATCAAGAGGGTCTCACCTTGAGCCAGACTCTATATCAAGATCAAAAATCTGTTAATATGTCTGAAAATAGCCAAGACTGAGACCAATGAAAACAACACTTTTAACTAGAGCATTTCATTTTTAAAACTTTAAGTTAAAGTCAAAAGTTTTATGAACTTTGTGGCAAAAGAATTAAAGTTTTTACAGTAATACTAAAAATATGAGCCGATACCTACAACAGAAGCATACAGTTACGGCTGATCAGGCTGGTGTTAGCAATGAACCACATCACACAAAGTGGCAAGGCACAATTTGTGTGATGTGGTTCATCACATCACACAAGCAACTGCTGGTCTGTCTACAATGTGGAAGAGTCAAGCTAAAGGAACGTCTTCAGGTTGGCATGTTAGCACCAGTCATATGTCTCAGTGTTAGAGGGAATCACATTTCTTGCATACAGGATCTATTTAGAACAAAATCAAAACTGGAAGTAATACTGTTGATACTGTTGCATCAATGAGAGATTACTGGACATCAGGGGTTGTTACCCTGAAATAACGCAACGTAACTTTGGTAAGCCAACCACTGGCCAAGAAACAGAGTTGAGATGGGCCTTTAACCTCATCTCTTACAGCTACAGTATGTCCATGTATCAGTCAGGTTAGCCATGCACCTAATTTGCCAAACTCTAACCTTAATATATTTAAAAATTTAAAAAAATAAAAATCACCCATGTGTTTGCTCTGACAACCCTTTTCTGAATAATCCTGGTTGTAGTCTGTCCCTAGTGGTTTGCAAAACAATGGTGTGCCACATCCAAAAATACACTAGTCCGGCCGAAATCGCATTAGATGCTAGGACTTTTTATAGTCGGACTATTACTTTGTACCTGGATGATGTGATTGGAGACAGAATTTCTCTTCCATGTATACTGCTATCTTATTGTACAAACGTGACAGAGCTGTTAAGTTGACAGTGTTTTCATCATTCAACACACATCCCGTTGACCTCTTGCTTTGTCGATCATTTTGATCCATGATAGGCCAACGAGGACACGACCCGATACTAACAAGCTGAAATAGAGCATGTCACCACCCAACGTAGCAGAGGCAGACACGCCTCTGTAAGTAATTTGATTCTTGCCCTGTGCTTGCAAGCTTGGACAATGACAGTAGACCTGACAAATCACAGAATCGAGCTGTAACTGTGCGTTTAAATCCACTGACTGTTAGTGCAGATGATAATCATGCAAAAAAGCAGTCCAAAATGTTATTGTTTACAACTTAATATTATTGTGCTCATAATATCAGCTCTAAGAACAGAACAGTGCAATGTACTGACTGATTGTAAAATTCACTTGCTTTAAACGATGGGCAACTTTCTGGTGTTGAACTCTGTGTATTTCTGCAACGTCCAGATGCTTTCTATCTCACAGAGAAGATCAGTGTGTTTTCTAAGATTATTAAAAGGCCAGTACCTTAAAAACACAAAAGTAATCTGTAGTGGTTTATGCATTAGTTTGAGTGAAATGGTGTGATTTCTCTTGATAGAAAGCTGCCATCTATGTTGTGGTCTGTCAACCAAACAGCCACTGTATCCACAACCTATATGAACTTCTTTCTTTCTTTCTTTCTTTTCTACTTCATTTTACAGTCAAGAGCGTCACTCACTGTGACTTTTTATCATAGAAATGATAAATAAATACTGTCAACATGTCAAAACATTCTACCAACATGAGGAGTTCATCTGACACCTACCCTGCAGCAGCTGTTAAAGCTCCCCCATAGAAATGTTTTGTCCCCTCGCTGAGGGTTTGTTTTGTTATTGTAGCTCATACAGAGCCATAAGTATTAATTTCAATCTGTGACACAACCTGTCAAAAGGTTCTCACAGGAGCTGTGACACAGCCTACAGTGTTATCTTTGTGTGAAGGATATCTGTACTATGAATGTGAAGGATATCTGTATGTGCCACAGCAGTAAAATAAAATTGGATGAAGAAGCTCTATGGTCTACAGAGTTTCTTTGGTTTTATTTTTGTGCACAATTTTTGTTCTTGCAGCAGAGATGTAATATTTCAGATCATAAGAAGTCACCTATTTTTGTAGCAGTGATTTGCTGTACCTTAACCTTTGTGCACCGCACCCTATTTCTTATTTTTTTTCTTGCTACTTGCAACACTTAGGACACCACTCCACAAATGTCTGCCCAGTTTTCTCCCGTCACTTACCTCAGAAATGTCAGTAAGAGTGGCCTTGGATTACTCATAGATTTATTCAAGCATGCATAACATGTATCCCAGATAGTTTGAGAAAGGGTGTCCAACTGGTGAGGATGGTACTCATGAGTCACGGGTGTGAAGGTGGAAGTAAGAGTGAGAATTAGTGTAAGTCCTTACACATGTTCATTCCTGATCTTACAAGGAGATCTTTTTTTTTTAATCTGGAGAAGTGTTCAAAGTACAAGTGAAAGGCATTTTCAGAGATAGCTTCCCAGACAAAATATATTTTCAAAATAAAAAACTCAAGTGTAGTGTTGCTGGACATACAACACTGCTCATTTCATTCATTTTATGGTGGTAGATGTCACAGACATACAAAGGAAGCAACTTTTCAATTCAGGAGAGCGCATATGGAGAACCACCTAGGCCTGAGTATCAGGGACATGTAGCCAACTATATAAACTATACTACTACATATACTATTTACAACTATATGTATTCATTATATACATATATATCTGCACTGTACTTGAATCTGTAAACTAAGGCCAATGCAAATGACAGTTTGTTCTGTATACATCTGCTGCATACAGAGTCGAAGTCTATGTCAGTTAAAGACTAGTAACCTGCTTAAATCTCTCTAGTAACCTATTTAAGCACAAATCTACCTTCAGCATTTAGTTTCTCAAGAAATATGACACATCAACAATTTCACCTTTGGTTTCCTTTGGTGAATTGAAGGTAGGCAAATAAAAAGATTTTTTTTATCTTTACACAATTTAGGTCTAGTTGATCTTCAATGTTTCCTGTCTGAATGAAAAAAGAAAATCTGATCCACTGCACTTCCAAGCTTCATCTTTCTATTACAGTATCAAACTTTTCCTTTACCCCTAAGCCTGAAAGACAAAAAGTTCTCCCTCAAGGTGAAACTAAACTTTTAAAGGCTCTTATGTTGTAGTTTCAAATGACCTTGGAGCTGTTGCGCCAAGTTGCAGCGAGAAGCATGCAGGTTTGTAGGTAGGCTGCAGTGTCTCGTAGAACACCATGCAAGATAAAACCATGCAAACAAGTATTAATGCAAGCAGATATCTATTTACTAAAATGAAAATGCAGTGGATTGTCTGTAGATGCCAATGTTATCTTCAATCCAATTTCCCTTATTTATTTGCTCCTAAAGTTGAAAAAATCCATTGATCTGTGGTGTTGTATAAGCTGATTAATTTAAAAAGAATGTTAAGCTTCCTGAATACCAAGCTTGTGCATGACCTCTGAAAAGTTTTCACAAAACATTGAGCTATGATAACAAAAGGAGAGCGTGAGCGAGGGAGACGAAGGGGGGGTGAGATGAAAACCTATGAAAGGGAGCGTCAGTGTGAATAAAAACTGGGGATGTGAGAGGTGGCTGAGGTGGCCCTGTGACCCCTGACCTCCTTCCCCCAGGTCCATTCAGAGCAGGACAATGGTTGACACCTGTGTCCTTTCAGTACTGGCACTATTATTATTTACATCAGTCGGTGGGAGAGAGAGAGAAAGACAGAAAGAGGCCAGAGGTGCTGTGAAGCAGAGCGCAACAGCCTCATGCCCACAACACCCTCTCTTCCCCTCTCTCTTTCAAAGGCAGGTGCCCTCCTATCTCTCCGTCGGCCAGCCTCTTCCTCTTTAATTATTTCAGATAACTGCAAACACATCAACGGAAGGATGAGACGGGGTGTTTTTACATCCTGTACCTAATGGTCTGACATTGCACTTCTGTACCACCATTAACACAGGGGGCACTGGGTTGGGTTAAGGGGGGGAGCAGTCATGTTTTGTACAAATTAATTGTTCTTTCTTATGTTTTTTTTTTGACAAGGAAAAGATTTATTTTCACTTTTTTCGACAATGATTCACAAAGTTTTTATGCAACACAATAAAAACTGTTTCCACAACATCAAAAATGATCAGCCTCAGAAACCGTTTGCAATTAAAAGACTCTCACACGACCATCCTTTTCGTTATCTTTTTGCCATTTCTCGCTGTCTTGCTGATCAAGCTGTTGGGGAGAGTCAGAGGGAGCATGGGTGGCAGGCTGGGGGTTACATGAATTCTTTTTTTTTCATTGGGGGAGTGAAAGCCCAATTAACAAAGGATAAGAAGTGAACCGTAAACACCCTCAACAAGGCCCAACAAACCTACAAGAACAAGAGCACTCTCTCTCTCTCTCTCTCTCTCTCTCTCTCTCTCCCTCTCTCTCTCTCTCTAACCCCCCTCTGATGACCACTCCCCCTCCCCTTACCTCCCCCCTCTTGCTCACTCACTCTCCCTTCCACTTCCCTCACAAAAGGAAGGCTCAGAGCTTACAAAGTGCCAATTAACACTGAATGTTTGCCCCTCGCACCTCCCTCTCTGAACTGCTGACAGCTCTGGTGTTTGGGTTAATACCAAAGGCCTGCAAAGAATTATAATTCTCCTTCTTGCCCCATCCCCCCTTCGGTCCCTCTCCTATCCTTTTATTTTGTTTCCAATGGGGTGGTTTTACAGTTCAATGCACAGTCAAAGGGTGATATAAAATGACTTTCCAAAGAATTTCATTTGGGGAGAAGAGGGGCTGTGTTGCATTGGGGCAGCCAGGGGCAGGACCGGTGATAGGGTGGAGGGGGTCCTGTGTGAGGCAGAGAAAGAGAGACAACCAAAACTTATGACTCAAAAACAATGAAAACATTTTTTTTTTTCTAATCAGAAAATATTTGACTTTTGTGTTTGTCAAGTGTGGTTTCATTTTTAATCCGGAAAAAAAAAGATTTTTGATCAGGTCATAAAAATAAAGACTGGATCTCCTTTGTAACTTGTCTATCTGTCTCAAGCACATTGTATGCAAAAATAATGCAAACAAGTGACCACATACGCACAAACACACACACACACACACTCTTTCTCACCCGCTTAAAGTGCAGGTCCCACTTGAGATGAAGATAGCAGCACGGGTCATTTATCACAGACAGGTCTGATGGCCGCGCTATGCTTGTTTTTCTCTCTTGTGGACTCCAATAAATCAGGGTTCTGAATATAAAAGCAGCCAATGAGCAGAGGTGAGAGGGTTAAACTCTGGGTGAAACAGAGACCGCAAGAGTCTTTGAGGGAGCTTCTGCCTGCTCTCAGATCCCTGACCAAACTTGGCCTGCCTAGACAATTTATGACCTCCTGGGACAAAGTCACTCTCCCATTTCTCCACTTTGAGCAAAGGTCTCCTTTGAAATGGGTTTACTCTTTAAGATGGAGCAAAGCTTGAATAAGATTTTGCAAATAAAATACTCTTATTGGATCTCCAACTGTAATACTGTGCTAATTTGGCACTTAAAAAACATAAATATAAAGGCTATTGACAGAGCACTTAGGAAGTTATCTTACCAAACCATGTCAACTCTATAGTTGTGTTCCAATTAAGGGGCTGCAGCCTTCAAAGGCCACATTTGAAGACCGAATGGGGCGTTAAAGCCTGTCCCATTTTGAGGTCCTCTAAATGCAACTACAATTGGCTCCACTTTTCCCAAACTAAGAATGCTGCATAAGGTGCATCCTTTGTATTAGTATTGTGTGATTCTCTGCTCTCTTATATGATTGTGGACTTTCAAACTGCATTGTATCATCCTGTAAAACAAAAGTAGTTAGTCTTAACTCAGTGTAAAGTTGTACAAATGCCATTAAAGACAGAAATTTGAAATTTCACATTATCTTTAAAATGCTTTGAGTTAACTAAGCTCGCTGATTTGCCGGGTAGCCACCTGTTGCTGAGTGACATGAGTGGCGCTAAATGATGCTATTGTCAGTTAAGCTAATTAATTAGCAGTTGTCTGAAGGGTGGAAATCTACACAGGCCATAATGACTGAGTCCTACCAAGGCTTGATCCTCCAAAGTCTGCAGCCCCTGGATTGGGACACACCTGTTGATTCAGATTTTCTTTTTTTCTAGCAACCCCTCAAGGCTAACTGCTACTATCATAACATACCTGAATCTTTGACTCAAATGTTAGCTACTAAGTAGATGTTTGTGTTATCAAGATGTTTAGACAAAGAAATGGCCATGAAGACATCTTTACCTTCACAGCTTTTGATGTTTTCTTCTCACAATTTGACAATTTCATCTTTTTTTAACGTCCTTCTTCATTCGTTAAGTTTTTGTTTACTTCCCCACCTCTTTGCAACGCATTAACGCTTCTCAACTTTACATTCAATGGACCATGCGTAGAAAGCTTAGGCTAGTTTTAGTCAGATTAATGCAATAAATTGATTTTTTTGAACAGCATGTAAAAGTACTTATTTAACTGTTTCAGCAAGATCTTAGAGTCTCTCTAGACTCTCAAATATAGAACCTACTCAACAGCGTCAGAAATAAGTTGCTAACTGCTAGCAGTATCAGCCTAGGCAACTTTGTGCTTACTTTTTTGGGTGCACCTTGGACAAATAGTTGAGTTAAGAGTCCTGATTTCACCTCTCAAACAATGTTTATTTTTTTATTTTTTATTTTTTTTAACATGCAGTTTTATAATTTACCCCAATTACCATTTCACTTGTCGCCACTTTGGCAGCTTTTGCTGTTTAGTAGCTTTTGTGAAACAATATTGATAACTCCTTTCTCTTTAGTATGAACAAAAGCTTGAAGTGAATGTCTTCCTGTTATGAGACGTCTTCCATCAAACCTCCAAATGAGGGAGAGAGTTTTTCTGCTGGTGTGGAACCAAGCCAGTCTGACTTTATTTACATTTAAGTAAGGGGAGCTGAGCAGAGAGCTGACATGACCTGACACGGTTCATGGTTCCACCAGTGAAGGCTGTCTGGGCCTCAACTTCAACCCTGAGACCCCGGGGTCAAAATGCTCTGTAGCCTCTCTGGGATGAAGGCGGCTGCAGAGACATGTGACTCTGGCCTCAGCTTTGAATTGTGGGATTTACTCGAGATAAGACGAGTGTAAAGTGGATGCTCTATAACTTTAGGTCTTGGATAAAAAATCCATGTGGGAGTAAATAAAAAAAGAAAACTGTGTGTTCGAAAAGAATTTAATTTCCCCATATCTAGGCATATGATCGAGCTATAGTATATCATTTTAATCTGGAGATTTATCTAGAAACAGGTGCCTCTGCTCCAGCCATGAAGCACTGGGTTGCCTCTCTGTAACATCTAATGCACTCAAACTATAATGTCTGCTCAGCCAACGACAGATCCAAAGGTCAGTGATGTGACTGTGTGAAATGAGGGTTGTGAGAAACATAGAGAGGAGCACGTGCCTTACAGAGAATTAGATGAATGTCAGAATTCACTGTGCTTCTTTCTCAATAACGGAGACACGTGAGAGGAATCATTCCTGCAAAGTGCAACTGCAGGTCTCTCTCCGAGAAACAGGATTTCCTTTCCCTTCATTTCAACATTCTTCTCTTTTCCCCCGTCAACCTTGCATCCCGTATTCCTCTCGAAACCCAAAGGAATTTCCTCTGATGGGGCCGTGAGTTGATTGGTGTGTGAGAGTCTGGAGTCTGTGTGACCCCATCTGCCATAAGCAGGACAGAGCAGACCAGCCACAGGGGCCAAAAGCCCTGTGGGACCCAGATCTGGCTCAGGATCCAGGGTCGTTGTGCGCCACAGTGGATCCTGGGCTGTAACTCACCCTCTGTCTGTGGTTTAGGATGGTGTGGAGGTAGGGGTGAACAGCAGGTCAGCCATGGAAAAGCTTGCTTTATTGTCTGTCTGGTAGAATGAAGGATAGAGGGGAGAGAGGGAGAAAGAGAGGGATGATAGGAGGAGAGAGGAGACAGGAGAGGAGGGAGGCTCGTGTTTGGGGAGGAAGGGAGACAACCAGGGAGGTAAAGGAATGTACAAAAAATTAGAAAGATGAGGCTTTGACATGTGGGTATAAGGAGAAAAATGTCTGAAAGTCTGTGAGTAGACTGGTTGACACCTTTAATTACTTCTGTCAGTCTTCTTCTTGTTTTATTTTCAGCCGTTCAAGACTGTCATGGACTTGAACACATGGCTGTGTGCACATGTGTATCTCTAACACATTTGAATCAAATGCAAACTCTCCAGCATGTATGCGCTTGACACTTGAAGAGCTCATGACAGTTTCAATGAGAATCACTCGTCAGTTTTGAAATTCTACACACAATAGCTCTGCACAACGCGAAGAATATGATATCATATACTGTACATAAGCAGCTTTTCTGAGATCTCCAGGTAATCAAACGAGATGATTTCTACCAGATTTGGGGTGTCAAAGAACTCCTCTGAAAGTGATTGATGAGTGCTGGGTAATTGTCCATTGTGAGGAGATGTCAGAGGGAGACGACATGTCACCTCGCAGTGAGAGTAAAAGAGCCGGCAAATGGAAGTGATTACCTCTAATATTCTCCATCTGGGAGCAATTGCCTCAGAAGACGACTTTCAAAGAGATGTACGGCGGGCAGAGAAGAAGGAGGCAACAGTAATTTGCACAGGATTTACAAATCTCCTGAATCGAATTTGGAAATCTTTGCGCACATTTTGTTCTCTTCCCCCCCAAGACAGTGACTGAAGAAATGCACACACACACACACACACACAAGCGTAAGCAAGTCCACAGAGATAACTCCTGCTTTCTATTGCAGGGAATGTTCTTTATAAAGCTATTTTGAGAAGAGAGAGCTTTTTTCTTTTTTTGGCAAACTCTTTTCAATCCCAGAGAATGAAGTTGTAATATGCACTGCAGTTGGCTGGATTTTGAGGCTCAGACATCAATACTCAATATATCTCGCTGTCTGTCTGTGAGCAATCACAAACCACCCAAGAAATAGTTGCCAGTGTGTGTGAGAGTTGAGCCTGAGCCAGGTCAGAAGTGATCAAAGGCTATAGAGAAGGGGATGGGGATCGGGGATGGGGGGGGGGGTTATCTGGTCCCAATTACAGTCAATCATGGGAAATTGGCAAAGTGCAAAGCGAGAGAGATCTTCATGTTGAGAGCAGGGGGCCAGATGAGCCAAGGTGGTCCTTTGACATATCTGACTTCAGAGGCGACAGCAAAATGAAGATTTGAAGATCTTTTCTTGTTTGTATTTATGCGTCTTTGTTGCTGTGGGTTACAATTACATTCACCTCACAACTATTCTGTTTTTAATCTTAATCTTTAGTTGATATTAGTGCTATAACACACAATCTTTAAAAAAAATAAAGCCTTGCCAGTATTAATCGTGGCATAAATTACTTAAAGGACACGGAAAACTTGAACCAAAAGTCAAGTATTGAAGAAATAATGGCTAATAGATCCTTTTAGGGCATTTAGGTTGAGAAAGTTTGATTTACTATCTGGTTTCCTTGCAAATATATCCACACTGTTTAACTTTTAGCATGCAAGCTCTGGAGCATGCAAACAATGCTTGGGCTAGGTAGTGTTGGATTTAGCCGTGTACATAAGGGAGGAAAATGATTCCAATCCTATTACCCCGGTATGTTAATTGGACTATAAAAAGTTTGATTTAGTGTGATTTCAGTCGGTCTAACTGTAGAGGCAAAGTCTATACTTCAAGCTACTGAGATGCTTGACCCAGAGTAACCTGGTTGGCAGGCCGCGCTACTGGTTTCATATACTACCGTGAGTTTTTGATGATCAGTAAGAATCTGGACACTGTTCCTCTGATGTGGCAGATGAAAATTTATTGTGATGTAGATGAACATTGTCAAAGTCCAGTTGCAATGCCCATTGAACAACACTGAATAAACCAAGAAAAACGCCACCATTTAGCGCCACAGCAGTCAAAAACCTTTTTGCCCTACCGGGTCAGTTACCTTCCCACAACAGTGAAGTAGCTGTACTGAGTCTCAGATAACAGCACAGCGACACCTAAGGCAAACAAAGTGAACTGCAGTTCATTTTAGATTATCACATCAACATATTTGGCTCCTACACCAACAATTTCACACGATTTTTAATGTCCCATTTCAGAAGGACTAAGGCAATAAATCGTTTTTTGAAGTGCATATTAAAGTACTGAGTGTTATTTTATTAAAAATACCCTCACAGTTCAGGAGTGTAAGTGACCACATGTCATCTGAGAGACCTGTTATCATCTGCCTCTGTCAAAACTGCTTTCTTGCCAGTAAATTGGCTGGTGCTAATGCCAACTAATGTTCAACTTATCTGAAACATCACACTGTTTACCAACACTTTAAGGGTCTATAAACATTACTTATACTGTACTTATTCATGGAATACTTTTTTTTGTATTTTTGTTCTGTACTGTTGAGCTAGCTTTGTCTTGTTTTGACTACCAAGCAGCAAAAATAAATAAATGGATGAAAAACCTTTAAGCCACAAAGTGCTGGAAAGCAAACCTGAGACTGAGCCCTGTAAAGAATCATCAAATAAAAAAAGCACAACTGGATCCTCACATTCAAAACTTTGTTGAAACAAACTCCAAGTTGAATCTTAAGGCCTGGTCCAGATTTTCGTAATGCTAAACTGAAAAATGTTCTTCTTCCTCATGGCCTGCTGAACTTCTTTCTGTTGGATTTACAGGATAGATGTTGGAACATTGTAGAAATGTATTGTTTTTATCTATCTTTTGAGAAGTGCAATTCCTAGATTTGGACACTTGAGGCGTCATCATTAGTTACCTATCCCCTGATATTAGTAGTGTACTCTTTTATAATAAACACAAGGGGCTTGGGCTTTTGTAAAAAATATGAGCTCTCAGTGAAGAAACACATCCCAGAGTTTTGTAACCTACCACATGGTTCTTATTGTCCCACCACAACAGGACAGAACGTGATTAGAAATGAGACATGAGCGCTAAAGTTACGTTTCTTTCTTTCTTTTTTTCCTTTTTCCTTTTTTTTTTTTTTGCTGTAGCATAATATAGCTCATTAGTTTGATGAAAAATTTGTACAACGTAGCCCAAAGTTGGAATGTGAGGATAACTCGCCATGCTGCTTTATGTTTGAAAGCCAAGTAGAACCTGATTATAACAGAGCTCAGCTCATTAAATGTATGGTCATATGCAAGATTCAAGATTTGCTGATTTTATCTGGTCTCCATAGCGAGTGGTATCCAATTATTCCAATTCAATGCTCAGGACTGCCATCATTAAATGAAAGAATATCAAAATGAACAAAATGAGTCTCCTTTTAAAGGCACATAATATCCATACTGTTTTTATGCCTATTTATAGAAACTCACATGTGAATGGTTCCCTTTCCACAAAGCCCACCAGCCTGCACCACCATATTTCTAAAGACGCACAGAACAGACAAACTAAACACTACACACATTTTGTATTCAGTGGGTTGTGACTGAAAATGCACCTGTAAGAATAACAGTTAATGAGAAAGTGGATTTTGTTACCTAAGTTTATGTTAAATGAAGTTTTTGATAGAAAAACTTGAGGTTTAAGATGATAATTATACATCACAAGGACATCTGTTCCTCAAGGCCACTATTGCGTTACTGTTAAAAGGGGTGAGCAAGAAAGCATTTAGATCCAAAATATGACACCCAGATATTGTTCCGTATTTTTACACACCTTACATTACCTTTAATCTCTATTTTTTTCTCAAACGAGAAAGAAGTAAAAGAGGATGATTGCTGTTAAAGGAACATAGATTTATTCCACTTATGTTGAGTCTAAAGCAGATGTGGTATCTTGTTCCCTTTTGTGAAACTAGTCTGAGTAAGTCTGATAAAACTTTGATTTGAGACAGATTTTGAAGGGTCCAGTTGTTTCTTAACGCTCTAAAAAGACCACAACTTAAAAACCCTCAGGAACAGGAGGTTTAAAGAGTTGACAGTTTTAAAGGTATGATAATGATATGGAAATTGAAGAAAGCTTTAAAAGATGATCAAGCTCAAACAAAGGCTCCTCTTTAAATACAAAGACATGGAACAGCACACATTTCCCACCTAATGAATGCTGATAAAGTGAAAAGGAGATAACCAAACAGGCATAACAAAAGGGATCTCTCTTGCTGAGATTTTCTCTCTGATTCGCCAAGTGATCCCTTCTCCTCCTCTGATTGGTTAGGAGCACTCACCAAAGAATGCCAACAAAAAAGTGACCCTCCAGTGAGCACCTCCATCCCCCATCTCTCCCTCCCTGATCTATGTCCCACACCCATCCCCCCTTTCCTCCTGCCTGCTCCCCCCTTTTGCTGAAGCCCTCTCCCTCCCTCCCTCCCTCCCTCCCTCTCTCCCTCTCGCTCTCTCCCTGTTGCCTCACGGCTTGCTGTGACCCATCTTGCACCTCCCGAAGCCCACAACAGACGCTTGGTGTGTGAAGAAGGTCAAGAGTTCAGGCTTGGCTGAGGCTCCATCCCTCCCTCTGCACAGAGGAGGCCTGCCCTGCGGGTTTATAATTATCTGCCGTTGGCATTCAGCACAGGTTCAAGCACAGTGCAAGCGCTGGCACCAGCGTGGGGGGATGCGCTTGGCTACACACTTGGTGATTAGTTGTCCCTAATTGTCAGTTCCTTGTTCCTTTTTACCTTTCTCTCCCCCTCTCTATCTCCCCTCCCTCCTTTTGCCAGTTAGAACATCTTTACAGGAAACACCGCACTGGCTTTATTGTCCTAAAAGCTCACTCGGTTGCATAATTTTGACTTTATTTTGTGGTAAATAAATGGTGGTAAAAAAAAATCAAATATCTTTTCAGTAAACTTGAGATTGCTTTAAAAATTCCACTCTGGTTTCAGTTCTCTGCCATCTTGTGTCTAAACGCGCAACCTTTTTTAAAATGTCATTTTAATTTCTTTTTTTTCCTTTCAATTTAAAAGAGTTGAATAACCTTGATTTTTAAGTCAGAAAAGAAGAGGGATGTTTGACGTTTGACGTTTGACGTTTAAATGCTCGCAATGATAAATCTAAATGTGTAAGTAACAAAGTCAAGGTTATTCGTAAAAGTAAGACAGCTGCAGAGACGACATGCTGAAGAGTCAGGCTTCCACAACCTCACTGATGGCAGACACAAGGAGCCATAAAATCCTTCAAGGAGAAAAGATGAGGAGAACTAAAGTTAAACAGCCTTCACAGATGGTCTGTATGAGCTGCAGTCACTGACAAGGGAAAAGCAAGTGGCCTTGAAGCTGCCGTTTTTGTGTCTAAATGAGTTCATGATCCAAAATACAGATTCTTCACCTTGAACTTGTTGTGTTGTTTTTTTAAACATATATCAGGACTACGTGTTTTAACCTGACCCTGCTATCTTAATTTATTTTCACAATTAAAACAGGTACAAATCATCCCTCCTAATATGTGGCAGACATACTTTATCTCCTGATCTGCTGCAGATTTTCTCCACAGGTTTGTGTCTGCTTCAAAGGTGAGTGTGTGCTTTCCATCAGGCGTTCATATTGGCACTGACAGGCGCTGTGATAAACGACAGTGGGTAAATCCATTCCTCAATGCCTTCAGAGATGTCTCTGCGCCATTAGTCACTCACACTAGAGATCTCTGTGAGAGTCCATCATTGCTGCTCTGAGAAACACATCTGCAGACCTTGAGACAGATCCTGAAATGGGCCGACAACTGAACCAATACTGTTGGGGGCTGTTGGGGAGAAAAAAGAAAGAGAGGAACAGCAGTCAGGCAGATGTGGAGCCTGGACGGCTGCCAAGCAGCGCCCCGTCATCCTGCAGCAGACCCTTCATCTCAATATGAGTGAGGCAGAAAGAAAGGGAGAGATGTGGAATACAGCGGGGAGCAGGGGGAGGAGAAGGGGAACATGGATAGATTTTTACAAAAGCCCCATGACTATTCCTCCATCTGAGAACATCCTGCAAGGCTCTTGGCATCCTTACACCATGACTGCACACCCACAGTTCAATCAGCAGGGCCAGCTGATGCTAGAAAGAGAAAAAAAATCAAATTGAGTTTGAAATAATTTATAGTGCAAACACCTCAGTGAGTGCAGCACCTTGACTGGCCTATTATTCTTTGACATTTTAGTGGAAAGTAGAACTAGTCCTTTGAGCCTTCCATAAAAATCTATATTTAACACATGCACAGATGGTTGGAATAAAAGCCACATTTGCCCCTCTTCCCCTCTGCTTTTGGTGTGAGGAAGAAGTTGAGATTTCTGCCAGTTTCCAAGAGCTGTGTGAGATGAGACATGGACTTTTGACAGGTGTTTGTTTGAATATCAAACAGAGCTGTGGAGGCCTGCAGATGGCAGGCAGATTGCGTTCCAGATAGGGGCTTCAGTTCTTTCAGTATCCTTGGTCCTCCGTGATTCTCCAGAGGAATGGATGGACGAACCTCTGGTCTGCGTGATGATCATCGTTTTTGTCATCATGGTCTTCACCTTTGAATCAGACGTATGTCTATGATAGAGAAACAAAACACTCCGTTGTTTTTTTTTTTTTTTTTTACCATTGGCTGTGTGCAAAGATAGACAGTGTTGGGCCACAAACAAAGAGGTTTGAGTCTGATCACTTGGCATATTTGGATAAATTTATGCAAAAGAAAACTGAACTAAACATTAAACTTATATGCCACATATACAGTTTAATATATCAATTTCTAATGGAGCACAAAACAAGGCCTCAGTTTGATCATGCATAAATATCTTTGCACAATGAGGAATTTCACTCCTCTTATTGACTACTAGAGGAATTGACGCACTGCAGTATTGTTAAGTATCAAAGGTGTCATAAGTATACTACATTTGTGGGAAAATAGTTCCAAAAATATCACATAAGGTTCATCTATAAGGAAATAAATAAGGGCCTAATATAGGGCCTATATTTATGGTGAATGAAAAGCTCTATAAATTGAGACTTTTCTGATCACTCAGCATGTTTACACAGTGTTTTTAAAAAAATGGATTATCTGCATTAGTTTGAATGAAACCAGACCTCATGTAAATTTGGTGGTCCACCGCAAAATAGGCATAATGCAGTTGAATCAGTGCTAGCCGAAGAATTCTGTGCTGTAAGTTCTGCAGTTCACATTCCGGGCTCTGGCCTGGAAGTAGTAGCTGACAGTAGCTCAACTTAAAAGGATATTCCAGCATAAAATTAACTTGGAACCAAACTCACCATAACACCGTAACCAACTTTAATAACAATTGCACAATAGCAATACACAGTGGTCTATCACTTCATGTGCAAACCTCAACCAAAACTCCACTCTATAGTCACAATTAATGCTCAGAACAGCACCTAACTTCATCAGCAGTACATATAGGGTCCTAGCCACAGTATAAGCTACCAAACATCTTTTTAACTTTGCTGGATTTCTTTAGCAAAGAAACTTAACACAACTCACCTCCCCCCTTCCAGCAGCTGCTTGTTTGTAGGAAGACCTCAGACGAGTCAATCACCGAGTGCAGTGGGGTGACGCAGCTTAAGGAGGAACATTGATGATCATAACTTTGTCATTTGCTTAAAGTAATAATCACCATATTAATCATCATCATCATATCAATCACGGTAGTTCTTCTGCCTTAGCGCCTCAGTCTGATTGCATTTCCATGAAGAAATGATCATAAATGTTCTTCCTTGAGCTGCGTCACCCCGCTGCAGTCGGTGATGGACTCGTCTGAGGTGTCGCTTCAAACAAGCACATTGTGCTTCTGCTGGAAGAGAGTAGGTGAGTTGTGTTTAGTCTCTTTGCTAAATAAATTAGGCTGCTGTGTATTGCTGTTGTGCGGTTGTTACTAAAGTTGGTATAACTAGGGAAGCAGGCGATCTGCAACATTAATCTCTCCAGGGGGTGTCTAACTTGGTGTTACGGTGTGTTTGACCCTAACTCAATTTTATGCTGGAGTATAACAGTGCATGTAAACATATTGGCTTTGATAATTTTGGACAACTTGCGTCCAAATGTGTCCAAATGTCACTGGAGTGATCAGATGATTTCAACATTCCCAGGAGAGAAATCTATCTTTTTTGATGTAATAGATGTAGAATATCTTAACAAAAGGTTATGGATTGATAATAGTTCCTTGTACTGTAATAAATAAATATATACCCTTTGTGTATTGTAACAAGTTTCACATACAAATGAAGACTCAGAGGTGCACGTACCTTTAAAAACACTCATTACATACAGTTCTCACTGGCAAAAACAAGTTTTCTCTCCTCTGTTTGGAACTTAATTCATGTTTTAGTCCTCAATTTCCAACCTGGCCTGCTGGCTTGCTGATGGCCTTGTTAGCTGGCTAACTGACTGCTTTGCTGGAGAAATGTAATGAGAGTGGGAAGAAGGTCTGAATAGTTGGCAAGAGTGCTTCGGTGAGTCAACAGACGTCGGGCACTGCCAAAAAGGTCCATGTGGTGTGGGGTAATGACAGGTCGAGTTAGTCAGGGGTTGTATGTTCTGGCTCCAATGCTCTGCATCTTGTCACAGAATCTATTTGGCAAATGCTAGACTTACTCAAACAGCTTATAATTGTACTTTTCATACTGGTTTATCCAGTCATACTGTCATTCAGCATACTGGGTCACCCTATATGTTCACATGATCTTTAAAAAAAATGGCCAAAACTGGATTTTTTGTATATCTGTAATCTTTATAGTCACACCAAAATCCCTCATGGCTAAATTTCTTGAAGTTAACATTATACCTTACCTCATAGTAAGTATCACACTCAGATAATGCAGCTGGGAACAGTTTCCTCCTGCATGTACACCTCACTTGGTTCGACCCAAACTGGTCCATAACAGCGTTTTTGCATGATCCACAGTTCACATGCGGAGTTTAATAAAAACGTTGATCAGCATCAATGTCTTGTGACTGTGGGGTCGCGATTCATTCAAAGAGAGGAATGGTAAGAAGCCACCCTGAAACAAAATAGTTTTTTGTTGATTATGATATTAATACACAAAAATAGTAAAGTAGCTACAAAAACTGTACAGTAATTATGTTTCAAATAAACCCACATAGATAGAAAATGAGATCAAGATCTCCAAAAATGATGGCAGATTAAGAAAAGCATCAGTAGCAGGCAGCAGGTTAAGCAGCACAGGAAATACAGCCACATGTGCAGTAGACTAATTGTCTGCAGACCAACCAAATAAAGTATCTCAGGCTCTAAGCCACTATGAAACTCACATTTGCACTCAGACTGATCTGTGTGTCTGTTTATTTAATAGTCCCACCACTGCCACAGTCCAAACATTCAAGACAACTGTATTCTGCTCATAACACTTTTAATAACTATGAAATAAAACTCTTGTTTGGCTGTGAGCAACATTTAACCTTCTCAAGAGACATTGGAGTCTGTTATTTTGAGGCTTGTTGACTAATAAGTTTGGGAACTTTGCCTCTTGCTAACTTGTTTGTCAGTTGCTTTGGGATGTGACATAATAGATTAAAGAGAAAAGGTCAAACAGTCAACACTAACTGCAAGAGGGCATGTCGCCACCATCTGTGGCAGAGGCGTACAACTTGCTTATAATTTGTGGTTACAATACTGTTGCCCACAGAGAAATGACTCACTGGAACACTTATACTAAGCTGTTGCAGGATCAATATGAATGAACAGAGGGTTAAAGACCGTGAATCTTCTATTCAGTCTGTTTCAAGTCACTCATGAGTGCTGTAGACCTCAGCTTTTAGCCTCTTTCTCATAGCAACCCCAGGGAGCTTTTCCCTGAAATTTCAGTCAGTACATTTACATGACACTCAAGAAAACATAATTATTGCCTTACTCCGATTAAGACCGGACAACTGTAGGGCATGTAAACACCTTAGTCCAACTATTATTGGAGTTTGAGAACTTCGATGAAGACACTCAGATACTGCAATAGGAATTTGATTTACTCTATCATGTAACCAGCATAGTCAATGTATGAATGGACTATGCATTTGTGCATGTACCATGCCCTCGTAACCCCAGAACAAAAGCACCAGAGAAGGAGTGGCACTATCATTTAGAAGCGTGAAGTAGCGCATACATCATGTACGACAAAAACAGCGCTGTACGATGCTCCATCTTCTTGCTCAAAAATGCCCAGCAGCAGTTGTGGCCACCTCTGAGGTCTGGCTGTTGTTGACAGTTGTATGGGGTCAACCGTAAACAGCGCTGCAGACAAGACCGAAATCGCCCCCTAGTTTTAAGGAGGAGGACAAGTTCACATCAATAATTCAGTTTTCTCAGCTGCATGATATTGCGGACAAGGAGAGAAGTCCAATTTGGCGAAAAAAACGATTTATGATCTTAGTCCGATTAAGCTGTGCATGTAAATGTAGTCAGTGTCTTCTTCAGTGCAAAAGTCTGCCCTGGATGGGCTAGAGAATTCTGTATGAATGATGCAAAAGCCTGAGTTGTTGTATTTGTGTTCATGATGTATGAACGGATGAATACTCTGCTCATATGAAAATGACTCCTTCTTCACCGCAAATGTTTTATTTTTCTTCCCATTACCTGTCGCTCTTCTGGGTTTTGCACAAGTCACATAATCTGAACATCTTTGTCCTTAATTGCTTACTGGCTCACTGTGAATTTTCCCACCAATTTCCTGCTGTATTCCCCACAATGACTCTTGACTTCACAATTAAATTTGCTAGTGCCTGACAGGAAAGAGTCAGGTTGGAAATTACAGCTGCGCATTCTTTCACGGTTTGTTTAAACAAGTTGGGAAAGTTTTCAAAAGTTTTTGTCTTTTAGAAGAGCAAGGAAGACTGGTGGAGCAGTGAGAAACCTAAAAGGAGGCTCATGTCTGGTCTGAAAGATCCTGACTGACATGGCCAAAGTAAACAGGAGCCGGGCCTCAGGTTGGTGCTTTTGCTCACACATAAACCACCTGTATGGGTCCCATTAAATAACCTCTTCAATGCACAGACTGTGTCACTTATTCTGTTACTTTGAGTTTTTTATCCGATAGGCACTGGTGACTTTGCAGTTAAATCCACGTTCACTTCCACGAAAGCTTTCTGGTCCTCAGAATTGAACCAACATGAACAAATCCTTCAAGGGAAGTCAGAATTCCCCCAAGTTCTTTTTTTTTTGTATTACTTTTAGGAGAGAACTCTAAAAAAGCAATTCCATGTGCATTTGTAAGGAGGAAAAAAGTAAAAGTCCACACAACCTGTACCAGATGTGCTTTTCGGCTCCACAGCCAAGTCTCCATCAGCAGCCTGCCCTCTGCTTCCCCTGAGGGTGGCAGG